TGCAGTTTCAAACAGTAATTTTTAACAAAAAAAATATTTTAATTTGCAATAATTCAAGTAATCAAGAGGAAATTGGCAAAATTGATGTCTGAATTAGATTTTTCAGAAACTATGTAGGCTTGCAAAGAAGCTTGATATCAAAATGCACAATTGGACACTTCAAATATTGACAATTGTTGGAAAATACGAAAATCTTACGAAATACGAAATCTTTCTGAACCGGGTTTTCCGAGAATAGTATACATATTGTATTACTTGTTAAAATTTTCAGCCTTTCATAAGAACACCACATAGTTTCTGAAAAATCTAATTTAGACATCAGTCCTGCGAATCTCCTCTTGATAACTTGAATTATTGCAAATTAAAAAAAATTTAAAAAATTTTACTGCTAAACATTATTGTTAGAAACTGCAAATTTTGAAGTGGGGTGAAAAAGTGGGGGTGGTTTCTAATAGACCACGGTAACTTTCGAAACAGATTTTACTACATTCGGGCCTGCTGAATCCATTCTTAACGTCAATTTCCAACAGGTTTTTTACCCAAAAAGGATTCAGACTTTTAAACTTTGAGAAATTTTTAAAACACATTTTCAGCGATGACCTAGTTCAAAAAGCTCATGAGAGATTACGGCTAAATTTTATTAAAATTGGTTAACTTCATAGAACTATCTTTTTTAGTCAATTAAATATCTGAAGCTTGGAAAATAATGAAGACCTTCCTAATTTTCGCATCAATGTTGCTCGCTTACGTATTTCTTGAAAGCAAATTTGGAATCTAAGAAAAAATTGCTACAAGATGGCACTCTTCACATTATATGAGACGAGTTTGAAAAGAGCACAAGTAAGTTCGAACTCGATCGATTTTTAGAAAGATTGTATAGAAATTTGGGCCCGCCTTTCTCGTTTACCAACGCATTTTGCAACCAGGATTAACCAGAATGAAATTGCATCATTTTAACCGCTTTGTTAGTGAGTGGGAGAGTGTTAAACAGTAAGGACCATGTAAGCAGACCTGATTGAGCAGCGATGGCGGATTTGAATCCGCGCGAGTGTGGAGCTCTTAGTCGCCTCGTCTAGGATTCGCGGTGGCGCGTCGGGCATTTTACATCCTAGAACAAAAGAAAAGGTGTTATCGTGAATATGGCGTACGAGTATTGCCGAGAAAATAAAAAGAAAATGCCCTATATTTGGGAAAAGGGTAAAAAAGAAGCGAAAACTGAGCGCGAGAGTGTGCGCCGCCTTTTTTCTCTCCTCGCTGTTACTGTAACAGTCGGTTGAGTGTGCGCGGCGGCTCCGCTGTGGCGATTTACGAGGGGGGCGCGCTGATAGGAACACGTTCAAATATTCGCGAAAATTTTTATTCGCAAAATCGAGCGCTCATGCTGAGAACGAGGGAAAAAGAACAAATATTGGTATAAGTAGTCGAAATTCGAGATATATATGTCTATTTTTCGTCAATTATCATGAGAAATTGTGATATTTGTGTTGATTTGATGCATACTTCGCTCAATGATGCTTCTCATGAATTTTTGACGTTGAGTAAACAAAATACTTCTACAATTTTCAAAAAAAAAACGTTTAAAAACGCTCAAAAATTGAAATTTCGAGAAAAAAACAGCCACTAAAAAATTACAGTACCGATTTCGCGACGTGACCCATTTAATTTTTCGCGTGCGCCTTTGAAAATAAATAGCGGAGAATTACGATATATCACGTCAATTTTTTTGTAATTTTCGACCGGGTAATTAAAATGAAAAAATTTTTTCCATTGCATGAATGTAGAAATTTTTGTCCGCAAATGGAAAAATGTTTAGCAACAAAGAACGTGTCGAAAATAATGAATTCCTTGTGATCTTATTACAATTTTCAAAATTTGTGTAATATTCGAATAAAAATCAACACATTTTCATATTATTGTTCGACAAACTCAAAAAAAGTATGCTAGGAGATGTCGGCAGCAAGAAAAAAAAGGAGGATATGGACGATGGTCCCTATTGGCGGCGCTCGTCGAGAATTTCACTTTATCAAACTAGGGCACTAGGTAGATTTTAGAATACAATTGAAGGTTCTCCAACCGAACCATGAGGGAGCTTCCAGGATCGTGGCAGCCTTTACGGGCCAACGAGAGCTTCCGTCCGTAGTCTAAAGTTCTGCTCAATTAAGTCAGCGATCAATCTAGACGAAACTACACAGATAAACGGCGGCATAGGCACAATGGAAGCATAGTGGAACGGCTGTGGATATCATAGGAATCTTATATGCAAGTTATATGGAAGCATAATGGAAGCATTTTTTTGCGGAACCGCGTGTTTCGTATATGGAATGAGCCGTATGCCTTCCATATGGGAAAATAAGAAAACAATTTGATTGCTGTATTCAAAATTTATTTCATATTAACACATTTATTTAATTTAAAATAAAAAAAACAACAATGAAATGAATTTCAATTAAGATATAATCAAACCATTAGTTACTGGCAACTGCCGAACTATTCGAATCATTGTCAGTACTGACATCGAGCGGGACGCTGTAATAAGTAGATTATAAAGGGCCTATTAATTTGAAAAACATGTAAACCATTGTTACGTAAACTAAATTTTTCGAGAAAATACAATCAGTTTTTTTACATCAATAATTTTCTTAAAAATAAAAATAATTTATTTTTATTGCATTTTTGGAAACCCTTTAGTGCACAAAATAAAAAGTGAATTGGCGGAAGAAAGAACAACTCCAAAATTTGAAGCAAAAAGGCATTTTGGTGAAAATTTCAAAGACATATGAATACTCACATCTGAGGGTTGCTGGTAGAATCAAGCAGCTTCCTTAATTGCGCCGCGAGCGCTTCCGGCGCTACACCAAATTTCCTTTGAAGTCGTTGGCGCATTCTATCGCTTAATCAAATAAATAAATTAATAGTCATAGTTCAAAATCTTACAGAAGATTATCCATGACTTCTCGAACCATGCGTAATGCTTTCGCTTTGAAGTCATTTGTCGGTTGTTGCCCAAAGCCATGGATAAGAGCATCTGTAATATAGATATTTGCAATAAAGTATAGGATCTTTATATAGTCGGCGTCTGGCGACTTCTGTACTAGAGCCCCACTTAAAAAGATAAATGCCACTGAATGATATTGGTACGAAGGCTGTACGGCAATCGGAAATTTCGGCGATTCGGCTAATGGCAAATTACCGATCGAAATTTTCTTCGGCAATTTGAAAAACCGGCAATTTCGGCAATCGGCAATTCCATTGCCGCACAGCCCTGATTGGAACCAAATAATCAACAAGCTTTAAACTTAGGAAGTACTTTATAAAGACTTCATTGCGCATATTTTTCTAATTGAAACCATTTCTGGAGTCGAACAGGCCAATTTTTGATGATAACAACTTACAAATTGGGCGTACGAAGGTTTAGGAATTGGCGTTGATTTTGTTGTTTGTGAGGACTGTGGAGAAAAATTTTTTTGCTGAGTTGGCGAGTAAATTGGACTATCTGGATCTGAAGTGTCGAGCGAATTTGGTTCCATGTTAGGGACTTCTGGTTCTTTGTTATTGACTTCTAGAGCAGTTTCAGTTATATCTGACAACACTCTCGATCTTGTCTTCATCTGTAAAAAATTTCAAAACATTATGTTTTATTAAAAGAAAAAAGCGAGCGATAATAAAAAATATGTTAAAGTAAATAAAAATAAAACGGATTCGATGAGAAATTAAACACAATTCGATTGAGAAAATATTTAAATTCGATTTTAAAAGTGTCGGAAACGATTTGAAAACATCGTATCGATTTTAAAATTTTCGAATGCTATCAATTTATTTTTGGTTTCGATTTTGATGATAAATATGAAAATTTTTCCTTTATTTTTTAAAAACATTTTTCCTTTAATTTTGAAAAAAATTCTCTAATTTTTGACAAAAGAAAACACAAAAAATCTTGAAAATTCATTGAGAAAAAGCAAAAGGACAAAAATTTTGAAAACGAATTTCGAAAATGTGAGGCGTGGCCGCATTGTGCAAAGCGGCGCACGGTTTTGCAATGCTGCGGCACGCCTCTTCTACGCGCGTCTGCTATCAGTTTGGAGCAAATTGTGAGTAGTTTGCGATGCCAATTTCGGAAAAACCGGCAAAAATATATTAATACGACTAAATTGTAGTTGGCAATCTTTAAACAAAGTGAGGAACAGTTGACTGAATTAACATAAATCTGAGTAGCATAAGTCATTAAATGGTAGAAGCTAAATTTCGTATGTTGTGTATCATGTAATTTTCAAATTTTCATTGTTTATATGATAGCATAAGTTTTTTGTATTGATTTTTCTAGAAATTGTCTTGGTCTGCCGTCCAGACGCCAATTGTATAATGTGTAATGATATATGATTATTTTATCCATATTTCATCCATATTCGTTCCACGGCTCGCAAACACCGGAAGCATATTCATCCCTTTTTCATTCCATCCATATTCGTCCCATAATTCTTCCACAGCCACTAAGAATTACATTATGCTTCCTATATGGAAGCATTATGCTTCCGTTCCACAGATTTCCCACAATGCTTCCATTATGCTTGCGTCGCGCTTAATCAGTGTATTGAGCGCCGCCGACTCGCCTGCAATGCCGACGCGTTTATATATATAGTCGTTGGCGAGTGTGCCGACACGTTGCGGGTTTCGCCGATGCCTATGTTTTGTGTTGCACGCGAAATGCGCCAGTGTCGCGCAAGTTTGACGCAACTGTCGAACCGAGTATTTTTCAGCAATTTCAGCCAGAAATGAAAACAATCAAAGTGTTGAACGATTTTCGGACTCTTCAATTTATTGCTAACCATGCAATCGTCTAATTCTCAGATATGTGACTCTCGATAAATATTCTTTTGTACAAAATATTCGGTGGGCTTTGGAGATGAGAGATGCGTGGGATGGAATGTTGCGCGTTGGAATCACAGAAATCAATAATCACTTATGATGGGGCGGGGGGGGTCGAATGTACAATCCAGAAATGATCATCGCGACGTCGCCATGGATTCGGTTTTGAACGCGACACTCAGAAAATCGTCGACGGGAAACACGTGGAACACGTCGGAGAGCTCGATGTTGTCGGCGGTGAGATGTTTGAGATTCTGCAAGTTTGCTCGATTCAACCTCTTCTCGCCTCCCTCAATCCCCCGATACCGTAATCGCCGAGAAGATCAACGCGATATCAGCGAGTCGCGACGCCTTCTGAATTTCGCTATTTTTCGGCGACACCGCCAACATCATCGCCAGGTAGTGATCGCGCGCGTTGTTCAGAATCTCGGCGCTCAATTGCGAGACGACCGGATAGAGGGGAACTGAAATCGAGCGAGCACTCTTGATTCGCGGCCACCTCTCAAGCGAACCTACATTCAAAGAAGATGGCGAACACACTTCCCATAAGTATCTCCTTGTTGGTGATGGCCATCTCGCTGAGCGGCTTCGCCACCGTGTCCATCGACAAGCCCGTCACATTCCTGAAAATGATTCTGAGAATCGTGATCATGGAATGGGATGGGGGGGAAGCCTACTTGACGTCGGGAAACACTTGATACTTCTTCTCACGCGGATGATAGGTGCGATTCGCGTAGCAGACGCCCGGACATCCCGTCATCGCCGTCCAACAGCCCGTCAGCCACCAATAGAAGAATGGGAATCGACATTTGGCGAACGTCATCTGCAACAAGCAAGATGGCGTGTCGCGATTCACATCGATGAGCTACCTTATCGCGTTGATCGAGCTTCTCAAACTCAGGCAACTCGCGTAGAACATCGGTGTAGAGGACGAAGATTCGCCGAAAGTCTTGCAGAACCTCGGCGATCACCGCCACTCGTTCGCCAGTCGGCTCGATCTGAAGCGAATCGATTGGCTTCGACCAACCGGCCAGTTTTTCCAACCTTGGTCCGACTGCATATCAAATGCGGATTGTAGAAGGCGTATTCGAACGAGTAGGCATTGGCAGACGGCGATGGAACATCCTTGTCGACTCGTGTGAACACCTCGTTCAATCGGTAGAGTAGGCGATCCTCGGTGCTCGTTTGAATCTGCAAACAATGGAATCATGCGCGAGAGGCGAATCGAAAGGAGACCATTCGATAGTAGAGATCAACTGTCGACTCGGCGCACGTCGAGGTGCTCGAATTTGATGACACCGACGACGACGAGCCAACGGTCGGAAGGCGATCCGGTGAGAAGCGGCCGTTGCCGACGTCGGTCTGACACGCCGCTTCGCGTTTGCCGCCGATGCTGAATTCGACGTCGAGAAGCGAATTGTCGGCGTTCCGCTGCTGCTGCAACGGCGTCGGATTCGTCGAGAAGCTCGGCGACGCTTCGTTGTCGCCCTGCACCGCGCGCGGATTCATTCCGACGCGAAGGCACGTCTTCAGGCGACACGCGCGGCACGCATTGCGTTGCTCTGCAAAACTTTTCCCGTTTTGTTTTTTTTTTTCTTGATTCGTAACAACCTTTGGCGATCGAGCAGTTGCCGCCGAAGCGGCACGCGTACGTTCGATTCTTCCAGATGCTCCGTCGGAAGAATCCCTTGCATCCGTTGCACGAATTGACGCCGTAGTGTTTGCCGAGAGCCTACAATGCTAGTAGTCGGCTACCGTAGTACGGCACGTTCTAATTCATGTGATTCTCGACTTATTATTGCGGGGTTACGGTAGCTTTGAGGAAATGAGAGGAAACCCTATTCGCGCTCCACTGATGTGTGATCTTTGTTGAAAACGATTGGAATGACTACAAACGTCAAACACCGACCGTAGGGGGGGGGAGGTTTTGATAGGTAAACTTTGAGATTGCATAATGCTCATCGCGAAGCGCGATGGAGCGCGTTTGCATCGAACCGAAATTTCTGAACATTCCCCCCACCCCCCCCCACCATCCTCTAGAATTCTCTCGAATCCTATTGGTATCATCTACAGTAATCCAATGATGTTCTAGAACGTTTCGAAACCTACCGTGTCTCCGCACACGGCGCAAACGATACCGGTGATTCGATGATGGCTTGATGGAAGTTGTTGCGAATCGGTTTTGATGCGCATCGCTCTGAAATGCCTCGATGTGGATGCAAGCAAAAAAAAATTAAAGCGGATGAGTCACGGATGAAAAGGCGAGAGAGAGAGAGAGAATGTGGTGGGAGAAATCAGAGGCGGTTTCCATGACAATTCGGCGTCGGCAAAACGAAGAAGCATCGACAACACGCACGCACACACACACACACAAAACGAAAAAGAACAAAATTGTGTGTCGTGGAGGCCGGGGGGCCGAAAATGGGCGGAGCTTCTTGACGTTTTTTGTTGTGTGTGTGTGTGATGGGAAGTAGGAGGATGCGATGATGATGGCGGCGGAGTAAACACTCGAAACAAAATTTACGGTATTTCAATATCTGCAATCGAATTACGTGACTTTATCAAATGTTTCTTTTTTTGTGGGGGCGGGGCCAGAGATTGAAACAAACGCAAAAATCAATTTGGAAATGGTTAGGTATGCCTTGTATAGTTGGTTATTGGGGGGAAAAACGTTTCGAAAAAATGCTCGTCACAACTCTGGTAACTCAAAACCAATCGGATTCGACAAAATCCGATTGGAAATTCGACGGATTGGATTGGAAAATTGTCGGATACGATTAGATTTTCTTCGAATCCGAATGGATATTTGTGGGATCCGATATGAATTGAATGATTAAAACAAAACGGATTCGATTCATATCAATGCGATTTTACAATCGCATCCAAATCGGATTGGCTTGATTCCGGAGCCGAATTTTGTCGGATCCGATCGATTCCTCTGAAGTTACCAGAGAGCAGTAGATTTTCTTGAAAATTGGCGCGTGATTCGAAAAATCCCCCATTTTGTTTTTGGCCGACAAATTTCGCGATTTAGAGCATAGTTTTCGAAATCGTAAAGAAATAAACCGGGGCTTCTCGGGAAGAAAAAAATTTCAAAATTCCAAAAATTTCCGGAATTCCATCAATTCAGGATAGTGCCAATTTAAAAGCACATGCCACATTTTTTGTTGGCAAAAAATGTTCAATTCATCGGATTATTGTGTTTATTTGGCGGCCGAAGCTTGGGGGGGGGGGGCTCTTTCTATTGATAGGATTTCAGCTTCATCTTTATGGTCTTATAACGATGTAGATTACGGTAGGCAGCACGACAGTGACATCGAATGAAACATCATTCGTCCAACGCGACAATTGAGTACGGTAGGAGGGTTGCCGCCCAGAAACTCTTTTTTCGAAATGTTCAAAGACGGCAAAAGCGGAAACCGGAAAATTGTCGGCATATGCGAATATTCGAATTTTTTTTGTCGATTTCCCCGAGATTTTGGGATTCTTAAAAAAATGGGTGCTGATGTTCAACGAAACGAAACATGTTGAAAATTTGACTACTTGGAATCAAGATTTTCAGAAATTCCCCAAATTATTCAACCATTTTGATAGAGGAGATTAACTAAATTTCCATCTGCGGACAATTCGCGCTTCAAAAAAAAAAGGCTCAAATTCCGAGTCAATGCATTTTGGAATTGATCATCTGCGGACAAATTGCACTTTGCGCTTCAATTAATAATTTTGAAGCGTTCTCGAAATCCTTTAGACGTCAAATTCGAGGAATACCGATCTACCGTATCCCGCGTATTACTGTAGATGACGCCTTGAATGATTTTTGCTCGTCTGTCTCACTTCTCTGGCGCTCTCTCGATTTCATCATACTCTCTCGCCTGGCCGCAAACCGCAACATTTTGAACGTGTCCAAACTGACCGATGAGATTTTCTCATGAAAACGAAGAACACATTTTTTTTGTTTCAACGTGACACGACGTTTTGGACCCGCGCAATTTTTTTTTCGCGCCGCGCGTAAACCATGGAGTGTCGTAAACGCCCGCGTTTTGCCGTTGACTGATCAAGTGAGAATTGAATTCAAAAAAAAAATGCAAAAAAAATATTAAACAGCGAAATCGACAAACATTTGAAACAATTTTTTTCAGACGGCCATTTTTTTCAATTTTTATTTTCCAATAGGAATGAAATTGTTCCACCCGCTTTTTATAAAAGTTTGAAAAAAAAATTCCGGACCCATTGAAAATCCTTCTTGGACCCATCCGGTGAGAGGGGGTGGGGGTCCTTTTAGGACCGACCAATTCAATTGAAATTTCGAAATTGGAGAAAATTTCAAAATTCCATTCCTATTTTTTCTCGAATGCCCTATATATAACGTCATTCCTTCAAGGTCTCAATTTCTCATCAAATAAAAATCATCAAATGAACTATTTGGTCTTTGACAGTAAAATTTGATCTCGTCGGCAGCGGCAAAAAGGGGGGGGGGCTAGGGACCCTTTAAAAACAAAAAGCGTGGGTTTCACTTTTTTTTTTGTATTTCTTCTAGGCTACAGCAGCTGGAAATATTCATGACACCACTAGCTTCTATTTTCCCCCCTTTGAAACCCCTTAATCGGTGTTGCATTCTAGTCTGAGCATTTTTAAAACGGTTTAAAAAACCAAAAAAAATAAATAAATAAAAGAAGAGGAGGAGAATGTGAGCTCGGTGGCCATCAGAAATCATGCGTTTCGATATATACCGTATACTGGGTGGGGGTGTGTTCAGAGAATGTTCAGAGAACCTTCAATAAGCCTGTTTCTAAACCATGGGATCTGTTACGGTATCACTACAGAGAATGATTAGTCACAAGGCGGGTTCAAACAGCTTGGATGGTGGAGGAAGGCTCGATCGATCCGATTCCGAATCCGATCATCGGTATCTGTGATTCATTGATGGCAATAGGTTTTTTGCGGTGCTATTTCGTTTTTGTTGACTTCTTGAATCATCAAAATTATGACGATAAGCCCATTTGCCAACAGAAACCCGTGATATTCGAGCAGAAAAAAAGGTCCGAAAACCTCGGCCACGGCCAGGATGCCCTAGTACCACTGAATTTTTTTTAAAAGAAATCGTTGCAAAAAATCGCAGAAATTGTATTTATGCGCCTTTAATCGCAATAGAAAACTTGGATTTACGAAAAAAAATTAACTCATTTCATGTAAATTTCATTGTGGAAAAAACCTGGCCGCGGCCGCGGCCGAGGTTTTTTATTTTGTTTTTTTCGGCCATCATAGAGATGCTTACCAGTTTTTTCCCCACATCAAGCTCGAAAATATAGGTTATAAAAATTCGAAAATATTGAAAAAAAAAACATTGAAAAAGATTATCAGCTGTTTCCTTTGATTAAACTGTGAATGGCTGAACGAATAGCACACAGAAATCGACATTTTCTGGCGGAAAAAAAGTGTGAACTGCAAAAATAGGGTTAGAACTCCATGACCGATTTGGACCCCCCCCCCCGCATCATGAACAATAATCTACTAGTTAAATTTGAGGGGGTCTGAACTAAGTGGGTGTGTGAAATCAGAAGAAAGTATCCAATTAGTAGTGCCTACTGTGGAAATGAGGGGAGACTCTTTTTAAAGAGCGTATTTTTGCGATTTCAAATCAAGAATATCGGCGCCCGGCGGGTCGATTTACGCGCATGCGCCTTTGAAAAGGTCTCGCCGCGCGCCAACGCTTATTTTGTTTTTTTTTTCGCGTGAAAGATTTATTTTTTCTTGATGAGTTTCGCATTTCCTTGAATTTCAAATGACATTCGATTAAAAAATGATTAAAGCGGTCAATAAAATGCGAACGAATCTGTTGGTCCGTGCGAGACCGAGACAAAGAAAACGCATCCTCGTAAATCTACCCTGATTTTATCAGTTTGATTTAAAAATAAAAATCTTCGGCCATGACTGTCGGCCATGTTCCTGTGAGGGGCTCAACTATGATTATATATCGGAAAAAATTCAATTTTCGTAATTTTGATGCAAAAAGGATTATGCTTGTTTTTTTTTGTACTTTAAGTTTTTTATAAAAAATTTCCAAAAAAATTGTCGAAAAATGAAGCATTATTGATGGCGCGAATGAGAATAGTTCGGTTGGTCCCTAAGTGCTCCCCGTTTTGGGCGCTCTTTGTGCCCTAATGTAAGAGGCATTGAGCCCCTTGAGCACCTGGAAGCAGGCGGTGTGGGCTGTGGGCGACTCGCAACAAATATAAAACATCTGGAAATTTTCAAGTCCGCGCAACTAATTCTGTTTGCCGTTGGGTACAAAGTACATCGATCTCCACCGGCTCGGACTGCTGTTTGTCTAGTTTGAGGAATGGTCGACGATGCGGACGATGAAGAAGGTTAAGAGGCGAGGGGTGGGGAGGGGCAACAATGATCGTCTATCCGTCCTTCAATGGGTTCAAATATTTCACATCGGCCGGTTGGGGGGGGGTAGATCAAAACGGAATGGCTCTTGCGCTCAATTGCGAAATCCGTTGGGCGCAAATTATCAAAGATCGCGCGATTCTTTGAAACAGTTTTGGTAGCACATGACTGATACGCGGCGAAATTCGTTCAATGGTCGCTGCTGGCCCCCTGACTGCGATTGATAATCGGTCGAGAATTGTTTGCATGTGTGCGCGGCGAAATACGAGAGACCCCCTCCCCCCCCCCCCACGCCGTGCATGCCTGCCACCCATTTATGGCAACAACATGGAATTCTGAAGAGACCAACGAAACACAGCGGGCACACAAATGAATGAATGAAGGCAGCCCAACAAGCGGCTGAATAGAAGGCCGGCTCCGGTGTAGCTGCTATGACGAATTCCAGAGGCTGTTTGGCATTTCGAGCAAATTGCAGAATTTCAGAATTCGCGAGAAATGTGCCACTTTTTGACGAAACGCGCTTTTCGGCAAATGTCGAACAATGAAAATTGTCCGCAGATTGAATTGCATAAGAAGAATTCCAAAAATTGTGGTTTGTGTCAGGCATAATCAATGAGCAAATATTTGGATGACGATGAGGCACTAGAAAAAAAAGGAAAAGCCAATCATGTATAAATCAACGGAAGCAGGGGAGTTGTCTGGAACGAAGCCGAACCAAAAATGGGCATCGGAGGAGGAGGAGGAGGAGGAGGAAGAAGAGGGGAAGGGGGGGTGAGAAAGCCGGCAGGTTACGTGCAAAATTGGAAAATGAATGGAACGAAAGCGGGGCAGCGAGAGAGGAATGAAACAAAAAGCAATTCGAGGAGAGAGAGAGAGAGAGAGAAATTTGAGGCCAAATATGGGTAATATAATATATATAAGTATAAATATATATATATATAGATAATTGAAATGAAGCTTGAGACACGAGGCAAGTCATCGTTCAGTCACAAATGATCTTTGGTCGAGACTAGGTGATGCGACGATGACGAACACAATGAAAAGTGACAGAGAGAGAGAGGCGCGAGACGGCGAGGCGGGGGAATGCGTCGCCGAAAACGACAAATCGAACTAGAACGATTCGAACACAAACATGGAGACTCGATTGATGTCCGCAGCTGGATCAAATATTTCAAGAGAGCTTTTTCGTCGAATGAAATTGTTTCAGATTTTCACGAGTTCGAAAAAAATGAGATTTTCCATACTTTTGGGGGCATGATTAGGTCAAGTTGAAAACTTGAAAACGAATTGCCAAAAAAGGCGAGTCTTTGGCACTCCATCGTCAAGCTATCATGGCCGTGGCCGAGTTATGGTGGCCGAACACGGGGTACGGCGCAATCATGTTCGATATTTTGCTGTTTCCTTTTTAGGCGATTAAGGCCCTTGCTTCTACTTGGTGTAGATTTACGACGTGCGCCTTTCGAAATGGTCTCGACACACGTGAATCCCTATTTTTGATTTTCACGCGAACTGTTTCATTTTAATTGATTATTTTACCATTTCTTCGAATTCTTAATATTTCTGAAATAAAAAATTCACCGAACGACCTCTTGATCAGCTAGTCGGTGCGAGACCATAGCCAAGGCGCATGCGCGTAAATCTACCCCATACATATGAACTAGGATTTAGTTATAAGCTTTATATATCTTTTTTATATTAATTTCAATTTCATTTTCCCTGGAATCCGATTTTTTTTTCATCAGAGTAACCAAATGTTAATTGTGTTTCTTCGAAATTCCCTTCGTTTCGTTTTGTACTTTGCTGCTGATTATAAAAAATTTTAGGTCCCAACTCTTATAACTTGGCGACTACGGAAATAATAATAATAATAATAATAATAATAATAATAATAATAATAATAATAATCGAAAAATTGCAGAAGCAAAATGTGAAATCGTTGAAAATGGTTTGCCAGAGTGTTCGATTGTTTTACTTTAAAGCCAATTTGCATTTCAAAATGATTGCGTCTTCTTCCGTCTGGAGTACATACCAGAGCTGCACGGAATTCCGTATTCCGTTTTCCGTGACATTTTCCGGTTCGTTTCCGTGCTCCGTCAAAAATTTTTTGTTCCGCCTTCCGTTTTCCGTTTTTAGAAAATTTAAGTTCCGTGCAGCTCGCCCTCGGCCACCATAACTCGGCCACGGCCATCATGGTGTGCCAAAGGCTCACATATTACATATTGAATGGTGTCAAAGGACCCCGCCAAACCTGATGGTCCCTTATTTGGTAATTCTTTGTGGTTTTCAACTAAACATCAATTAAATGCAAATTTTTTTCTTGTTAGTCATTTCTCAAAATATCCTCGGCAGATGATAATATAAATAGTACGTTATTAGTTTTGGTTTTTACTTTTTAAAATCAAGCATCAGGGATTCTGAATATACAGGAGAGCGAGGATGTTGTGGAGTTGTCTAGAAATTCCCAAAATGCTGAATTTTTAGACGTGATGTCTGCGTCTCCTTCCACTGCACACTCTCTCGATTATGCGCGTTGAAATGAATATTATAGAACATTTTAGAATGTCTAAGTTGGAAGCTCGCAAATTTCGATTATATTCAAACCTAGAGGTTCCTCTAGTGTCCCATTGTCGGACCACGAAAAACAAACCTCATCCAAAATCAAACCCAATTCCAAATGGCGCGGTGCTAAGCCCGCGCCCAAGCCACAGCATATTTTATTAATTAATTCATTAAATTCATATTTTATTCTTTAATTTAAAAAACCATTTTTTTTAAACAACAAAAATTGTTATTGCTTTGATTGTTTGTTCATTCGAACGGCCGTGGCCGCGAATTATTCGGCCATGACCTCATTTTGAAAAATTTATTATGTGAATTTTTATGAAGTTTTCAGGATATTTCTCCGATTTATTTTAAAAACGCAAATTTAATTTAATTTTTAGATGATATTAAAAAAGAAGTGGGAAGAATGCCGCGCAAATTTGAAATGTCATCTCTTCCGCGTGGAATAAAAAACAAAGGCCATACAAACTCGGCCATGACTGTTTGCCGACTCCTCTCAGGCAAATCAAATAAAATATTTTGAGAATCAAATTTTCAATAATGAATTCAAAAAATTTATGAGAAATTCTAAATTTTCTTGAGACTTTCTAAAACTTATTGAGAATCGCTAAACTTTAAAACAAAATTTTAAATCTTATAAGATTTTCAAAAATTTATTGAGCAAAATTCTAAATTATCACAATAAATTCGAAAATCTTCTAATAATTTCTAAAGTTGGTTGTGAAAAAATCTAAATTATTATAAAGACACGTTAGTTTCTCATAGAATCTCAAAATGGATTTTTTTTTCGACTCAGGTAAATGAAAAAAAAATATTGAGAAACTAACATATCTCTAGAATAATTCCGATTTTTCGCAATGAACTTAAGAAATTAGTAGAAGATTTTCGATATTATCGAGATAATTTAGAATTTGCTCAATAAATTTTTTCCAATGAAAAAAATTGCTCAAAAAAAGAAATTCGGCCGTGGAATTGGACCCGGCCAAGAAGAAGGCCTCCCATGAGATGGTCGGACTCGCTTCGGAAGGTCCGAAAATGGAATTGCAGACCGACACAACAATCACACATTTTTACTTAGTGGACCAAAAATCTAAAAATGTGCATTTTCTCAGGCGAATCAAATAAAATATTTTGAGAAATTCTAAATTTTACTAATACTTTTTAAAATTTTTGTGAGAATCGGTAAACTTGAAAATAATTTTTAAAATCTATTAAAATTTTCAAAAATTTATTGAGCAAATTCTAAATTATCTCAATAAATTTGAAAATCTTTCAATAATTTCTAGTTGATTGAGAAAAAAAAAATAGAGACACGTTAGTTTCTCAAAGAATCTCAAAATGGATTTACCTGAGTAAGTTATAAGACTTTAAAAAGTATGTTAAAGTTTGATCGAGAAGTTTTAGAAAATATTTATCAATTTTAGAATTTCTCAAAATATTTCAGAGTTTATTATTGATTATTTGATTCTCAAAATATTTTTTTTGATTTGCCTGAGTAAGGAGCTCAATTAAGATTAATGTTTTTTTTTAAGATTAATGTTTTTTTTTTTTGTTTAATTTCGGTCATTTTGATTCGTCAAAAAATTTGAAGCTCAAAAGAAGAGCACATTTCATTTAATACCAGAGAATTTCATTTGAATATCATTTTTGTCCCCCCCCCATCTCCTTATTTTATATTAATTATGGTGAAAGTGTGAAATTCGATAAAAACTTTTATTAAAAAGAAACAAAAATTCACCTTTATATAATTATTGAAGTTTAAAAATAATTTTTCAAAAAAATGTAATGCTGAAGGCTTCGAAAACCCTGGCCGTGGCCGAGTTTTTTCTGCAATCTGCAGAGCTTTTTTTAAGGAAAATTTGTGGTTTTCTAAAAATCGAATCTGCATAATATCATTGGATTTTTTTGGTAGTTTTTTTTTTTAATTTTTTCTTGCCTCATCTGCAGAGTGCCGTAATTCAAATTCCGAGTTCACCATTCATTTTTTTCAAAAAGAAAAAAAAGAATTTCCAATTTTTTGCCTTTTTTAGAATTTTAATATTAAGGATCTGATTACTATGTATTATATTTGCGTTTGTCTCGCTCGTTCAGAGAATCGAATTTATTTTTTCCAAATATGGATGAATCAAAACAAATACAACAAAATGATATGAGAATTCCATCACATTGTTTCCTGATTCGATAAGATGAAGAACAAAAAAAAACGAGGAAGAGAAAGCTTGGGCTTGAAAGAGAGCGGCTGGGTCACGGGGTAAAGCTCAAAAAAGAAATCGAAGTGGATGGAGGGCCGAGAAAAATATCGGACTCAATTTTTCGACGAAACATTCTCGGACTTTGAGGCGTCAATTATGAATATCTGATTGATGGTTGCCGATTTGTCAAGGTCCAACAATCTGAAAATGAATCTATTTTTTTTTGGGGGGGGGGGCTGCCTAGACAGCGGACCTCTCAATGGAAAATGGTAGGGCTTGATTCGGCGAGGCCTTCTCGATTCGCGTCTTCTCCTTGTCGTCGAGAATTTCGAATCTCTGCAATCATTCGCGATGCGATGCGATGCGTTTTGACAGACCGGCCGACGCCTACCTGCGGCTCCTCGTAGTCGTAGGCGCGGAAACTGCGCGGCTGCACACTTCCGGTTCGTCGATATCTGCGAACGAAAATAAGGAGAACCGACGAATTCGGAGATGGGCTCTCGCGTTTACCTCGACATGATCTTGCTGACGCAACTGTGAGTGACGCCGATGAGGCGCGCGATGTGCGACACGCGATTGCCCTCCTCATAGAGGCGCACGATTTTGCGGCGATCCTCGATGCACAACGGACGGCCCGGATTGTAGGCGCGCGCGGTTTTCGTTTTGACGCCGCCTGCAATGATGTCCGCAGATCGCATCGGATTGCTCATTTTGTGGGGGAAGGGGAGCACTTGTAAAACAATTCACGCACCTTCGTTGAACTCGTGTTGGCGGATGCCCGACGGCGATGCCGCCGACATACTGTAGAAGGCGTTGAGCAGCGAGTACGGTAGATGATGATGAGGAGGCGGCGGCGGCAGCGGCGGCATCGAATTGATGTTGTTGGTGGCCGACGGCGGCATCATTTGATGCGACGTGTGCATTCCGCCTGAAAACGACGACGTCGATGGAAGCTGGAACCATGAGAGAGAGAGAGAGAGAGAGAGGTAGAAAATGTTCCACATTCTTCTGCGAGCAATGATAAGAAGAAGGAGAAGGCATCTCTGGAAGAAGGGCGCCGAACGACATCATCATCGGAATGGAATTCTATCTGATTAATTAATCATCGCTAGTCATCTGGCAACCACCCCCCCCCCAGATTTTTATGACCCTCGGCATTCGTTCAATTTTACTGTAAAATGTGAAACGCTGCCTGATATTGATCGCCGGATTACGGTAGTATTTTTATTTTTTGAATGTGCATAAAAATATACGGTAGCATCAATTGAAAAAATTCGCTTACAAAAAAGAAGGGCTGCGGTAGCAGTCGTTATTTCTGGGTGCAAGAAAGAAAGTAATCAAAGAATTATGGTACATTGAGTAAATTAAAATTGTTCCCAATACGGTAGCAGAAGTTATCAAAGGATTACGGTAGCACTAGTTTCGCGGTCTACAAACCGAAACGAATAGCGATTTTCTAGGGAATGTCGAATAAAAAACTTGCGGCTCGAACGAAATAATTGCAATGTTGAAAATCGAGAAAAAAGAACAGCAAGAGAAATTTGGAAAAAAAACACACACACCATTGTATACATAGAAACGTTGAGGAGGAATTGAGGAGAGGAACTCGGAGGGGAGAACAAGTTCAATTTTGTTGGCTCGGCACAAATCATTTTTGGATGAATTATGGGTTGGGGTTGAAAGGGGAGAGGAAGAAGCCCCCCTCCCCGCTTCCTTCTTCCTCATCATCAACATGATCATTGTCGGCGTGCCGCCGCCGCCGCCGCTTCCCCTCCCCCTCCTCCCAAACGCCATCAGGTAATATAGCCTCCAGTTGGCGGCGGGCATTTTCTAGACGCTGCGTCTCGCCGATTTTCAGCTGATATGCCATCGAGTCGATGTGTTCACTTTTGTTATATTATTATTATTATTATTATTATGTTATATGTTATATGCTTTTACTAGAACATCAGGATTGTGGCAGAAGCCGCCCCATCAGATTCATCGCGCAGATAGTGAAATTGAATTGAATGATGAAGATGATGATGGTTGAAAGAGAAAGAAAATATGAAGACCCTTCTTGCGATGAAGTGGCGAACCGAATTTCAGCTAATTACGTCGCACTGATATTGCCTAATTATTGAATTATAATCGGTTTCAAAGGTTGCCGACGACGACGGTTCATTCGACGAATTGATATGAGAAACGTGTTGCCGACAATCATCGGGGTTTCGAATGATTTGAGAATTTGTTGGCAGCAAAATTGGACGAGTTGTAGGGAAAAGACGAATCAGAATTCGAGGGGCCGTTCAATGAAGTTTCAAGACAATCATGCTGCGGACAATTTCGAGTTTGGAAAAACCGCCCAAAGATTTTCCGAATATTCTTCCGCAATTTATTTTTTTGATTAACACGATTTAAATGAATCTCTGCTGCAGACAATTTTGAGATGAAAAAAAAAATGAGAAATTTCGATTTTTTTTTCAAATTTTTGTGAAACACAAAAAAATTGGACAATCATCAAGAACTTACTCGAATGCTTTTTTTCCGCTGCAGACAATTTCGGCTGAAAACGTCCGCAGATGGGAAAATAGTAAAACGCATTCCAAAGTGGAATGCGAATGAAGACGGTCTTATCGTCGTGTTCAGTTCGCTTCATAATTTTTGTTTTTGCCCCCGCCTGCCATCTTCCGCCGTCTTCCGCTCGTTTTCCCATCAAACGCACTATCCGATCACTTTTTTTTCTCCCCCTTCTGCCAACGCCATTTTTATGTACATTTTCGATTTCCAGCCGACCGGCCCCGACGGCCATCCTTCTCTCTTCGTTTCGTTCGTTCAATCGCCTCACTGTCTGTTTTTTTTCACCATTATTATTATTATTAGTACGTATTAGCTATAATATTATGTGATTGTATGTGTGTGTGTATGTGTGTGTTTCGAATCGCCGCATTATCAGAATCTATGATGCAATGAAGCGAAAGTTTGCTGGAGGGGGTGGCATTTGACGACAATTGAAGCTAGAGGGGGGTCATTTTGTTTCCGGAAAAATTGCTTTTTCTTCCGGATCGTTGTTCCAGAATTCTCGCGAAATTCAAAAATCGGCCCCAAAGGTCCGTTTAGCCCAGTTCGAAAAATGCCTAATTCGAGAATTTTAAGAGAAAACTTTAATTTCTGAAAAAAAGATTCTAAAATAAAAATGAATTTCTTTTCATTAAATTTGCATTTTTTTGAGAAATTATAGCTGAAAAACAAGCGGCTAAAAAATGGCCGCGGACTAGCTTTTTTCTCGGCCATATTTTGAAATCTCTACTTAACAAAATTAATTAATCCATGGCCTTGGCCGAATTTTTCCAGGCCACCACCGATCGTCTCAAATTTTGGCATATCAATTTGAACCAAAAAAAAAATTTTGCTATGACGTCGTCTCGAAATGGCGGTTCACGCGATCTCGCCGATCGCCATCTTCATTTTCCGACGATCGACACAATGGAAGCAGCAATGAGCCATGCGAATCTAATAGCGTATCCCAACAACACAGAGGCGTTTCATTTTTTGTCTAAATATCCCCTATCAATTGTAGATATATGAACGAGTTGATCGGCGAAATGCGGCAATTGGTCGACAGTCCGATGGAGTTTCGAAATGCGCAGGTTCGAGAGACATAGAGACTCGAAGAAAAAAATTTTTTTTTGAAGATTTGCCTCTCAAATGAGATCACAAGAGTGTGGAGTATGTTCCAGAAGACCGCCATCGGTCAAAGCGAGACGATCAAAAAGAATTTGGCGATTCCCAATGTGACTTCAGACGATGAGCAAATTGAAATTCGCTCGATTTCAGACGGCTCGCCATGATAGCAATTCAATGTGTACGCCGGCGAGCTACACGGACTCGTCATCGCTCATCAACTCGTTCAAGACGCCCATCAAATATCGCGGTCGTGCCGGCGACGATCAGCACGACGACGACGCGTCGCAATCGCTCGTCGTCCTCCAAACCAAAGTCTATATTCCGGAGCCGCCGAGAGCGTTGAACGGACGACCCGTGTGAGTGTGCCATTCATTGAAGTAAATTTTCATCTACCGACAATTTGCGGGTTTCGCCATAATCCTAAAGATTCGAAAAACTCGGTTTTTTTTTCGAAAAATTCCCATTGTTAAAAAATATTCAAAATCATTTAGATTTTACGGATCTACGCCATCGCAATGATCTACCCTTATTCAAAAAATTTTTATTATTGAATTTTTCTCCAAAAAATCTGCATTATTAGGTTTTTAAGATTAGCGAATTTTTGCAAAAAAAAATTCTTCATTTTAGCGCCGCCTGATTTTCAGAAAAATTCGATTTCTAGAAAATGCAACTACATTGGACGAATATTGGGACCATCGGGTCAGACGGCGAAAATGATCGAGCGACAATACGAGGTGACGCTGCTGATACGCGGACGCGGTTCGGTGCGCGACGCGAAGCGCGAGCACGAGCTCATCGGCAAGAAGGGATTCGAGCATCTCGCCGAGCCGCTTCACGTGTTGCTGATGGCGAAACACAAAAGCCGACAAGCGTATGGCACCTCGCGAATGTCGTGATGGTCCGTCGATGATGCTTTTTTCGTTTTGCAGTTGCGAGGAGATTCTCGACAGAGCCGCGCAGAAGGTCGAAAGCCTTCTGACGCCGGTGCACGACGAGCTCAAAAAGGACCAGCTGCTTCGTTTGGCGCTCATCAACGGCACCTATGTTCAGCGAGTAGGCTTCTCCGAAAAAAAAAATGATTGACGTCGTCGATTCAGACGCCTCAACCGTCGCCGGAAAATGAGCAACGACAGCAACAGCAGGAGCAGCACGCACAATTCAACGACTCGATGTATTATCTTTGATTCATTTTTATTTTTATTTTTATTATTATTATTCCACTCCCCCACCCAACTATTTAAGCTTTTTGTTTCAATTGCCACAACGAATTCGCTCCGCCCCCTTTTTGGCCTTCATTCAATGAATTTTCCATTATTCATGCTGCGGACAATTGAGGGAGATGAAATAACATCTCATCTCTCATTGACAATATAGAACATATTTATGCTGCGGACAAGTTTATGGGTTCTTCCTTGACATTGTGCGCCTTTAATCTACGAGCCGTAAATCTACATCTATCATCTTTTGGGCATTTATACTATACGAATGGCTGATGAAGCTGAAATCCTCTTCTTTGATAAATTCTCGAATCATTTGAGACTTTTCTGAGGGTCCTCAATAAAATGCGAGCATTTTCGGACCATCGCGGTCATTTTTTTAGGTACTGTAGCTATCAAAGTCCGCAAACGCTCGGTGTTTGCGGACTGCCAACGATTCGAATAAATTGATGATGGTTGGTGCTCACAGAAGTCGATAACGATGTCTCCTTCGCTTTTTGTTTGAGCAGCCCGGAATTCCGTTTCAGGAAAATCGATGCAGCTCCGAACAGCAATCGAATCAAGCCACTACTATGTAGTCTGAAGCCACAAATCAGCTGATTCGATTCGATTCAGATCGAGCCGAACGAGAGCATCGATGAGGTACTAAAACACGTTGCTCCCCCATCGAGTTTGAGAAGCTTGGGGGGTCCGGCTGAAATATTTTTTTAGTCCAGCCAGATTTCATTTCAATTTTCAAATTCCGCAAGTAGTGATTTTAGAAAAAGAAAACAGAAATTTAATTGTACTCCGTAAATGTGGAGTGTCGTTGCGTGCAGTTTAGCAGGCGACGATCAAAACGGGAAGGAGAGTGGTATCGATTTGCATGGCCGAACATTTCACGGCCACCCCCGAATTCAAAAATGATGTACTCTAGGTTTTTCAGATCAAATTGATGTTTTGGCGGCAATTCAAATCACTTTCGAATTTCTCGCAAATTGCTCTTTGTTTGAGAATTTTAATTAAAAATCTAAAAAAAATTTGAAAATGAGTTTTTTTGGTAAATTTCAAAAAAAAAAATCGAATCAAAACTGGTTCTTCTCAAACAATTTTTGAAAAAAATGTGCCGAGCAGTCAAAAAAAGAAAAAGATGGGAATTATGTTAGATTTGGCATAATCTTTTGCAATTTCTCATTTCTACTTTACACAAAAACGTCACTTTCTCAATTCGGCCACATCGCTGCTGCGGACACGCTTCCGGGACTTCCCGTCGTTGCCACCGGCAAAAAAAACGACGTATTGGTTATTCATTTCAGACAACCGATTGCCAAAATAACAAAAAAAAAACAATTATGAGCGAGGGAAAACCGAAAAAACAATTGGAATTCTTCGCCAAGCTTCTTCAATTCGTCGAAAAAAGGAAATTATCGCTTTTCGATTTTTGAGTTTTGATTTTTCCCGCAAATTCTATCCACTTTGAATTTTCAAAAAAAAAAGTATTAAACCACAAAAAGTGCGACAATTTTATTCGGTAGATCATTGCAGTAATTGCGCTCCATTGTGAACATCTTCGAACTTCGAAAAAATTGCAGAAAGTACACTCCATTGAACTCTTATTCGCTTTCTGAGATTAATTGTAGCAATTGCGCTCCATTGTGAACATTTTCGAACTTCGAAAAAAACTGCACCAAGTGCGCTCCATTGAACTTTTTGTTCCGTGCAATTTCGAATTTCACTCCTCATAATTTTTGCAGCAAACACGCTCCATTGCGCGCCGTCAACCATTTTTTGCGTATCTAAAAATTGCCGTAAATCATTAATTTCATGTCAAAGGCAAATGCGCTCCATTGAACAATAGATCAAAACCCAAAAAGCAAACGACTCGAGTGTGGTCGAAAAAAAAAGCACGTGGAAACGAGGACGAAACCAATTTGTCACACGCGAAATTCTTTCATTTTCGAGGGTCCCTGCCCCGGCCGCCGATTTTCCACTTCATGAATTGTCGTCTTCAATTTTCTATCGCCTACTACCCTCGTTATTTTTTGTGTGTGTGTGTGTGCTCCATATAAGGACGACGAAGGCCCTCCTTCCGCCGAATCTCGTCAAATGATTGCCATTTCCGCCGTCGCCGTTTTTTTTTTCATCTCTCTCCAAATAAATTTCATCGGCCCGGCCGGCACAAGTGCTCGCGGCCACGCCCATTTTTGCATTCAGTCCAATCAGCGACGACAGAATTCAGATGACGTCACGTCAGAAGAGAAACGAAAAAAAAAAGAAGAATACTATTCTTTGGGTTTTCTTCGTCAACTGCCCCCCCATTTATTTAAAAATATTGTCCGAAAATTCTCAAAAGACGCCTCGATGTGCGCCTTTAACCTGCTCCGTAAATCTACACTTATAGTTTTTTTTTTCGCGCCAAGACCACTCTCATTGGTTTTTTTTTCAGCCAATTTTTACTGAAATTAATAAAACTTCGATGATCCGTAGTACGGTACCATCTTAAATGTGCCAACACACGACGCACAAATGCAGACTAAAATTTCGCGTTGCAAATTTTCATATAAAATCATCATTAAATATTTGATTTGTGATTTTCCGAAACTTTCGATGGTCCGAAAATGCTCGCATTTTTATGAGGACCCTCAGAAAATCCGGAAATATCAAATGATTCGAGAATTTATCAAAGAAGAGGATTTCAGCTTCATCAGCCATTCATTTAGAGTTTAAAAAATTATTTGGTGTCAAATTTTGAGTAGAAAAACTCAAAAAACTAGATTTAAAAAAAATTGCAATTCAAATAAAATCTTTTTTTTTTTTGAAATTTTTTATTTGACAAATTTATTGAAAATTGATTGGAAGAATTATTTTAACAAAAAAAATTTAAAATTTGAAAAATATTTTAGAAATTTGGGCTGTTCTGGAAGAAAAACGAAAATTTAAAAAAATCGAAAATTAATTTTATTTTTCAACGTACTGTAGCTATCAAAGTCCGCAAATGCTCGGTGTTTGCGGACTCCCATTGTTTTTTCTTTCAATTTTTCGAATTTTTGTTAAAATTGTCAATTTTTCCTAATTTTCGACCATTTTTCAGGGAAAACAATGCAAAAAATGGAACAATCCCAGCAAAAATAGATATTTTCATTGAAAAAAACGTGTTTTAAGCAATTTTTTGGGGGAAAAAAAATTAATTTTTTCCACGTTTACAGAAAAAATCAAATTTTCTATAAAATATTTATTTTCACTTAAAAAAAAAACGCCAAAACGATTTTGCCCCTACCAGTACGACACTCCAATTACACATCGCCCTCAATTTAGCGTGCTGTGCAACTTTTTTCCTCATTTTTCTACCAAAAATGGTCCATTGAATCTCTGAGCTACTAATTTGAAGAATTTAATTGCTATTTAATTGCTACCCCCCAATCAAATTCGCTCATTCCTCGAAAGAATTGAGATATTCAAACTATTGCCTATTTTATGGACATATTTTTTCGGAGTCAAAAAATTATCGGCAAATTGGCTAATTGCCAAAAAAAAAACAATGACAGTGGGTCTTGGCGCGAAACTATAGGTGTCGATTTACGGGCTTTCGCATAAGGCAGGTTAAAGGCGCACACCGAGACCTCTTTTTAAGTTTTGAGCCAATCATAATTAAAACTTGATTTTTGAATTATGCTAGTTCGCATTTCAATGAAAATTGTCACCAAACGATTTTCACCATACGAGACCCAAGGCGGCAATTCAAATGATCGTCCATGATTGATTACATCAATTTTCTATAAAATTACATTGAATTTGATTTTTTTCTCTGTAAATTTTAACCAAAATAAAATATTTTTGAGTTAATCGAAAAAAAAGGTTTTGGAAATTTCCAAAAATTGGATTTTTTTTTGGATCCTCTTCAAAAATTCCATCTATCCACTTTTCAGCGATGAAAATCAGAGGAAATTGAGAGGAGCCGCTCAAATTTGCCGGCTTCATCCGTTGAAAAAATTCCATAATTGGCTCAATGGTCCGTCGGAATCAATTCTTGTTGCGAATCTTTTAAATAGCGACGGCAAGTTGTCAGTGAACTTCAATGGTCCCTAACCTTATTAGGCTCGATTCCACCCGTTTCTCGAATTGCGAGATTAGCATCGAATGGAGCTTAGAAGTCGGCTTTCGCTTGCACAATTCGAATCGAATCTCGCGGCTTGCATAATTTTCCGGCGTGCGCCTTTAAACTCTTGTCTATCGCGAAAAAAAATTGAGAGATAAGCAATGAATGTTGTTTCCCGAGAAATTCGAACCGGCTCATAATTCGGCAAGCCCGTAATGTGTCCGCAGATGCATCTCGTTATGTGCACACACACACTGAACATGTTGTTGTTGTCGTCATTGACAACCCGCCGAGACGTCCGCAGGTGGTCGAGAAACAAATGGGAGTTGTCGACGAAGAAAAAAAAAAGGCCCCGTGAAAAAAAAAACCAACAAGGTCCCCCCTCAACAGAACAGAAAAAAAAATATCATCGTGTATCATATTTCATGGGCCTCCGCCGTTGGCCGCAAAATCAGAAGCTCGAGGTTTTGGAGAGCGCGAGGGAGGCAGAAGCTCAAATGCTCCTCCAGCTCTCTTTCTCTATTACTCCATGAGACGACTGCGAGAGAGTTGGACGAGTGGGGGGGGGTCCGACTGACAACCAGCAGCCACTTTTTTTTTTGCTTGCATTCATGTTATGTGTGCTTCTCTGCCTCCGTCTTCTACTACTTCTTCTTCTTCTTCTTGTTCATCATCTCATTGCTTCAACCACGATGTTGTCCTTCTTTCATCCCCGCTAACTATTTTTTCCTCATCTCGTCGTTGTTATGCATTTTTTTTGTTGTTTCGTCTGCCTGGAGATCCGTCCACACTTTTCCACTTTTTATGGTCCGTAACACCATCATTCGGCCAGAAGCCGTGAGTTCCGCGCATAATTAGCGATGGAGGTATTCCGCCTACGCCGAGATTCTTTTCTTTCTTTTTTTGCGACAAAAAAAGCGGGCCTTCCTTAAAAACAATACCAATAGCATTTATAGGTTTCGCGGGACGCTTGATCAAAACACGCTGCGGACACTTGACGGGTTTCGTCCAAAATGCTTTGAGCTTGTTAAATATATATTATATATTCTACGCAGCATTTAAGCGCTCGCCGAAATTCCTAAATAACATGCTCGCCGCCGACATCTCCCGGGTTTCGCGCCCGTCTATCCTTTCCATTACTCGCTCGCTCATTTGCGAACAATTTCGAGTTTCTTTTCATTTTTTTTCTTGTTGGAACCCGTTGGCCCCGCCTCCCTCATCGAATGCATATTAATTGTCGGCAGAAGCGATGTCTCATTAATTCTCGCCGCTGCTTATATATTTTTTTTTCATTTCGTCTCATTAAAATAGTCATATATCGTGTTCGTGCTTTTCACTTTCACCATTGGCGAAGAAAAAAAAATGCTATTTTTGGAATTGACACAAACTCCCCGTTGTTTTTCTCATATAAGTATTCGACTTTTTGATTTCACAACACGATTCTCAGTTTCGCTCAACTAGGTGTCGAGCTTCTGGCCAAACCTAGTGCAGCTTCACTTCAGCTTCTCCTTCTTCTCGTCCTGCTGCCAAACAACAAAAAAAGTTCATACGTGAGGCGAAATGATGAAATTCGTCGCGTAATCCGAGATGTCTGGCTGACAGAGCAGATATTTTCAGTGGTTTGTGTCCGCAGCATGATAATCTCAAACACCCAAAAAACCAAACCAACAGCAATAAATTGTTTCGCTTCGAGACCCATTAAACCAAAATTCCATGGAAACACGCGAGATTCAATTTTGTTTTGCGTATTTTTTTGTTCGCTCCATTTCGTTCGCCAAAATGTTTCTACTGACGTGATCATCAATTAGCACGTGCCAATTGATATCGAGCTGCCTATCCTACCCTATCATCTTTTCTCTTCGGGTGCAACTGTCGAGTCGACAGCCGCCGGGTCAAACGATGTCGTCGACATTTGTCGAACATTATTTCATAATCCCCGAACCGTCTTGCTCAACTCTCGATTCATTACATTTTCAATAAAAACCGCCTTTAAGTTTCCCAAGTCGCCTTACCACATTTGTGCCGCCGACACTTTACGGGTTTCGCCGGCCTCCATCCTCAACACTACCCCCAACCGCAATTGTGAGCTTTTTCGTCGCCGCCAATTCTCACTTTAAATATTTGCTGAAAAAACACAAGAGGTCAAAAAAATATTTGCGCCATATGTGCGATTGTTTACTATTATTATTATATGCCTTGTTGTTTAATGACGGGGCCGAGATTCTTTTTCTTTTCTTTTTTTTTCGCACACCCTCTTTTTCTCGTCAGCTTCTCCGTCGAAGCCCAAAATCATCCGTATATTGCAGGATGAACGCGGAGCAGAGCAAAAGTCTGCTTTCGAGCGGACATCTGTCGGCGGACCCTTATATCAACACGTGCTATTCCGAGATGTGCATGTCGACAGTTCAAGCAGGTAAATGCTTGGCACCTTCTGAAAGTACGCACTTCGGCCGGTAAACTACACAGCGACGGATTCGGGGGGGGGGGGGTGCGCCTTAAAGGTCTCGCAGCGAACAGTGGCATTTATCTTTAAAGGCGCACGCGAAACTCGCTACCGTATTCATTTTTGATGACTTAAAAAAGAAAAAAATGATTTGGGTTATGACATTTTTGGTTTTTTTATTGCAAGAATTTCCAAAAAATTTGCTCGCATTTTTTTCTTCTAAAATTTGACTTCAAATTCCGCCTATTTGCTTGATTTTCAGGCAGCAGCAAAAAAAAATTTTGCTTGCAAATTTCGCTTTTCAAAACCAATTGCGATGCTCAAAAATTTGCAGCTCCGCCTCCTCACAAGCACAAAATCGGATGGGTGATAGCGGCGGTTTTCATCGTCGCCGACATGGTCGGCGGCGGCGTCGTCGCGATGCCGGTGGCGTTCAAACTCTCCGGCCTGCCGATGGGCATCATCATAATGCTGACGATCGCGATCAGCTTCGAGTACACCGGCTATTTGTTGGGCAAGGTGTGGAACAAGCTGATGGAGAGGAATCCGCACATCGGCGTGTGCCGAAAACCGTTTCCCGAGATGGCGAAACGGACGATGGGACCAGCGATGCAGTAATTTTCGAGCTCACAAAATATGAATACGTCTCAATCATTTTCCAGACGATTCACTTCCGTTCTCGGCAATGTGACCCTCTTCGGAATCTCGGTTGTCTACTTATTACTATCGGCAAATATTATTCACTTCTTCATTACCCACGTGTTGCACATTGAAAATGTCTCAAATTGTTTGGTATGAAAGTGGTAGATCAAAAAAACAAAAAAATGAAAAGAATCGCGTTTCAGGTGATCGCAGCGCTCGCATTCATCATTTGGCCGTTCACACTGCTCGCGAGTCCCGGCGAATTTTGGTAGTCATGAATCATTTCATTAAACAAAAAAAAAAACGTGCTGCGGACAATTTCCAGGATTGTCATCGTGTTCGCGATGCTCACCACCGTCGTCGCCGTCGGCTCAATTCTCACCGGCATCGCGTTCGATTCGGCCGAGTGCTACGCTCATGTCGCCTATCCCGTCACCACAGGAACCTCGACGGTCCTCTCATTCGGTATTCGCTTTTTTGGCAATTCTCAAAACCTCTTCCTGATTGTCAGGCATCTTCCTGTTCGCCTTCTCCGGTCATTACGTCTTCCCAACCATTCAGCACGATATGAAGAATCCACGGGAATTCACCAAATCGGTCATTTCGGGATTCATCGGTAGCCTCCAACTCAACCCTTCACCAATCCCATTGATTTCAGGCGTCGTCTTACTCTACCTGCCGCTTTGCGTCTTCGCGTTCGTCGTCTACGGCGATTCGATGGCCGAGTCGGTCATCTACAGCATTCAGAGTCCACGAATTCAACTACTCGCCAATCTGATGATCTCGTTCCATTGCATCATGACACTGGTGATCGTCATCAATCCGTTGAATCAGGAGCTCGAGCATTATATGAATATCTCACACGCGTTCGGAAGCGGACGCGTCATCACGCGAACCGTCGTCCTTCTCGTCGTGCTGTTCGTCGCGCTCACCGTTCCCGACTTTCAGCCGGTCATGAATCTCGTCGGTGCGTTCTCGAAACCCATCCCGATTGCAATTCACATCTTCTAGGTGCTTCAACGATTCCGATGGGCTGCGCCGTTCTTCCATCGCTCTTCTACTTGTTCTCCGAAGCAGCCACCGAAGAGGAATGGCGGAAGAATAAGATTCCATCGATCAAACAGTGAGTCAAATCATTGCCTTCCTTCTCATTCTCATTTCTCAGGGTCTGCGAGCGAACCGACAAATCAGTGCTGATCATCAACTTCATCATCATAGGTATCGGCGTCCTCCGAAGCGTTTCGCCCTCCTCTGACGTCAATTTGTTTCAGGCGGCGCGATTCTCGGAGGAATGCTCGGCTCGTATCAAGGAGTGCTGAAGCTTCTGAATGCCAGCTTCAACGCGCCATGCTACGCGAGATTCTTTATGGATACCACCTATAATAGCACATTCCTCGTCAAAAATGTGTACGTCGAAAATCAAAAAAAAAATTACTTTTTTGATGACATCGTCGAAATTCTCGGGATTTCAGGTGCTGCGGCGCTCATCGCGATATCAACGTGTTCAACGTGACGGATTTCTGCTGATCAATCTTCCCGATCGATATTGAGCGTGTTCACTTCAAACCATTCACTTAATAATAATTAGCGGCAAATACTTTTTTTTCATTTTTTTGTACATACTCAAATTCTTTCATTTAAATATGTAAGTATTCTACTAATTTCGTCGTTTTTCTTTTTTTTTTATTGGTTTTTGTACAGGTAAAATCGACCGATGTTCATACCACCCCTCCGAATGATCATTTTGTTTTCATTTTTCTCATTTTCGATTTTTTTTTGATAATTTTTTTTAGAATTTCGAATAAAAATGCAAACCTTGCGATATTAGTTTGGAGAATAAACGAAAAAAAAAGTTGTTCGGCTTTTCTGCAGCTAATCCGCACTCGTCGAAACCTGCAATTAGCTAAATTTACAAACAACAAATATAATTGGCTCAATGGCGAATATTTTAGATATTTTCCTCAAAGTTTGTCGACAATATTGCTATGAAATTGATAAATCGCAATTTGGAATGGGAAAAAACAGATTATTTAAAATTGAAAAACAATTGATACCATTTGGACTAACTACATTCATAGAAACGGCGGCCACGGCCACCACTTGCACAAAGAGATTATAATATTGAAATTGCGCCTTCAAAATTGTCGGATATCTACCAAAATTCGTTTGCTTGATTTTCTACTAAATTTTATAAATGTGAGGGCCAATCGGATCATTGATGGCCGAAACATAAATACAGAATTTTCATTTAAAATTAGGTACGAATTATTTTTTAACGAAAAAAATAATTAACAAATTGTGAATTATTTTCGTATTTTGTTCCAGTAGCATTTATAAGAAAAAATTGTAATTTACTGCCGCTGAACTTGAAAACCAAAAACCGCATTCATCGAGAATGCTTAACCCTACAGGTGACATTGATCAAAGGAACTCAATCAGCTGCAACTGAATGAATCCGGTTTCAGAATAAGAAAGCGCGATCTTTCGGAGTCATTTCGGCCGTCATTTTTTTCTGGATTTTTTAAAATGTTTATCAACTCGATCGATCAGGGTTTCCGAATTTTTTTAATTTAAAAATTTCGAAATTCTGATATATTGTTTCGAATCGTTTTCGACAATTTTAGGCTCCAAAAACTGGCAGGTTCAAATCCGAAGAATGTCAAAATGTCAATTCGTCAAATAATTTTTTGAAGACAATTTTTTGGAGGCGAAATTTGGAGAGAATTTTTGCCAGAAATTCATATTTCGTCTACAATTGAAAATCTTCCACAATTTTCACGTATTACGTGATTCTCGCCGCGAAAACAAAATTGTAAATAATTTTCGCTTCAATTTCCGACTAATTCACCTAATTTAGCTATCGCTGACTGATCGCCTTCCGTGGGAAGGTCGTCGACTGGCTCAGTCTCATCGCCATTCTTCGACGTTCTCTTCGAGCCTCGTTTACTCTTCGGAGTCATTGCACCTGAGCCTAAACCATGTTCACCATTAGACAATTAATCAGAATCATAGATAATTCCGGAGAATAACACTCCTGTCATAAATTGAACAACATTTGAACACTGTTAATCATCAACATCTCTTTATGACTTAAATCGAGAACAATCAAATTATCCGTTGCACTGCGCCAATCTATCCGCCGCGGGGTGTGCGTGCCAGAAGTGCACATGCGGACCTCCACAGATGCGGCAGGTCACCGGCCTATCACCGCATTCAGCCACCGTGTGGTGGTATCTCCCGCAGCGCAAACATATGTACGCCCATCCGATCCGCCGCCTTCTGACGCTGGCACTGGGATACCACCACATTGCATCGCCACGTGCCGTGCGTCCTCGAATGACAGAAGGTGCATGATCTGTCCCCAGAAGGTGCATGATCTGACCTGCTCTCTCATCGCCGCCGACAGGCGATGATCGCATTCGTTGGCGTGCGCTTCCCTGCGCTCTCCTTTCACCAAGTCTGCTACTGTCTTGCCGAGCCGCCAGTAGAATTCATCATCCTTCGGCGTATCGCTGACCATCGCCTTTACCACCGCGTCATAAACGATGTCTTTGACGCTCATATTCGCCGCCGCTGAAATTCAACCAATTAACTTCCCAAGTTTTAAAGGTCAAAGAAAGCGCTCGGTAATTACGACAATTATGACCTGGTGGTCGCCATCAGGATCCTATCTCTTTCAAATAATCACCGGTCGATGCAACATGTAAATTTTGGCACTTCTCCACCCTTTAGTACTTCTAAAAAGGCACCAAAAGGTAGTCCAACATGAACAAATTTTTGTCCCTTTCGGGACCTTCATTGGTGGGCAGAAAGAGGGGGCCTTCATCGCCGTAGCTGGGCTCTGGGCATCATCATTAACCCACCCGAGCATTTCGCTCGGGCAATTTCCCACCCTACGGCAATCCTAGACAGTCCAAGACTGCTCAATTTGCAAAATCTAGGCTTGAACAGTCCCAGACTGCTCGAGCCTTCAAGATTCATCTTGACGCGGCCCTCGGCCGGTCAAGACTCATCTGCCTCTGTCGGTCCTGGCCCCTCGGGCCACCGACATGCTCCCCGAGCATGGTTAGAGGCTTCAACAAAACATGTAGAAAAAGCAGCAGAAAAAACCGACCGCTCGCGGTCAAAACAGCGCTCAGAACTGATTAATTTAGGCCAAATTACAATCCATTTGTTTACTTCCTGGCGTCGCGGCGGGAACCCGTGGGAAAATCCCCCATCACGCCCTATAGACTTTCACCGTCTGCGTCTATTCATTAGGGTTGCAACCGTGCCCTATCGCACAATGTAGATTTACGGCCACATTTTCGAATTTACTTTTCCTCTATCTTTTCCATTTATTTTCCCTTTTTCAGGTCAAATCGTCCAGGATTTGACAGCCTATCCGAAGCGTCTGAAAGAAGTTATCAAGAATCGAGGCGGAAGAATCGAACAACGATAATTAATTTGTGATTGATATGTGTTGAATAAATGTTGGTATTAATTTGAAAGATTTTTGTTGATTTTAAAAAAATTTTATCGATACACCCGTAATTTTGCCGCACCCTGTATTTTTTTAGCTCTGAATTCAATTTTGAAAACAGAATTTGAAAATTTTCACAATTGACAAAGTTACACCCAAAAACAGGGGTGGCTTTAGAAATGTGAAACGCACTGGATATTTAACAAAATTTTTTGATTTTGCGGTCTTCGGTGTATTCATATGAAAATTATTATATTTATTTCACATTTAATCGCTAATTATATGAGAAAAAAACGCCAATCATTGATAGAATGAGAGAGAAAAAACCAGACTGCTGACGACACTCCGCGTTTACGGCGCCCTTTGTTTAATGAAAATAGCGTCGGCGGCAATTCAAACAGACGTCCTGTGGGACCCTGTTTTTTTGGCAACATTGCCTTCATTTATTTTACGTTCATTTCTAAATCAATTTGAAAATGACACGAGGATCTTTATTCAACGATACCAAAAAAGGTACCATCGATTCCTTAAAATTCCAGATTTCATAAGTTGGAGTTTCTCAGACGGCAACAATCATTATATGAAATGGTTTTCAGGTTTTGGACTGTGCGGCAACCGAATTGCCGGATTGCCGAAATTGTTTATTTTCAGCAATTTGATGTCGACGAAAAAAATCGACGAACTAAAAAGAAAAATCCATTGGATAATTTGGAATACCTCGAAAATTCGCTATTTAAATTTCGAATTATCGTTGAAAAAAATTTAAAAGCCGAATTTTCTTTTTTCAATTTTCGGCAACTTGCCGAAATTTCTGAAAATTTCAAAACCCGCCAAACTTTTGAAATTGAGCACCGGCTTTCGCATTTATGGCATTTTGCTAATAATTTTTTGGAATTATCAACGATCATTTCGGGTTTTCCTTTTTTGGTCATTTTTTCCAAAAAAAAAATTCCTTGCGAATATTTGAATATTTATTTTTCGATACTAGTTATTAGACTATTGCTTCTTTCAAGAGAAATCAGATCGCATTAATATTTTTTTTTGCATAGAGATTTTTTTTCAGAAAATGTGCAATCGATTTAACTAGGGACCAACAAACTTAGAGATATGGACCGTCAAAATTGGTGCCCTCAAGTGGTCTCAATTTGAATTAATTTGTGATTTTTGATTTCAACAAATTCATCTCTATCTAAAATTTAGAATATTTTTCAATGAATTAAAAAAAACGAATAGACTTTTCCAATAATCATCGATTCAATTTAATTATGTCTAATCAATAATTTATGAGAGACTTTGCCTGACATCACAATAATTGAAATCGCTATGAAAAAAATTTAATTTTCTCCGTATATTCATAATCGACTCAACTCCAGAAATTCAAGAAAAACTCACTAATATATTATAAGTCTCAAAATACAAGTTTGATTCGCAGGCTATCTGTAGTACGGTACCGGAATTGTCACAGTTTCATTCGAAATTTGAATTCGCGCGCTTATTAGAAATTTGGTGGGCGGAGTCTAGTGGTCCGCAATGTGTTTTAGGTTTTTCATCCGAATATCAAAATTCCCTTCTCTTCCCCATCATGAGAAATTTGCGTTGCGATTTTCGAGAAAAAAACAATACATAAGAAAAGATTATCAATGGAGCGCGTTTGCCGCAAAACTGTTTTGATTGAAAAAGAAAAAAAAGCGAGCTAAAAATCACTAAAACTCGCCTTAATTAGTTGTTTTCCAAGCGGTTCGCTCATTATTTTCCAATTTGCGCCAACGAGAAGCAGCGTCGTCAAAAAAAAATGAAACGTTCGAAATTTGTTGTGGACCTATTCATGCAATGGAAAAAATGTTTTCATTGGAATTCCCCGGTCGAAAATTACAAAAAAAATATGACGTGATATATCGTAATTCTCCGCTATTTATTTTCAAAGGCGCACGTGAAAAGTTGCGCGGGTCACGTCGCGAAGTCGGTACTGTAATTTTTATTTTTCATTTTGTGTTCTATTTTTCCGTATTTTTCTCGAAAACAGTGAAGAGAAAATGTGTAACGGATTGAAGAACGAGAGAAAAAACCAATTATTGGTATAATTACTCCGAATTCCACAATATAAGTCTATTTTTCGTCATTTAGATAACAATTAATATGAGAAATAGTGATCTTTGTGCTGATTTGATGCAGACCTTGCTCGATGACGCTTCTCATGAACCTTTAACGTTGATTAAACAATATACTTTTACAGATTTCCAAAAGAAAACGTTTTAAACGCTCGAAAAATAAAAAAATCAGAAAAAAAAAACAGCCATTAAAAAAATACAGTACCGACTTCGCGATGTGACCTGCGCAAATTCTCGTGTGCGCCTTTAAAAACAAATAGCGGAGAATTACGATATATCGCGTCAATTTTTTTGTAATTTTCGATGTGCGTAGGGAATCCAAATTTAAAAAAAATTGATTAAAACAAATTTTTGTTCATTGCATGAATAGGTCCATTGGAAAAGCGCCCCCCCCCCCCCTCCCTAGTTTTTTGTACGTTTTCGCAACTCCTTTGTTCCGCCATTAAAAAATCATGTCATAAGAGAAGCATTTCAAAATCTCGCCTCGTTCTTTAGAATTCGGTGTCCGCCGATGTCCGGTAGCCGCTCGACGGTCAACGAGCAACAATGAATGATTGATAAACCATGCGTTGCCTCTCTTTCGTATATTGTTCCCTTCCGATTAAAAATAATGTTTTCTTTTTTTGTGTGGCCAATCCGCCCACGTATCAAACTACATATATACATCTTATCAATCGATTCGAATTTTTGTTTTATCGAGTTTGATTGGTTTTTCCACAAATTCTCCTCTCTCATTTCACTTTCTCAATATTTTCATTAAAGGGAAGAATTGTCGTCGAATGAAATGCACAAGTCCGCAATCAATGCGAATTCGCTTATTTAAATTTTCCCGCGGTGTTTTTTTTCTCATCAAATGCATTATAGGTCTATGCACACCGAAAAGGGCACTTGCGGACTTGTGCATTTTAATTGACGACAACAATTTGTTTTTGTTTTTCTCAACAACCAAATAACCTACAATTTTCGTTCGTTTTCTAATTTCATTCGTTTCTTATCAAGCCACCATGATAGTTTTTATTAATTTCGAGGTGGTCTACTCTTTAAGATCATTTCTGAAAATTCCAATTCTTCGAAAAAGATTTAAATGCTAAAATTGATAATAATAAAATCAATTGTAATTAAATATCAAGCTTCTAAAATTACTGAGAATGAAAAAAAAATTGTAAGAAGAATTTAATTAGTCTACTTTTCCAAAAAAAAAATCATAAGTTTCAAGTCAACGTGATTTGGGTCTCGAAACGAGCGGCGCGGAGTACACAGACACCCATCGTCGTCTCGAGACCATTGCCAGAAATGAATTACGTCAATGTGTCATGAGATTCTGCGTTTCTTTATTTTCCGAACACTGACCGATAAGGTTTAATCCTTGAGGAAAAGCAACTATAGGAACAAAAAAATGTAGTCGGTGTACCGCGTACCCAAACACCGAATTTCACGACACTTGTCCATCGATTCGACATTTTTCAAAAATGCAAAATAAGAGGCAAAGTCTGAAATTCTAAACATTTTGTTCAAAATTTAAAAAAATGAAAAAAATTTCTGCATAAGAACATTTGGAATTTTTACAGACTAGATTATTTTTGTTTCGGCGCGAAATTCAAATTTTGAGGGGCTGGGGACCCAAATATCAATTTCCATTCAATTTTAATATTTAATTTCTGGAAAATGAAGGTCCCTTTATTGCTAGTGGATTTCAATAATTTGAAAAACAAAAAAGAAACATCGCGACTTAATTTTGCCAAAAATTGCGAACCCTCGAGATTTCCCATGATCAACTCCATTCTTCGCGAATTCCATTTCATAATTGCGTCCATCGTCGAACAACTCGTTTATTTTTGCCATCGAATCGCTAATTATGCTAACCAGCAAAAAAAAAGGACATCGAAAATGTGGAAATTAGTATTCTTCAACTCGACGACAAAAATCTGCATGTCGCTATAATTTTCGACGCGTCGACTCGACGAAATAGTTTCCCACCAATCATGGATGTGTTGCATTGTGTCGACGTCCGCGTCAGTCGCGCCGAAGCACATATTCACACGGCGGACTACAATTCCCCGACGCCTCCCCCCCCTCCCGTGTACCTTATAAGGAGATCGACGACGTTGCAGTTTCGCTGAATCCAAACCAAACACCGCCAATCCAATTGTTCCTATTTTTTCTCGCCACAAATAATTTTTCGAGAAAAATCCGAACAAAACCTATCAATCATTTTCATTTATTCATTTTTGTTGGGGGTGGGGGGGGGTCTGATTTATTGCTACCATATTCATTTCTTTTCCGGCACTACTCCATTTTTCGCAATGGTTTTAGCTGAAAATGCGTTTAAAAAAATTGTTCATGGCCTAGAATTTTCGCGGCCACCTCTCTTCGGCCACCCCTATTTTATAGCGGATTTCTATGGCTCAATCAATGTTTAAAGGTTCATAAACGCGAATCGTTTTGTTGAGGTCTCGCCGCGCACTCGTTTTGCACGAATCTCTGCAAAAAAAACCCCAAACAAACCAATTTCGGTGCAAAATTTCTGCAAACAAAAAAAATATATATAACATTGATAGATAACCCATCCGGAACTGCGTATTATTTCAATTATAGCCCCCATTCTCGTCGAGCTTTTATGTGTCGACCGAAAAAGCTACCGTAATCCGACGACGACGTTCCATTATCTCGGATTTTTTATGGGGTTGGGACGCCTCGTGTTTTGTCGTCGTCGTCGTCCCGTCCATCCATTCATATCCATCCATTTGTGCGCGCGTCTCTTTTGACGTGACAAGCTCATGCCCCGCAAGCTTCTTCCAATTTCAATTGAAGTCATAAAAATGTGCGGGGGGGGGCGGAGCCTTGCGGATGACCCATTTGATCTACACGCGTGAGGGACCACCCACATAATGGAATATTGGATTTGCCATTCGCTTATATTCTACCGACCGCATGTATCTCTCTATCGATGGTAATTTGCAGGACAACAAAAATGTTGAACGGCTTCATCGCCTACGCGCTTCTCATCATCGTCGGCGTGCTGACGAGCGCGAGTTTCGGAATGCCGCCGCCGCCGCCGCCGATGTCGGCGTCGATCGCCGTCGGCGGCATTCAGACGCATCGCGAATCGCGCGCCCTCACACCGTCCGTCAAAAATTGGTGCATCTTCTATCGCGAGAAGTGAGTCAAAACCCCGAGAAATTGGGTCTCGAGACGATTCTCGAAATTTTTTTCGAAATCGCGCGTTCGCTTGAAAAATGTACAAATTCCATCTTTTCCACCCAAAATTCACACCAATGTTGCCAAAATGCGTGTTTGATCATTCATTTTCGGCGAAATTTGTCTGATTCCCACGAAATCAAACGAAACAATTTTCCAATTTTGATATTCAACGTTCCAACGTGATTTGTCATACGTCAAATCGTTGCTCATTTCTCCTAATTTTTCTCGTCATATGTCAATTTCGTGTGAATTGGGACCCCCCCCCCCGGAAATTGGGTTCATCGGTTTCAACTCCAATACTTATTTTTCGCTATCAATAATTTCATTTCAATTCCATCGTTCGAAATTGTAGCAAAAGACCCATCAATAGGGGGGGGGTCTAACCGTTTAAAGGCGCACTGCAAAAAATTAGAATATTCTAGAACTTCCTTTTTTTGTAATAAAACTGCTGAAGAGCCACAATCATCATCGTAAAGTCGCTTCAAGACCTATTCGATTTCTTTTTGCCAACTAGTCGAATGCCTGCATGTCTAACAGACCATATGACCTCTTCTAGAATATTCTAGAAACTTTTTACCTTCAATTATTTCAGATGTCGAATGATGATGTATCGCGATGCGATCAAACGCGGCGACGAGTTCGACTACTAACATCGATATTTCAATATATCTTTCGTTACTCATTTTATTGTGAATAAAAAAACGAAACGAAAAAAAAACAACGATGTCTTTCGTGATGAAAAAAAAAAGAGCGCTGGGTCATATAATCGTTAAAAACGAAAGGGTGATTGGGAGAAGTTGGGATTAATAATGGTATAATTAAAAAATTAATAGTTCAATATTTCATTTGATGGGATAAAATAGGGGGCAACAAAAATATTTGACAGCTTCTACACTCACGGTATCTAACATTTTTGCACAAAAATGGATATTCTGTCGGTTTGGGGTGGGTGGAGATGTGTGGGAGATTAAAATGCTCGTCGACACAAAAAAAAATAGGAAAAGTGGAACAACGGAAATAATAGTAAAGAAAAACCCGTCACAACGAAAACAAAAACGACAAAATTCCAGAATTAATTTCTTTTTGAATCCGAGAAAAAAATTATAATTATAATAAATAATTTAAATAGTTAATAGTTTCGACGAAACAAAAAAGAAACACTGGAAATTGAATTCGGCAGAATTGATTCAGTTGATCTACCATGTCGAGCCGTTCAAAAAAAAAGAGTAGAAAAGAAAATAGCATCTAGAGCTCCGAGAGGACCTGCTGATTGCGTGAAAGAATGCTGCGGACATCCGAGGTGAACCTAAGGGCGTCAAGGAATGGTAGCAGATTCAGAAGGCAAGTGTCGTTCGGATCCGAGAACCATGATGGTATTGGAATCGCATTGTCTGCAAATTTCACTTTTTTTAAAGATATCGCGCTTTCAAATCATTTTCAAATGAAATTTTCAATTCGGATTAATTTTTGTATTCTGCATTCTCAAAAATGTTATCGAAAATCATAGAAACTGATCTTTCTGCAATTCGCAATTTTAAAAATCACTAGAAGAAATTGTGGCAGGAAGACAAAAACAAGGAGTTCTCATCAATCGGATTCGAAGAAAAATGAATTATTGATTTAAATTCGATTTGAAAACTTGGTTTCGTTTCAAAAATCTTCAAAATCGTTCTCATTTTCCTTTCATAAATATATTCGATGGAAATTTTGGACTAATTCGAAACACATTAATTTATATTCAATTTCAATTGAACATATTTTCGAAACCAATTGATTTTCATTTAGCTAGAGATATTCAAAAGTAAGTATTCAGCGAAATGAGCAAACCGTTTTTTATTATTTCATTTTAAAAATATTTTGGACAAACGAATTTCAGGGTGCGATTGCTCAATCATTTGAATTTACGGATTGGGTCCCGTATGAAAAATATCGATTTGGCAATTTTCACGATTTATAACCTTGATAATCTGAAGGGGAATAATATTTCAAATTTTTTAAATTCATTCGCCAACTACTTAGATGTCTTCTTCGAGGTGCTCTACGTTAATGTGACCGGGAAAATCACTCCATTCTAGCTACTACTCGCACCAGAACGGTCCGGAGCCAACATGACCCGATCCAATGTTCCCCCTATTCATTAAATTGATTTTTTTCACAAAGAACAGGTACGGGACCACAAGGAAACCGGATAAATAAAGCTTAGAATATCTACATATAACAGTCTTTCAAATTTGAAACAAATTTTCTGTGCGTTTTTCGTCAAATTGTAACAAGTTCACGGAAAACCATTAATTTTGTTGACAAAAATTTGATATGAAATCATTTTTTATAATTTTAAAACTGCATCGAAGATAATCTGTTTCTAACAAGGGAAGCGCAATTTTAGAAAATTCAGTTGCGACGAGAATCATGATATTATACATTTTAATAAATTTCTTTTTGAACTGTTTAATTTTTAATTTGTGAAATCGCGATTCCTGCAACTATTACACTAAAAGCGGTGAATTTAATAATAATAATAATAATAGTAATAATGTATCCGCTACATTTTTCTAGTAGCATTCAATTTTCTTTTCTTTTTTTTCAAATTTCTCATTTCGGCTTCAAATTTGGAATCGAGTAATTATGAATCAGTAGAATATATATATACTTTTTCATCCAATAATTATCGCCTACTTGGAAAAAGCTTTCAAATTATGAATTAATTAGAGGGTGCCGTGTTTCAAATTAAAATTATGAATTCCAAATGATTAAAAGGCGCGAATATTTAAAAAATTGAAATTCCCGCCCGTTGATTTAAATTGGACACAATTTTTGAACATTCGATGTCAAAAATTTTAATGAAATCAATCTCTCCGCCAGTCGCGATATCAAATTAACGAATCAGCGTTTGCAAAAACAAATTTGGGACGAAAATCTTACGCGGGAATTTGCGATAGGCTCCCGGCGAGTTGTCCAATATACAAATACTCGACAAATCGGGATGGATCGCCGACAAATCTTTGGTGTAGCCGCCAACGTCCATGGTGCAATGCTGACGAAAATAGCGGCGTTTGAGAATACCGCGACCTTTGTCGAGTTTGTCGGCGACGTTCGAACCATAAACTTCCATACTAGCGGTGAATACAACAAGCTCATACCTAAAACCAAGAATTGACATTTTTTTGTCGAATAAAAATCTCACCATTGACTAACTACTGTCAAAAACAGATTGACATGGGGCCGTTCGTGAACCGAAAATTTCACCGGGTGACGATCAATAACAACCTGAACGCACACAATTCAACCGGCAAATTATTGAGACCGTCTTACTCGTATTGTGAAATCTGGCGGGGTTCCTGGCTTCACCATCGGGCGTAGTACACCATCATGGTGTGAATGAATAAGGGTCTCGTCGAGATCGAGCACCAGAATTTTCTTTTTCATCGACACTGCAGAAAAATTGTTTTACTTTACTATCACAACGATCTCCCTTGGTCAATTAAATTGACGCTTCTTATTTATTTCAATAATAGCGAAATTATTTGAATTAATTCGATTATTTGCTCGAACATGAGCGCAAAGTGCACTCGCTTCTTGCAGAACGTCGACAGTTGTTCGATGTCGACAAGCAAGATTTGTGATAGTTTCTCACTAAAAAAAAACAAAAATTTATTGAAAACTTACAAAGGCGATGAGCGGTCAATGGAGACATTGGAATGTTACTTTGATATGTCACTACTTGATATTTACAGTACTGAAATTTTTTGAATTATTGGCATAGCGTTTGCAAACCAATTTACCGCTCTCGTCGTTTTACGAAAAATGAGAACGAAAAAGTTGATGACTGATGCGAGCACCATGTACACGGTGTGAAGGGCGCTGAACATCGCTTGAACCACAATCGAATTTTGTTTCTGCAAATAAACGCAAAATAATAATCAAATTGGCGAACGATGTTTGGTGATTCCCTTTGGGAAACGACGCCGTCGCTGCGCGCACGCGTAACATCGCTTACCTGCTCTCGCCGTCGTTGCAAATCTGATTGATTAACGTGCTTATTCTGGCGATGCATTTCTGCGCATCGTCTGCTGTCGGGCGAATGCGCTAAAATCAATTGTGTTGAAATAAAGCGAATAATCAATTCGACGATTCAATAAGATGCACAAAAATTGGAAAAAATAAGCGAATAAAAATTTCAGTGAAAAAACGCAACTCGCTGATTTTCGTTTCGCCACAAATAAAGCGCGTCGTCAAATGCGGTGTGTTGGACGTGACGCGCCGCAACGCCAAAATGCAGACAAGTTTTGTAGCGAAATTTCATTGGGCAGCCTATTTCGCTCATTATTTTCATGTTTTTTCCATGTTTATTCAATAATATTTTATAATAATATTTAGTAGATTTATTTCATCAAAACAATACGATTTTTTTCGGAAGAAATAGCAAAATAAATGTCAAAAAGTTGAAAAATAAAACTTATCAACAAAACGCGTGATTTTTTATTTTTTATGCTCTTTCAACTGATAAGTACACTATTTAATGATAAAAAATCAAGTTTTCTAGGTATGGCGAACCTGCCAAGCAGCAGCATGTTCACTAAGCTGCTTTCAAAGGCCTTTTCACCAGTGACCACATCAAAATGTATGGCATCAGGAAGATGGTATCCACAGCCAGAGTATGTCTTTATTTTATTTCAAAAAAAAATATATATACAATGCTTTGCTGTGGATTTCATTTTTGTGAAGCTAAAGGGGTTGTTACAATTCGCCAAAAAATTCGATTAATCGGCTCAATCAACAAACAAATATATATCGCCAATTGTCCATTTATTTTTGTTTAAACAGAACAATTGTAACAATTCTTTTTGCAGTCACATGATGTATTCCACGGCGTCCAATGAAAAATCCATTGCGCAAAAATCTGACGATGAGGTCGTTGTATCGCCGAAGCGCGGCGTCGCACTTTCAAAAGCCGATGCGGCGCCCGTCTACGCCGAGCCCAAATCGAAAGGCGATGGATTTGAGCTAGTCGAGCACAAGAAGGGCGAGATGGTCGCGAATTACACACTCTTCGAAGCGTCTATTAATAAGGCGAAGGTGCCTTGGGTGGATTATGATCGGCTGACCAGTGAGGAAAGGACCATTCATATGGCTCACATGAAAGCCGTCAATGAGCGGAAGCTTCATTATAAGGATCCCGCCACCGGCTACACCGTATTCACCATCTCGCAGCATTTGAAGCGCGGAAAATGTTGTGGAAGTGGATGTCGGCATTGCCCCTATGAGCACGTAAATGCACCGCCGGAATTGAAGGCATCGAAAGTGTGGAACGGCGCATATTACCTCTGATTTTAGCGTGTTGTTATAGATATAATAAATAGTTTTGAAAGAAAAACGTTTTTTTTTAAATACATGGAATTTTTAGATATGAGCTGTCGAAGCATCGCACGAGAGCCCCTTCAATGGGCATTCATCGTCGGACACGCCTCAATGTTGTCGACAATTCGGCGTTGGGAAAAGAGGTAGGATTGAATGGGAAAATTAAACATTTTTAAAAGTTCTCACGAAATTAATTTTTTTAATGTCAAAAAAAATTATTGTCGAAGTCGCTGAAAATTGGCTAAATGCCAATCGCCAGTGGTCTTGGCGCACAACTGTAGGTGTAAATTTACGTGCCTATGTTTAGGATATGTTAAAGGCGCACAGCTTTATGTTTTGGAATTTAGCCAATTTTTTACAATCGGGCAACTTCGACAACCAATTTCTCAAAAAGGAAAATATTCTAATAAAGACACATGACGCGAAATTTGAATATTGAAAAAAATTGCCAAGGAAACGAGCACATTGAGTAATTATGGACGATCGCAGTTTTTTGGGAGAGCGACAATTTAAATTTAAATTAAAACAATGGGAATTCGGGTTCTCATAACCTGCGAATCAAACTCAACGTAAATCTACGCAGAATTCTAGTTTTATTTTTGCGATTATATAAGAATTTCAATAAACCCTATTAGAACATTATCAGAAGAAAACTACAGTACGTGTTTCTTTTCAGGACCCAGATAATATAATTTTTTCAAATCAAAATTAATTGCCCATTTTGAAAAGACAAACCCCGATTCAAACCAATGTTTCGCAATATGAATAGGATTTTTAGACTTCGAAAAAATCGTTTCTTACCTATTTATTGTCCTAAAAAGGGCAAAATGAATAAATTAAAACCGTTTCCCAAATTTTCAGGCCGACGCGGCCGGCAAACTGCCATATTGCATTCATGTTTACAAACAAGGCGGCCGCGCCAAACACATGCCGCACGCTGTTCTCGGCGATAAGGCGAGTGTTATTGGGTTTTTTTTGGTTTCGAACGAATCGACGTCGATTTTCAGATTCTCGTCGCGATTCGCGGTCAAATGCGCAAAGCCTATGTCGTCGGAGCCAACACGCATGTGCACTATCGAAAGCATGGTGTTCCGAGCACCGATTCCAATAATATCGTCCTTTTGGATGAAGAAGGTACATCCGAAAGATTACTCTAGCAATTTTCTCCAATCGATGTCGAGCAAAAACGAAAAAAGTTGTCCATAATTTCAGGAAACCCGCTTGGCAATCGCGTCACTTCTCCAATTCCGACGAAATTGCTCGCCAAACGCGACAATGTCCAATTCTCCAAAGTTTTGGCGTTGGCCAACAAATATATTTAGACGCGACTCTCTAATTTGCTCTTTTATATAGTTTAGTTAAAGATAAACTTTATTCAACAAAAATGAGATGATAAAGAAGATAAAAAAAGATTGAAATATTGATTAGAAAATGGGCGTGGTGATTGATGAAAGAAAATCGTAATAATTGTAATAATAGCCGAAGTACACGTTGAGGAGATGAAGAAACATAACTATGCGTCGAAATGGCCGGAACCATCAATATTAGTGGGTTCATCATTTTTTTTTTGAAAAGTTAGTTCCAACTAAGGACACGGCCGTTTTGCAGGCGGCGAATCGTTGATTTCAGATTTTACAGTCTGAAATTCCATTTTTCGAAATCAAAATCAATTCAAAAAATTTTCTATATACCTTTATTATAGGTTTTGCCTTCGAATATCTCGATTTTACCACCGTCTGCGGTTCGTCAGTTTTTTTCGGAAGTCCCAGAATTGGCTTTGCTTTCGCGTATCGCGATTTCACCGTGATGATTGGCTTCGTCTCAAGAGTAGACTCGGTAGATGGAGCAGGAGAAGGACCCGCCTGCTCAGCAGCAGCAGCCTATAATTAGAATAATTAGAGGCCAATTCTCGACAATTTCTCACCAAAGACGGCCCAATTTGCTCGGCGACTTTCAGCTTCGATTCTTTGGAAACTTCTGAAGACGGGACCAGCGCGTTTCTAAACAAACCGAATTCACTTCGATCAACCGCTCGCCACCCCCAACAAACCCATCGGTTAATGCGTAGTCATTAAGATCAAGAGCTTCCTTCATCCGATCAAAGCTCTCGTCCGACGGATTCATCAATTTCCGATTTTTGCGGCTTTGATCCCTCTCCAATTTCGTCAATGTCAACGGATTGAGCTGCTGCCGGATTTCAGCAAATGTCTCATTCGCAAGCGCGTAAACTTCGCGTTTCGGCTGGAAATTGGCGATAACAATCTCACGAGAGTGGTCTAAAATTGATTACCGGCAATGGTGTGGTCCTGCTGACCGAAAGAGTTGTCGCCGAATCAATCTCTTTCAGCACATCATAATTGACCTTGTTTGATAGCCGCCGTTCCTGAAAAATTTTGTATTGAACGAAAAAAAACCAAATTTCCCTCACATGAATAACTTTCTCAATCGCATCCAATGCCGTCATCACCACCGGCTCCGATTTCTTCGGTCGCCGTCGCCGCTTCGCGTCGGGATTCGCCTCGCGCTCACGTCGTCGCTCTTCGATCGCCTTCATCGCGTCGCCGTTCGCCTTCATCCAATACGTCGTCTTTATTTCAACCTCCTTCTCATTCAATATATAGCTATCAATCTCCGAGTCCGATATGAGATCATCTGAAAACGATTGATAACGCATGACACTTTCAAAAACCCATCAGCGAACCATCATCCTGCTCAGTGCGTGGTTGTTGAGGTGGCGGCGGAGCCTGCGATAGCTCATCACCAACAGCTTTTCGGATTCCCATTGATTCCAACGACGGACCAAGGTGACTATAATTCGAGTTCGAGCAACTAAACCCCAAAACTCAAATCAAACAGAAATTCATCAAATTTACCTCGGCTGATCGTCAGCCGCATTGTAGACAGTCTCTAGAATCTCATCGCGAACCAATTTGCTTTCCGCATGTGCCAGTCCATCTGAGAACAAAAAAAAACCGATGAATCGCAAACATCAATAAATTTTGGAAGCTCACCAACGTCGCCCGACACCAATTTGGCAAACGGCGATTTGCTAAACTTCTCTCTTCGCTTCTTCTCGAGCGCCATCTCGACCTGCTCCTCCATCGGCCGAAGCTCGTTCTCCATTTGCGCCGCCTGTTCAGCCTCTTTGCGTAGTTGCTCTTCGCGCGCTTTTCGTCGCGCTTCTCGAAACGCCGGCGGATCTTCGCTGTGCTCCTGAAGTCAAGCGATTAATAATATTAATAATAATTCGACTCTCACCAAATCGATACTGGAGAACTCGTCAATCGTGAGACTTCCCGATGGCGTCTGACTGAACTCCTCTAGACGTTTTCTCACCACCGATTCACTGATGTGCACTATTTTGACGACGTCATTGATTGTTCGATTGAAGTTCAATGAACGGGCGGCGATGAGGAGCGCGGCTCCGCAGATTCCCGTCGGTCGCCGTCCCGTCGACATCCAATCGCGTTTCATTCGCTGAACGAGCCGAGTGGCGAGATTGACTGCCTGCAAGAAAATGTCCACAGATGAGTATGGTGAAAATCAATTGTAGTGCGGGCACGATTCATTATATAAATTGAAAATAAATAATAAAATAAATGGGTACATTACAAAAAATAAAAATGATTTTTTTCAATTTGCTTCTCAAATTGTTCCATACCAAAAGAGGCCCAATACAAATAATAAAAAAAAACAGCACTGAAATTTTCAATTTATTAGAATTATTAGCAATTTCAATAAAAATTGACGGTACTACACATAAAAGCAAGTTAAAATCGAACCCAAAAAATCGCTAACCGGTTTTTGGAGTTTTTTCCGCAATTTTTATTGCACAAAAACAGTTGTTAGGGTTTTTTTTTAACGAAAACAGTACAACAATTATTCATATTTTAAACGACTGAATAAAATTTGAAAACAAATTTGACACTACCTCTTTCTGTTTTTCGCCGAGCTCGAGAAGGCACGCGAATCGAATAATATACAAGCACGGGTCCGTCGACGGCAAATTTATTTTCAGAGATCGCGTCAAAAAATTCAAATTTTTTCCAAGATCATATACATTAACCTACAAATATCTCATTGTATTGATTTGACGAAGAAAAACAAAGAGAAGGGGCCGCGCCCACCTGAGTAACATCGCTGAAGTCTAGCAAAAGATGCGCCGTATTCTCAAGACGGCACGTGATATACAAACACACCGCGGCAACGACAACCCTAAAACCATATTTGGGTTCACATCGACGAATTCGACGGGAAAAACCTTGTTCGTCCTCTTGTCAGATTCCTCGAGACGCACATTTTGAAAAAATTGAACGCGGTGTCGATACAATGGTTGTTTATTCGAAGCTGACTCGCTATCTGAACGAGTAAAAAAAATGGCGGGGAATCTCAAAAAATGCTACCTCTTCGATGACTTTTCGCCCTTTCGCGTACGTCACCTCTCTCGATTCTTGCGTGCCCATTCCGTTGAAATTGTTCGACGCAGCGCGCTCCGACGAAATGAACTGTCCGACGAGCATGTGACCGGAGCCGCCGGCGCGCTCTTGAAACTGATTCTCGGTGACGACGATCGACTCCTCGAGCACCGTTCCGCAGCTCATGCATGTCGCGTCTCCTGAAATTGCGATTGTTTTGATCCATACGAATTCGGAAGAAACTCGTTTCTACCAATATAACGATTGGAACCATGAAGAATTTTTTTGTTGGTTTTTTTTTTCTTCGAAATGGTTTTTTTGAACTAATTTGAGACAATCAAAATTTGGAAAAAAATTTACAAATACGTAAATGGAAATCCTCCAGATGCGAAAAAAAAAATGAAAAATAAAATATTTACCTAATTCGATTGAGAATCTCGATTAAATGTCTCGTTTTTTCAAAACTGATAGTTTTATAGAAAAAACTCCTTGAGAAAGATTGAGAATATAAGCAAATTTTGAATATCACTTAAAGGATTCACTTTTCTATTGGACTTATTCAGGAAATATAATTTTTTTACAAAAATGTTAAAATTACATTTAAAGTGCATTTTTTCAATCCGCGAAAATGGTTAATTTTTAAAAAGTTCGTTTCGTTAAAAAAACATTTAAAATATAGTCAAAATTCAAATAATCACTTTTAATTATAGGAAAAATACAAATTTAAAATATTTTTTTGTTCTTTAATGATCTACTTTAAAAAATAAGGAATTCCATTTTTAAAACGTTAAACCAATTCGGTAAAACGTCTAAAACACAATTTACCTCTGGCCGGATCCTCGTCAATATCCGAGCTTCCACAATGCGTGCAAGTCCTCATTCCAGCACCTGAATTTTCAAAAAAAAACCTTCAAAAATAAAAATGAAAATTCGCAAAAATATACCGGGTAGCAAAACCCATCGGGAAACTGATAAAATGTTTAGTCGTTTAAAATTTTAATCAACAACAATTGATTTTCAAAAAACAAATGAAAAACTCGAGAAAGAAACGCTATAAAACGACATTTTCTTGATGATTGCTTAGATACATGGCAAAAAAAGACAAAAAAAAAGAAACAAAAAATAAGAGCAGAATTATTCGATGTCAAACGGAAATGATATTTTGTTTTGAAACAATCAACATAATTTACTAAACCTTTGAATAAAAAAACCGATCAGATTAATTAAGACAACGGGGTGAGAGAAGAAGAAAACCGTAATCACGCGGGGAAAGAAGCACACAAAATTTTAGGATACATATATGTACTTGTTCTGGTCATTTGCCGATCTCTGGATATAGTCGCGATCAATTAGAGACGCGATTCTCGTTTTTAGATCGACACTCTTCACCGGGAATCTGAAATATTCCATATTTCGATACGATTCGCATTTTTAAACATTTTTGTAGGCGTTGCGCAATTAAAGGGGGTCTTGTGCGCGGTGTGCGCCTTTAACATACATAGACCCGTAAATCGACACTTTTAGTTTTGTGCCAAGACCACTGTAGTTGTTCTTTTGGCAATTAACCAATTTTCCGCAATCGCACGACACGTAATTTTTTGACTTTTAAAACATATAGCATGAAATAGACAATATGTTTAATATCTCAATTCTTTCAATTTTGGAAAACATTTACGCTACTAACCGAAATAACTTTTTTTAACTGAAACAATATTTTTTCGCTTAATACTTCAATAAAAATTATTCAAAAATTACGCATTTTTTTTAATGCAGGGAGATTTAAAAAAAAACCATTTTTTAAGAATAAAAAATCAAATGCTTTATTTTACCTGAGTTGTGCCATTGTCTCGTGAATCAATTGCGAATGTAGAAGCTCTTTTCTCGATTTCATGATTCTAACTATTGCAGCGTCGATCTTCATCTGACGCTCTTGGCAAACCTCCTGCTCAACCTTCTCGTTCTCTTCCTTCTAAAAAATTGACAATTAATTATTGTTTCAAAAAAAAAAGCCGGGAAAAACATACAGTGGCCTTGATTTGAACATGCGCGATTCGAATGCGGTACAACTTCTCGCTAAACTCATTGTTGACAATGAACGTGTCGGATTCAATCGTTTCGAGACTCGTCTCTTTTTTCGACGATCCCGGATCGCTCGAATCTACGCAGCGGCGAAGAATTTGCGGTTTTCCACGACCACCAGCCAACGAGAGAATTGTTCGAATCACTTCAGCCTTTTCTAGAAAAAAAAACAAACGCGAGAAATTTGGGTAAATTGTGATGATTGCACTTACGAATTTTGGTAGCATCGACAATCTCACTAATCGTCCATTTCTCGGTGTTGTTGAACAATAAAAGGATGACAGCATGATACAAAGTGCCGACGAGCTCTTTTTTACACTAAAAATTCGTTATCTTGGAAAAAAAAACGGATTTTCTCCTACATTTGCTCGGAATGTCGCTGTTATATTTGCGGTGCATTGCGAATAATGCCATTTAAGGACGCGATTACTGTGCTGACTCTTGTAGAACTCTGTGAAATCATGCAGACTATCACGAAGCTCACGCGGAAGGCAAATCTGAAAACTCAAATTTCAGTTCAGGAAACCAAGGAAAACATTTTTTTTTGGTAATTTTTTCGCTTCACAAAAATAACGGATGAAAGTCGCGTGACATTTTCTAAAATACAAAAATATTTCGAGATACGGTAATTGTGGGCGCATGTAGCTAAATGTGTTACATCTCGCCACAACTAGTTACCGTAGCCGGATTTAAGACTAATAATAAAAAAGGGATTTCGAGAAAATATTCATAGCATAGCTAATTTTTCGCGTTATGTGTCTTTCTTTAATTTTTTTTATTTCGCCACTAAATTTCTCTTCATCGCAATTTTATTTAATTGTAATTCTATTTAAATAACAAAAAAAAATTAAAGTAATTACAAATTGAAATACTAAATTCCGTGATCCGCAGATGATATTTATATAAAATTCAAAATTAAATTGAATACGGTAATTAAAGGCGCGCAGTTTTTTTGTGGACGGCTCTCACTTATTGTAATTTTGATTTTGAGAAAACAGACTACAAACACGATAAATGAATTTAAGATTTTAGAAATCAGAAATCATTTTACAAAAAAAATTATGCGTGTTTGCGTACTCTGCGTTTTAGCCTACGCGCAATACACAGTCAACACTTAAGTTTATTCAATTTTTTACAAGAACTACCTCATAGCATTCATAAGTCGGCCAGCATTCAGTAGTAAGAACACGAACATTCATATTATTCTTCGGCTTCTTGTGATGTTCAAGATACTGCAAAAAATGTTCACGTTTTTTGAGTTTCCCTTTTTTGACTCAATATGATGATACCTGCTCGAACATTTTGTTCAAACTCTCCGACATTTCCATATCTTTGAACATCCCTTCAAGCTTGTGCGTGAATCCAGCGCCACATTCCATTTTAAGCTTCGACAACACCGCCTTCTCAGCGTCCACCGAAGAGCTGCGATCAAGGAGGAGGCGTTTCGCCAGATCGCGCTTATAGAATGCCTCGAACATATCCTTGCCGTGGACGAAGCGGAACACGCTGACCGCGTCATTTAGCATCTCATCGAGATTGTCATCAGATGCCTTCTTATGACAAGTACGAAGAAGCGAATGGAAGTAGCGAGCTGAAATACGAAATTCTGAATTCGAATTTGCTCTTCGCAATTCTTGCCTATCAATTCCGATGATCTGCTGGATTTTTTGTTCATGAAAGTCTCGAACGAGTCGCGAAGAGCCTGACGGAACTTGTCCGGATCCGACGGGTTCTCGAAGCCCTCTTCAGCTAAAATAAATCCAAATGAAATCAAATTTATGCAAAATTTCGGCTTACTTATCTTATCCATTCTCCTTTTAAAGCTCAATATCTCATTGAAGAGGTCGTCGTCTTGGCAGGTATCCATCATTTTGGCTCCCTTCTCTTTCATATATCTCACAAATTCATTTCGAATATATTCCTCTCCGTTGGGGCACATTTTGCACAACCAGAATGTTCGTTTCACAATTTCAACGTCTTGACATTCAAGAACATCGTCGAGACCTGAAAATTCGCATTGATGAGATTTCAAATTGAAAAACAAATTTCTTACGTTTATCAATGACACCGGGTAACGAGGCGGCGACAAGGGTCTCGACAAGAGCCGAACTGATTCTCTGAAAAAAATAAAGCTTGAATTCGTTGAATTCAACACGATCAAGAAATTTACCCTTGCGGCAGTCGGCTCGCAAAAGTAGTTTATTCCAATATTGGTATATGTTGAAACATTCTCATGGCAAAATTCCATATATTCGCGGCACTGAAATCAAAATGGTGAGGAAGATTCGAAAAAACACTTGAAGCTTACCGATTTACTGAGCACGTACTCATCCCGCATTTTGGAATAATGCTCTCTTAGTCGCATTATGAAATAATCCATGAAATGCTCGTAACAGTGAACGTCGATGAGCATTCGAAGAAGCTCGCGAATCGCATCCTTCTCGCACTGCAACCAAAATTTATTTTTGATTTAATTCAACGGCAAAATTGTCCACAGAGATAAATTACCTCTTTTCGATTGCACATCTTCTGAAGATCGAGAAATAGCGCTTGATAAAGTTTTGTCGATGGTATATCGCTGCTGATCTCCGGGAAAAAAATGACACGAAATGCTCGCATGCAAGTCTCCCAAATTGGTATGATTTCCGAGTCCAAGTTGCTTGTCGTCACCACGAAACGATCCATATAAAGGAAGACGTTGCGAACGAGATTCTGAAAAAAAAAATTGCGATTTCTCAAGCGCAGTTGTCTTTGAAAAAATGACCATTTTAACTGGGAATATCTTCCAAATTTTTGAAAATTTTTGCAAATATCCACCGCAAGTATCCTCGTTCAAATGGAATGTGTCGCTTTCATCAAACTCCTTCCTAAATGTTTTTAAATTGAAATTAAACATTTTTGGGAAAAAATTACTTGAGCTTTTTGGTGTACTCCTCGATGACATTTACTAGTTTATTATAAACTACTGCTGGCGTTAGATTCGTGCAGGTTGAATGGACATTCTATAATTTCAAAAAATCGACTTGTTTTACAAATCTTCCTACTATGTATAAAATTTCCAAAGTGCTATTCGTTTTTCGATCATTGAAAATCGCGTCGATATTCTCTTGCAATACTTCCCAGCATTTTGTCGGCGATTTTTCAGTTTTCGGTTTCTCATTGCTCAATTTTAATCCGAATGTTTTCACAATTAACTTCTTTTTAGTTCCGTCCGCTTCACGGTTTCCCAATGCTCTTGTATTCTGAATCAAACTTTTTTAAAATTATTGCCAACTTTTTGCTTCTTACTGTGAACGCATTCGAAAAATTGTTCTGACAACTGCTGGACGGTTGCATGGCTACGTCGACGTTTTGCCGTTTTGTCTAAATTTTTTGCATTTTTTTCCCGTTCGATTCCAACCAACCTTACGTCTGAAGACTGATTTGTGGAATCTATCGCTCGCTTTGTAGCTTTTCGTTGAATTTTACCAACACCGTTTGTAGTTTCTTCTTTAACACCTTTTGGCATTAAATGATGTCTAGAAATCAAAAATTAATCGGTTAGTTGCATTATGATTTCAATTTTAATGTTAAAATAACGCTCTGACATTGATTTTTTGACTGGTCTTCATAAAAATCGATGAAAAATAATCGACTTCTCCGATAAATCAATGCAAACGATGGCGAATTCTGGAAAAATGAAAACAAAAAATTGTTGAGCAATAATTGCGCCAAGGATGTTTGTCACTGACGCATTTCTCGTGAGCAATTAGAATTGATGTATAGACGAGTGAAAAGCCTAAAATGATTGCCCTCTATCAGAAATAATCGTAAAAAATTGAAGTAAAACAATTCGATGTGATGCAAGAAAAATCATTGAGAGAACAGATACATATTTTTATTTTGGAAATTTTATATTTTCAAAAAATATAATTATTTAAAATTTATTTTCTCTAATTTTCTACATTCGAGAAATTGAAAAATATGTTATCTATGTTGGTTTTTCATTAAAACTACCAATATGCCATTAAAGCAATTTCACGATATGGTCAACTCAAACAATTGTCGACGCTCGCGTACACACAAACTGCGGAGACACGCCAAACCCGTACCACGTCGGAGACATAGCAATGTGGGTGTATATAAGCGACATTGAATTCACCAATCAACCGGCGGCGCTCAATAGTTTCGTCTAGATTGATCGCTGACTTAATTGAGCAGAACTTTAGACTACGGACGGAAGCTCTCGTTGGCCCGTAAAGGCTGCCACGATCCTGGAAGCTCCCTCATGGTTCGGTTGGAGAACCTTCAATTGTATTCTAAAATCTACCTAGCGCCCTAGTTTGATAAAGTGAAATTCTCGACGAGCGCCGCCAATAGGGACCATCGTCCAGCTGCATCCTTTTGGGTATCCACAACATAACAAATTATTTTTAACATTTAAATGATTCGCACTTTTGCATTGGAAACAATTAAATTTTCTTTCATTTTTTAAGTGTATTAACATATCCATTTTTCAAGTTAATTTTTTATTTACAAAATTTTGCCAAAATATTGCATCGACCGGGAATCGAACCCGGGCCGCCCGCGTGGCAGGCGAGCATTCTACCACTGAACCACCGATGCCTGTTTCCCCGCACCGCAGATTCATATCAATTGATAGCGGCATTTAGGCAAACAATCCTTCAATCAAATCTGATAGCAACAGAAATATGATAAGAAAAAAATTGATTGCCCATTATTACCGTTCAATTTTTTTTTAAAGAATATAAATAAATCGTGAAACTATCTTAAATACAAATGAATTTCAACTTTTGAGTCTATTTTTAAATTTTAGAGCCTAAAATTTCAAGACAATTAGACGATATTTTATAAGCATATAAGTAAACTTTGAAAAATCAAAATGTATGATAAAACGATTAAATTCTCACAATGCGAAATATAATGATGATCTATTTTGTTACCGTTTTTCCAAAAAAAAATTAGAAACTGGCCGGACAAAAATAAATGTTTTCAATATTTATTTTGATCAATTCTACACAAATATGAAAAGTATACCGTCATACCGCCAACCTGCAAATTTAACTCACCAAAATCGGCGTAGTGCTCGTTTTTTGAGATTTTGATAGTCAGAAACAGCAAAAAGAGAGAAATAAATAAATAAAATAAAAGGTAAATATTTTAAAATTAATACGGTAGTCGTTGATGTGTGCAAAATTTCGCACCGTGTTTGCATACTTGTTTTCAAATTTTTCGTTTTGACTAATTTTAAAATTTTTATCATTTTATTTTCTCATTTAAACTTTAATAAACATTATAATTCTAATTTAGAGTTTATTAGATTTTAATTTGCATCTTTTGCATCTGTTTGCAGCCGTATATTTGCCGTACAATTTCAATTTTGCGTTGAATTTTTTATGTCAAAATTTTTCAGAGTGGATGAAAATTAATGAAATTGTCCCAATGTCTCTTGAATCTCAATTTCGGGGTCAATTCTCAATTTGATCGAGTTTCTGCCTCTATTTGGTTACCGGCTCCGTACTCAGCGAGTGTCGTACACCGTCTGTGTGCTGTAATCCAAGTACACACATAACACGATGCGCACCAAAAACAATAGGTCGGAAAGTGACCATAAGAAGGTTGCAATCGTGATTGCATAAGTTTCGCGTAGGCCAGTCAGCTTTCTGATGTGACTGCTGCTGTGTATGTGTACATTCGGATCGTGTAAAGAGGCTTCCGGCGGTGGGAATAACATCGGTGTATTTGTCCCGTCACACCAAGTTCATCGAGCATTCATCGTCATCGCAATGATCACTCGATTATTATTATTCACCATATTTGGTGTGATTTTGGCGCCGACCGACGCGTTTTTTGTGTTCAACAATCCCGAACAAATTCAGCCGGGTTATGGCTACGTGGGACCCGCGTGTGCAGTTTTTGTAAGTCGTTTCTTTTTTTTTGAGATTGTATTTAATTGAATTTGAAATTTTCCAGGAAGGCGTCTTGTTTCTTCACGGCGTCTCGAAGCGAAAACTCAGCCATCATGAGCTTTTCGTGTTTCAAGAATATCAAAATGATTTAAGCAGATTTAAAGAGTAATTTTTTCATTAGTTCACAATTCTGCAATTTTTGGAACCATTTTCAGCGCTTCCACAAGCTTTGACAGTTTCGAGGAATCGCCGCCAATCGTGCCGACATTTTGCGGCGGCTTCGACGATTCCATCGAAGTCGTGTTAGATTCGTGCATTGTTCGGGTAGCAAAAAATGGAAAATCTCGCGTTTAAAGAAAATTGCAATTTCCAGAACAATCACGTCTATGTCGGCGACAATTTAATTCGTGCGCTCACCAATTTCGAAAAACAGAAAATCGAAATGGTAAAAGTGCGAAAAATGTATGGGACTTCGAGGAAACGCCGAATTCGCGCGGCTCCGTTGCCCGGAACTCGACCGCAACACGATTTCTCCGAGATGATTCACAAGCTGCTCAACGTGAATTCAACGGTGACCTCGCGATTCTTGCCCGTTGTCAGCCAGAGTCCGCTGTTTGCCATGGAAGGTCCGTGGCAGAGTATTTTGAATATCAATAAAGGTAATACGCATTTGCTGAAGTTCACTTTGAGTTGATTGTGAGTCTCCAGATGCGAAGTTCGCCTATAATCCAACTGTGGACATCACTAAGATTGATAATCCGTATCGTGGTGGATTTACGACGACGACGATTAGAACAACGACGACGACAACGACAACGAGTCAACCGCCGAAGAAGCCGAATTTGAAAAAGGCGAAGAAGCCGGCGCACAAATTGACAACGGCAACGTCGTCGAGTTCTACAACAAAAGGTGATCCACATTTTTTCCTTTTCTGGAAAAAAATTCCAGCAAATATTGCTGTAGATGTTTAAAGGCGCATGTGGGAATACCTTTAAAATATACAAATGAACGTGAGCCATGGTTTTATTAATAGCTAGTTTGATTCGCAGATTATAGGGTACACGAATTCCAACTGTTTAAATTCAAATTCGAATTTGCGCGCGAAAAAATAATTTTCAATTTTCCATGTTTTTCATTTTTGCGAATTTTGGTTTTGACAACATTGGTTTCCGTTGGCAAATTGGATTTTTTTCGATATTTGTGCCGAAAAAAGTTTAATACTGCTCGAATTTAAACGAAAACAGGTTTTCCGAATATTTTCCGATTTCGAAAAATATCCCGCACATCTCTCATCAATATTTAAAAAATTGCAATTTTTCTCTCAAATTGAGACCTGAATATCAACTCTTTAATATATCTCGACGCGAGAACAATTTAAAGGCGCATGCACGTAATCTCTTATTCAATAGGCTGTTATTCAGTTTCTTCAACACCTTCGACGACGACAGTTCGCGAAATATCGCTTCCAAGTTTCACTACCACGTTGCCCGAACGGACCACGAGAGTTGAAACGGTTGTGAACCCAATCATTCTACGACTAATAGCAAAAGCTCTTGAAAATAATGAGCTTGTCGACGAAACGGCGATATCAGAAGCGACGAGACAACCGAAAATTGAGGTATTTCGTGATTTTAAGAAACATTTGCAAAACGAAATTGAAAGGAGCCGCTGAATTTGCGATTCGTGGTCCCGCCGGCATTGTCGACTCCGTCATCTCGCATCGCCGGTCCCGCTCACAATCATCTATTCGTGCCGAATCAATCATTTTTGACATCATTGGCGACGACAGACCGGCGAATTCAGGAGCCAACCGGGCTCTCGCATCGATTGCCCAACGAAATTTGTCGAGCGCATCTCAAAGCGAACCCGTTTTTCTTTTGACTTTATTCGGTTTTCCAATTTTTTGTTAGTAGTATTATTTCGCATTTTTTTTTCTCCGGGTTGTATTTATTTAATTCAATTCCAATAAACAAAAAGAATCATAGTGATATGCAATAAATTATATGTAATGAAGTGGTTAACCATGTGGATCTGGCTTGATTTGACGTGGTAATCCGTATGGTGACATTCCTTTTTGGGACGCGCATTTATTCGTTCCATACTGTAACATTTTTGAAAATTGTTATTATTTTTTAAACTGCAAATATCAAAGAGAAATTTTTTCCTTCTATTTTATTTTTTTCTTTCTCTCTTGTCAGATTTTGTTCCATTAATTAGCGGATTTTTTTTGCATTAATTAGCCAAAAAAAATGAAGAAACCCTGTTGATTTTGACGAAATCGCTTCGAGACCATTGTGTTATTAATGATATGCGCCTTTAATGTTGAGACTACAGTACCCAGAAAACCATTGTGAAATTTTTGAAAGAAAATTTTTAAAAATTATTTTAAAGGCGCATATCAATCTACTCGAAAATTTGTTTTTATGGCATCCTCATCGAAAACCACCGATGTCGGCAACATTCCCATAGATCCAATAAATGTGGGACAACTCGAAAATGATATGAGACACGTGGGAAATTGAACGCGACGATGATAATGGTGATGAAATTTGGCGGCGAAAAGAAAAAAATAAGAAAATGCCTACCTGCAACGGAATGACCATTTCGCCTCTTCGCATCACCGCTTCGGGAAATTGGCGCGGCCGCGATTGCGCCAATTTCACCACCCACGCGGGAAACTCGATATGCGTTAGACGAGCTTGCGCCTGAACACCACCATCTCTCTTTCATATCATTCCGCTCTTTTTTGGCATACCACAGCGGCGAGTAGACGGAGGCACTCGATGACCTTATAGCATTGCTTGTTCTCGTACAAGTCGACGGTTTGAAAACAGCTGATCTCCATGACGCCAAACTTTTTGGCGGCCTCCAAAAAATTCGAGATGTTCTCCATCATTTGGAACGGCATTTTCGGCTTTTTGTTGTAGGCGACACGCGTTTTCGGCTCGAGTTTCTCGATGAGCTTACACAACATCACGCCGTCTTTGAGAAGCGATGAGACGTCGTTGGAGTTCTCGCAGGTGCCGACGTCGAACGCGAATCGCTCGCCGACAACCTGCAAATCATTCTGGAGTTGAGGGACGGCTCGTCGAATGCTTGAAAATTTCAAAAAAAAAATGGGAAATGCGTTTGAATTGCCGCCAAAATGTGTTTGCGGACTAAGGACATTTTTTTGAATTTTCTCGCAAAACTATTTTGATTCGTGGTATTGGATCTTTATTTATTAATATTTGAGATTTTAAAGATCCGAAAAATTGAAATATAGCGCGCGGAAATGTGTGCAGACACCGTGACGCAAATTTACGGAAAATCATCTATCTCGTTTGCATTTTTTGATAAGTTTTTCTTAAAAAATTTCAACAAAGTTGAAATTTTAAAATAACACATCAAATAAGGTTTTTCCTTAAAGGGGGGGGCTCAAACCTCAGAAAAAAGCGAAAATTAAAAGTTGAATCGTCGCATTGAAAAAAAATTGTCGTCAAATAAAATGCACAAGTCCGCAATGATATTAATTTCGTCTATATTCAATATTGCACCCCATTTTTTTTTCATTTATAGTCTTAAATTGAATCTCGGAAATTTAAAAAATTGGGTATTCAGAAAGATTGACATTTAAAATAGTCGTCGGATAAAATGCATTAGGTGTAAACACGCGAAATGCTCTTCGCATTTCAATTTCAGTTTTTTTGTCTCAAATGCGTATTCAGGTATGAATGAAACAAACTGAAAATGACATTGCGGACTTGTGCATTTTATTTGACGACAATAAATGAATGTTGTCAACTTCGCAACGAATAAGACCACACTTTTCGGGTTTTTTTTATTTTTTCGATTTCCAATCTAGTCGATCAGCCATTTTTATGATTTTCGAGGTCCCACTCATTTTTACCGAGCGTGTGTCACGCGGGCCACCCGAGTTCGATTCCCCGCTCGATGCTAATCATTTTTGCCAACTTACACTTTCAATCCAATAGAGAACTTCAATGGCTTCCTCGAGCACAAATCGCGCATCATTCTAAACGTGTAAAATTTTTTTGTGGGTGAAGAAAATTTGGCACCTTTTTCTGCAACTCCCTGCTGAGCCCGTAACTCGGACCATGATTGGCCATCTAAAAAAAAATTGAAAAATCAAGTATGATTAGTATTTGGGAGAAATGTGGAATTGAAGATATATATATATAATATAAATGATGAGACTGAAGGATGTGGCGATTCGAACCGCGAGACGCATTCAATCCACAAACACATATTTCCAATTGCGCATCGTCCGAATCCATATTAGGCAAAACGCCAAACCAAATTGTCTGGGTATCGCCGCAGCGAGTCGTCTTTATCTGTTATCGAACAACCCAACCCACCGCGGCGCATCCCGAACATACAATAGATTGATAGATATGCAAAACGCACAAGGACAGGTATCCGAACCACCCACTCCCCAACCTAATTAAGCGATTAAACTGACGACGACCAATTCTGATGGCGATGATGGTGGTACATTACGGGGGGCAAAAAACGTTTGGTGGATTATTTGTTGTCGCGATTATCGTTCCGACTGTTTGAGTTGCGTATTATCGTTGTGAAGAGGCGGGTATTATCACTGTTGCAAAAAATGAATAGGGGACGGGGAATCGAACCAGCGAGACACGCGCTTCAGCCAAACACTCTACCAACGAGCCATCAATGCCTCTGGCGGAGAAGTGGGCGACTCGTGTGACGTCACGACCGCATAATTAGACGAATTTCCGCTGAAAACGAGATAAAAATGAATGTGGTGACGCATTCGGCTTTTTTTTTCGGACGAACATCTCAAATTTCAATCCGATTTAGTGACATTTGCGCCGTGTTTTTTTTTTCGTTGCGTGTCGTTCCTATTAATAATTTCAAGAACAAAAACGGCCAAGAAACGGATTACTCTCATCGAGCCAACAACAATTGTGACGTGTTCACTGGAATTTGCGTATTCGACATTTTCAATTTTCCCATGATCTTCTTACTCATTCGGTGGGACCCTATTAAAGGCACACGTCACCATGACATTTTTCGTGGTGTTTTTTTTTTTAGCGAGAAGGTTCCCGAAACGCGAAACCGCGTCGAATTTGAGACATTGCGCAATTGTTCTATTTTTTCTGTTAACGTGCATTCTTCCATATATTCTTTTCATTTTGATCTACCACACCGCAAAAATCGAAATCTCGCCTCGGATATGACGAAGTTGGCGTCACTCCCTCAAACTGAAAGCGCGACAACATTTGTTGACGTTCTGCTGCGGACAACTCGCTGGTTGTTTCGCGACGATAAGCGGGAATTACTCGAGTAGAAGCCGATCGTTATCAATGTCAAAACGAGAATCGCCGATACTGATCACTCTCAATCTCTCTCACTTCTCGATTCCCCCCCCCAAATTAGGTCATCTGCTGCTTCTCTAATCATTCGCCGCCTCGGATTTTCGCCGACAAGCTCCCTCCCATCTCATGCCTTCATATAATTTTTTTTTCCTCCCCCCCCTACTACTCCTAGAATCACAAATCACCTCCAATTATCCGCGTGTAATTATAGGATTGACGTGTGTATGTGCGAGTGAGTGTGAGCTCGAAAATAGGCGGAGCCTAGTCTAGAGTGTCTCGGGGGGCAGATTGAGGGGTCTCTCGAGTTGCGCAGAGGTCTTTCAGCCGCCGCTTATTTTTGTTGGTTGCCCCACACACCAACACAAAATAAAATCGATTCATTTCGTTTCCTATCATTTCCATTAATCTATACGCTTGGCCGAATCCTCCTCCCCCCATCTTAAAATTTATGAGAATGCAAAACTGGTAGAATTCCATTCTAGAGATTCAAGTACCTAATTAAGGAGAGGCCGCAACAAGCGACGAAACACACACACACACACATTCAACATCCTCATCATCATCATCATCAACTAGGCAAAAAAGTCGGACGGCGATATGCGCTTATTATTCATACTCGCAATTTTCGGCAAATTGTCGACGATGCCGATTGAGCCCATCGTGGCGCCGATGACGGGTAGGCGTGACGCCGAAACAACACGCAATCAGCGATTTTCAGAATTGGTGGCTCCTCAGCAGCAGCAGCAGCGGCGACACATCACGAACAGCGTCGAGCCGCTGATCGACGCGAATGGCGACGGCGAGCTCGACATCGACGAGGTCCGCTACGCGGCGTTCGTCCATCACGGCCTGTCGGCGTCGGTCGTTGAGGGCATGTTCAAGCAGGTCGACGCGAATCGCGACGGTGTGCTCGACGCGCGCGAATTCGACGCCATCCGGCCGTTGGTGCTCGAGAAGGCCGAAAACGCGGCGCTTCGCTACCTTCAGAACGTCGACACCGATCGCGATGGGCTCTTGTCGTTGTCGGAAGCGCAAGCCTATCTGCTCCGAGAGTACGGCATCGGGAATCGCGATGTGACGCGACTCTGGAAGCTGGTGACGCCGAACGTTGCCGATCGTTTGAACGCCACCATGTTCAGCCGATTGAGGCGACGGGTTCGCGGAATGACGATCCGATTGGCTAGGCAGATCATGAAGGTGCGTCGGATGGTTGTCGGCAAGCTCATATGATTCAATAATTTGCAGGCGGGCGATCTGAACGGCGACGGTCACATATCGGTCGATGAAGCGCAGGCGATCGCGTTCGAGCAAGAGGGCATCGGCGCCGGCGATGTCGCCTCGATGGTCGGAAGTGTCGATGAGAATATGGACGGCGAGCTGAACGCGCCCGAATTCGCCGATTTCGAGCGAATCGTGCGAGCGCGCGCGTTGGAGAATAGCAAGTAATGCTGCGGACATTTGACGGGGTGGTTTGAACACACAAATTTCAGGAAGGCGATGAGAGTCGTCGATGCTGACAACAGCGGAACGTTGACGTTGGATGAAGCCAAGAAGGTGGCGTTCGAGCACTATGGTTTCGATGAAGCCACTCTTGCGCCATTCTTCGCGCAAGCCGATGAGAACGAGGACGGCCAATTGGACATCGTTGAGTTCGCCGGCTTCCGAACCGTCATCCGTCAGCGGTCCGTCAAAGACGCGACGACGAAACTCGAGAGCATCGACACCAACGCCGACGGTCTTGTGAGCGTCGACGAGGCGATCGAGATGACGAAGCGCGAGGACGACATGGCCGATGAGGAGACGATCGCTCTGTTCAACATCGCCGATCAGAACAAGAGCGGCAAATTGGACAAAGTCGAGTTGGCCGACTTCAATCGGCTCGTTCGATTGAGCTCGATCAAGTTCGCCGCCGATCACTTCAAGGAGTTCGATCTCGACGGCAACGATGTCGTCACATTCGAGGAGTTGGCGTTGCTCATCGAGCAGAAGTACGGAATTCCCGAGAATATCATCAAAGGGTTTTTCGAGCGAATCGACGTCGACGCTTCCGGCAATTTGGATCCCGCCGAGATTGTCGACTTCAGGTTGGTCGGTTACGGTAGCTCGAGTTTCAGATGTGTTCTTCTTGCAGACATCTCATTCGAAACCATGTGACGCAGAATAAAAAGGTGTTTTATTGAAACTTTCTTTTTTTCTTTTTTCGGCATTTTTAATAATTTTAATAAATCGCGATTTTTGTAATCTTCCAATGTCTTGTTATAGCCTGAGCCCACCACCACCACCATCACCACCATCACCGCCACCACCACCATCGGTACAACAGCACCTGTCACCAGCAGCACGCCAGCACCTGTTAGGGTCACCGAGGCGGCGATCATCGACGGCATCGCCAACGACGTCATCGCTCAGGACATCGCGGCTCCCAGCACGAAGCACCGCGTTACGGTAGCCATTGTTGCATGTGTGTGGATGTAGTGTGGTGAATTGTGAATGTGATTGCAGACCACTACACCAGCCACCACAACGACGTCCACCACCACCACCACCATCTTCACAGCAACGGTCGCCCCAAGTACGGTAGCGATTGAGAGCACGGTGACACGAAAGCGAAATGGCAAATCGACGACAACTGCCGGCAGCATTGCGACCAGCACTACTCCGAAACAGGAAGTCGTTATCGAGGAGATCGTTTATGAGGATGAGAATGGTGCGTCGTTTCGAATCAAACCGCCATTAAATTGAAACGGGAAATTTGTCCGCAGCTGGAATCGAGTAGTTCAAAATTTATGGTTGTCCAGAAATGACCTCAAAATTATCAGGGAATTAACATCGTGAGAAAGATTTTGCTGGAATAAAATAAGTATTTTGATTTTTTTTTTTCATAATTTGTTGCTGCGGACAATCTTGCTGTCCCCGCCTTGACGCTTAATCGATTTCAGGCAATCCGATGACGCCTAAAATGCGTAAAAACGAGGACGTCTCTTACGAGGAGGTCATCGAGTATGTCGACGAGCCAGCCGCTGCCACAACGAGCCCCTAATCACCATATTTGGTCCTTCCCTCTGCCTCACATTCACATTCAACAGATTTACGGTTACCGATTGAACTCACATCTAATTCGCGAATTTTCATGTATTTATGGTTTCAACGAATAAAGAAATGAATTTGAAATGGATTTATTTACATGTACCCGAATCAACGGGAAACAAAACGAAACACCGAATCGGTTTTTTGGAGAAAGGCTCAGTTGGGCATTGACGGAGCTCGCATCGCCGAGATCGAACGACGCGAGCCAGACGAACCGGTTGATGAGAGCGAGACGCTCGACGATCTGGAAGCAATTCCGAGGTGTCTATGACAGAATGCATCTGCGGACAATTTACGACTTACGATTTACTGCTGCTTCCCGGATATGTGACGGCGACGGACGCCGATAGAAGGCCGCTGCTGGGTTGGGGGAAGATGCGATGAGGGCTGAAACATTTGGATTGCGATTCGGCGCCTTGTTGAGCACGTCCAACCTTGACGGCGACACGATCGGCGACGATGATTGTTGCGAAGCTCGCCGTCGATGCGTCGACGTCGCCATCGCTTCGCGAAGCTTGATCGCGCGAATCTGCTGACTCAAATGGGTGACCGTCTGATTCCTGTCGTTGAGCTCGTCGTTGAGCTGACGAATCCGCTCACTCTGCACAGTGATCTGCTCCTGCAGCTTCTGAATCGTCGCCGTCACCTTCCTCTCGACATTCTTGATGTACGATTCCTTCTCGGCAACTATCTGAATTGTCTGGCTTCGAAGAAGCGTCAATGGGAGAAGCTCACCGTCTCGAGCTCCTCGATCCTCTTACTGTCGCCGGTTTCGCCCATCGCTGATTGTCGTTTGGCTTCCCTCAACTCATTCGTCAGCCGATGCACCTCCTGATGAAGCGACTTCAGCATATTCGACGTCTCGTTTTGAAGGAACGCGATTTGCGCCTTCTCGTGCCTCCGCCATTGTTCGTCGCGTTCGCGCAGCGCCTTCTGCAGCTTCTCCTCGAGTTGCTCAATCTGAAAAGTGCACAATTGGTGGGAAGCTAGACGACCAGGTTCAGATGGCGCATCAAAAAGAGAAAACAAAACAAAACAAACGTTTGCTGGTTTCAAGTTGGTCGCCGGCGCACATCTGTTCGCCATTCGATGGTCCGCTGAGCAAAACACTGAGCTCGCCGCCGTCGGTGAGACATCTGCAACAGAATTGGGTTTTGTGATATCGCTTCTGCGGACAACCAACCAGCCGGCGGCCGATTCACTGCCACTGCTGTGGACATCTGAAAATCACCAATCGTCGTTTTAGTTTAGCGATGGACGAAAAGCAAACGTCGATAAATTCTAGAAGCGCGTCATCGTCTCAAATTTCGCAAAGCCGCCCGGTGGACTACAATGCGGCGGTTTTCGAGCGATAGAAGAAGATTAAAAAAACACACACACACAACATTTTTGAAATCCAGAGGAAAATCTGCTTGCCAGAGGGGGTCTTGAGGTAGTATCCTTATTTGTGACTTTGCGCGGATGGGGCGGCGAGAGAGTGTGTCGCGCGTGAGAGACGCGGCGAGACGACGAGACGAAACGCGAGAGTGAAGAGACGCAGACGGCCGGGGCGTTCGAGTCACGCGATGGACCCTCTTTCTCGAATCGCGAAATAAAAAAAGTTCGCGGCTCACACGAACTTTACTGAACAATAATAATGGACAAGGTAAACAAAAATGACGAGGGCGTTTATTGGCGAACGTGTGATGATGAGGTTTTTTGGGTCTCGCGCGGAAAATTGATTAATCGAAAAAATGTGGCAATCCCAGGAAATTGTAAGAATCTTGGAATCAAAAATAGAAACAATATAATTTTTTTTACAGAAATTATATAATGCTCTTTTCATTGAACGAAATCATGAGATGACAATATTAAGGAGAAAATATTGGGATTTGAATATATTCGAAAATAGCTGCGGACAAAAAAAGGGAAGCAGATTTGAGTTAGCGCAAGGTGCTTCAAGCGAGATGTGAGAAAATCAGATAGACGAGACCTTCCTTTTTTGGGAATTGACTCTTTCCGGTTGCGGCCAATACCATGCTAACTATGCGATCGGTCCTTCTATTCATGCGAATAAAAAAAACAAACGACAAATAAAACCAGTTTTTCCCACAACAACAAAAAATGAGAGTTTTATCATACGATTCCGAATGATATGTAGTCATCACGTGAATGTCCGCAGATGCGATGTCGTAAATGGAGTAGGAGGGAAATTGGATTGGCAATTTCGAACCAATAAGTTGGGAATCGAATCGGAACCTTCCTTTGATGATATCATGATGAGATCAGATGAGGTGGGGGGAGGGGAAGCGGAGGGGATGATCACGGGGGAAGCTGGAATCAAAACATCATTCACAGGAGTGCATCTCGAGGAGGTTAAAATCATAGGAAGAGCGATCCTGAATTTGTACTTTAAATGCGAAGAAAATTTTCGATATTTTAAAAAATAAAAATGTGATTTTAAAAAAATTGAAATGTTTATATTATGCGCCTTTAAACAACAATAGTCCTAAATGCTGCTCAAAAAAATGGAAAAGTCAAATTGCGATCTGCAAACCCGCAAAATTGCACAACGAAATGTCCGCAGCACGAAATATTGAAAAGTGAGCGAAGCGAAAAGTGAAAGTCTCTCCGCTTAATAATAATGCATAGTAATAATAATCCAATAGAAGAGAGGACGCTCGCATGCCATTTTTGGAATGAATGAATTATTCGGCGGAGAGAAATATGTGGCCAAATTTGGGCGGATCATCAAGTGGTGTTTTGTCGAGAAAAACTTGTGCCCTCGAAGAAGCGGCGTGTCGGCGTCTCGCCGAATCGCGCACTCTCTCGCCGAGTTACACACCGACGGATCGAACTGGACGGCTCAATTTTCGCGATCGAAAATCGATTGAGGCGAAATGGACGATGAGAAATCGACGCAATCCAATAATTACTCGTTTGACACCGTCGAGGTTCGATTATTTTCATTTTTGCTCATTTTTCAAAATTTTTTAAAGGTCACCGGACTTCGAAGTAAACGCCTTCTCACTCTCATAGTATGCCTCACAATTCTACTAGTCTTGACAATTTTATTATTCGTGGTGAGTGACGTTTAATTAGTGGCGATAATTAGTGTTAATTATACACCATGATTGTTTTAGTTGAATGTGATGCTGATTTCGACGCTTCGCATGGATCCCGCTGGCATCAAATTCCTTCGATTTCATCACAATTTGAACAAGAAAAGTGGACAATTGGAAAAGGTTGGGGTTTAAAGGCGCATCGGGTTACGGTAGCCTTGGAAAACACAATTCCCGCTTTGAAAAATTTCCCATCTGCGGACAATTGCCTTGTTTAGACGGTTGAGATGGCTGGAGATCGAATCGAATTCGAAAAAGTGATCAGCGACAAGGTTGTCGGATTCCCAAATAAGGACATCCTCCTCCACGCACCTAGGGTCACTAACGGACCATCATTAACAATTTTTGATTTTTGATTTTTAGATACTCGTTGAAGCAAAACCGAACGACACGATGTTCGCGATAAACGAGAAGAATTGCAAACTGGAAAATGTCAATAATTTCCAAGTAGCAATCGGCTTCTAATCAGGGACCATTGGAAATTTTATAGGTCCTCAATTCCCAAGGGCACACCTTGTTCTCGGCGCGACATCCCACTGTAACAATTGATCGTAAAATCAAGAAGGTTGGCATTGAAAGAGCTGACATGAGCTCGAATCGGCAATTTTGCTGGAAAAAAAAGAAGAGCGTTCAGATATCGGCCGACAAAATCATAACGAATAAAATTCGATCGGCCGTCGATGAGCCGCTGAAAATCGATGGGAATGATGTGATGATACGAGGCAACGAGCAGGTTCGCATCGACGCCAGGAATATCGGATTCGAGGCGATGACACGAATCGCGTTCAATATTTCGGTAAATTTGACAACAAAAAAACCGCTCTGGATTGTCAAAATTGGGACCCACAAGAGAAAAATTTCGTCGAAAATATCTGCGGACATTTTCCGGGGACGCGCCACACTCACCAATTTGTTGTTCTTACGGACCACTCTTTTCCTTTTTTGACAACACATGAAGCGCCGGGGTCCTCAATTCCATCTGCGGACATTTGGCAGCCTATAATTGAACTAAAAATTTGTGAAGAATTCATGTTAAAATTACCTTATATGATCTACTTGGTTCTTCTTCGTTCTCACATTGAATCCCTTTGGTTCTTTTTCTTCTTTTTTATCTAATTGAGCCGAATTCGATTTTTTCAATTAGAACCTCATTTTGAGAAATGAGATTTGATATTGCCTAATACGGAAAACCGCAACCACTTGATGTGGTCATTGAGATTCTCTTCATTCATTCCTTCCATTGTTCCTCACATCCTTCGTCTGAATCCAAGGACCATTTCGATGAGAGCTCAAAATGGTTTCATGTATTTCTTATTTCAATTATCCAGAAGGATCATTGGATGAGTCTTGATCGTCTGTGTTAGTCATGAATCATTATGATCATTCGCTCGATGGAATTGATATGATTCCACCGATGATCAATCAACTCAATCGCATTTTTTTTGGTCATGCTCCATCTAATCATGGAATCGGTATTCCCGAGGATCATTGGATGAGTCAATATCTTCATCCAAACCATGACATCTTATTTGTGAGTAGAGAACGATGGAATCATCTGATTCATCATAATACTGGGAGTTGGATGAGCTGTCGTTCTTCTATTTGATGTTTCCTCCAAACATCCTCAAACATCTTTCATTCCAACAACTTGACTCGATCGGCATTAGGATCAATGGATGAGTCTATTTGACGATGTAGCTTCGGTGGATGCCAAAGCTCATTCGGATAAAATTGTATTGCGAGGAATCCTCAGAACTCGAATTTGCTGAAACGAGCATGAGCCAATCTATGTTGTGCTCAACGTGTCTCGCCATTCTCTCACAATCCAAATGCGATCTAGAAGTTCATTTTTGTTGATATCTCCATGTTCAATTTCAGATCTTCAAATCGAATCTTCGAGAATTCTTCTCCATTTTTTTCTGATTCCAAATCCATTTCGAAATTATTCCTTCCTTCTTCTTCTCTTTTTTTTTCAGTGATTTCATCATTCCATATGTCAGAATCCTCATGATTCTTTTTCTGGCAAGTCGATAGAAGGAGTATAATAATCTGAATCAGGATGATAGAAAATATATTATATAATAAAGAAGTTCATCCAGACGTGTTGAACTCCTTCTCGAATATGATTCTCCGTTCTTTTTTCCTCTATTCCATTGTCACTGTCCCGTTCATATCGAATTGATTTCTTCTTCTTATTCCTCGTCATTGTTACTGTATATAAATTGGAAGATGTTGAGCCTTCATACCGTGGAGGAGTTCTGTCTTCTCCTTCTTCTCTCGATTCTTGATTCCGATTGGATGATCATCCCTATGAACTGAATGCATACCTTGGATGATATTGTGAAATCGAAGGAAGCAGATGGCAGCGCGAAGAAGAATAATTCGAAAATAAATTCGGAATGTGAAGCGGCTTAATATAGTTTTGTGCGAATGCGTTGCGAAATTGGTTTGCGGGGGGCGGAGTCGCACATGCCGTGTGTTGTGATTCAGAAGTGTGATTCAGTGCAGGCTCGACGTGTCATCAATCCTCGCAATTTTGTATCAGCCTTATTGTGCGTACAGGAGACGGTCAACCATTTAAATTTTCGCGCAATAACAAAACAATTTTCCGATTTGGATTTGAAGGCCGTAACGCTGATACAGCTTCTAAGTCGACTTTCAGAAATAGAGCAGTGTAGACTCGACGGATATTAGGTTCTTTGTTGGAAAATTTCAGAAATCGAATTTTTTCTGAAATTCATATTCTCCAGGAAGTCGTATTAACCTTTCCCCATTCTCCGAAACGGGACATTCCAGCACCCAACTGCCTTCTGATTAAGTTCAAAATGACAAATATATTTTTCAATGAATGCAGCCACACTAATTATGACTGCAATCAATCGTCAAACATTGAAATGAGCACACTCATCTGCGGACAATTTGTTTGAAAATTTTCAGCGCGACGGAATTCTGAACGTGCGCGGTCGGGTGCGCGTCGGCGACGGCACCACATCGCTGCCAATCTCGACGTCGCCATCGCTGTCAGCGAGCATCGACGGGCTGCGCCTCTGCGCGTGTGCTCAATTCAACCACAAGCTCTTCCTGGTTCCCGCCAACAAGCAATGCAATGCGCACCACTCATTTTGCTCCGCTTAACCCGCCATTCCCATAATTGGTTGTACAATTTATTCGCCGTCTTCTAATAAAACAATTCATATAGATGAGGTCCTTTTACATAACATTTTCAATTCTCATGGATTCGAGACAGATTTTGTGAGGCTTTTACGAGCCAGCCAAATGAGACTTCTGAATTTTTCCAACTTCTGACAAGGATTGTTGGATGAGTTAGCGATTCATGCCTATAATAAGGTCATGTATTCCTCTTGATCTTCACTCTGATCCATCATGTTTCTTTTTGTCATTGGATTGACATCTTCATCTGTGCAGCATCATTGAATGATCTTTCACCGTCTGGAATGAACTCTGATCCGGAGGATCATTGGATGAGTCAATGCCTTCATCAAATTCCTGATATTTTCACCGTCATAGAATCAGAGTTCTTCAATGTTCTTTCATTTCGGTGCTCCAAATTCGATCGTCGTTCTCTCAAATTCCACTGAAGATGATCTGCTCTTTTTTCCTTGAGATAATCGAATGATCGTCTTCATTTGGTCGTCTCCTCTGATGTTTTCCTTTTCCTTCGAATCCTCTCCGATCAGTGATATCAGGAATATTTGCTTCAATGGATTCAGAACACGAATCTTGAATCTAATTGAATACAACAAATTGATTGCTGAGAATCCAATCGTTCCGATAATTTTGAATTAATATCGGCTCAATACAAGTTTAAAAGCCCTTTGAGGAAATCATTGAGACGATGTCCCACATTATCTCGGATCATCCGATTGAAGAGAGTGAAGCAGATCCTCCACCGAGGATCACTGGATGACATCGTTCATATATTTCGAATTGCTCCCCTCCTCAGCTCGCTTTCATCGTTTACTTCTTCTGTGTACTGGCTGGTTGAACAAATCGTGAATTTTCTCAAATTTCTTGCAGCATCATTGGATGGGTTCATCGAATTTGTCATATTTTCTCCACATTCTTCGGATTCGTCAAAAATGAAAATGATTGACAATATCATTCGATTTAAGCGTCGGTGAATATTTCAGCTCATCAGCTTCCATTGATCATCGATCGATCAGAACTCTCTGTTCAACTATAATTTTTCACATTCTTGATGTGATTTCCATCTTCTGTTCCAATTCGTTTTCTCGTCACAGTGATATCATCATTCTATTTAGATTATCAGGCTCGTCATGAGCATGCCATAATTGGACATCAATTGGATCGGCTTCACAATTCCCCCCAAATCCTTCGTTGGATCAAAGAATCCTTGAATATGTTCAGTTATCGTTTTCGTCGATTTTTCCAAATGCCCCAGAAGGATCGTTGGAAGGATTCTTCTGGGGGATCGTTGGATTAGTCGGCATAGATCAAAATCAATTCTCAATATATTCATTATTGTTATCCAATCGCCATTTTTAAGAATTGAAGATTATTGGCTGAATCCATAATACCAAATGATTGTAACCCCAATTCTTTCTCAATTTTGCTTTTCGCGATCATCTTCCGCTAAATTACTCCGATTCTCGTTCTTCACTTCTTCGTGAAAAGGATCATTGGATGAGATGAATATCGAAGTACACTTTGAATTGCCAATTTTCCTAGTGAGCATCTATTCGGCTATCAATTGATATTAACAGCATCCTTCCGAATTCTTCGGAAGACAGCGATCAATAACAGGATCATTGGATGAGTCGAATTACTTTCAATGTGTCCTCTATGATGTCAGAATCATCTCTCTTGAGAGTCATCCGATTGATGATGATGTTGATGCTGTCATGACATCGCCAAGGATCATTGGATGAGTCGATTCAATTCCATGTTCACCTTTCATTTCAACAGTATCCGTTGGACTGAGTAATTAATTGAGAAGCCATCAATATTTTATTTTCGAGTTTCTTCCTTCTTCTGAAGCTTCGGAGTTTCTGGATCATTGGATGAGCCGGCACTGATCTCAAAACCATCCATCTGCTTTTCCAACGCGAATCCACAGACTTCTCTCAACGCGTTCACTGGATTCTCGCGATTTTCTTTACACAGTCATTTCAGCTTCGATCAGTTCTTTTGATTCTTCCAGAGGATCAGTCGATCTTCTTCCTTCTCGCATTGAATTGATTAGCATCTAGTGTTGTTCATAATTGGATGAGTCGATGAGATTGTTCCAATTTTTTCTTCAAATCAAGTTTTCGACAACTTTCTTTTCAATTCCCTTGGAACTTCACATTGAATCGATATCCGTCTTTGGACGGTCGCAAGGATCAAGGGATGAGTCTAATCGGCACATTCCAAATTGTTGGCTTTCGTCTTCTCCTTCTTCTCTCGATTCTTGATTCTGATTGGATGATCATCCCTATGAACTGAATGCATACCTTGGATGATATTGTGAAATCGAAGGAAGCAGATGGCAGCGCGAAGAAGAATAATTCGAAAATAAATTCGGAATGTGAAGCGGCTTAATATAGTTTTGTGCGAATGCGTTGCGAAATTGGTTTGCGGGGGGCGGAGTCGCACATGCCGTGTGTTGTGATTCAGAAGTGTGATTCAGTGCAGGCTCGACGTGTCATCAATCCTCGCAATTTTGTTTCAGCCTTATTGTGAGTACAGGAGACGGTCAACCATTTAAATTTTCGCGCAATAACAAAACTGGAATTCCGATTTGAAGGCCGGAATGCTGATACAGCTTCTATGTCGACGACTCCAGCGAGAAAGTGCAATTGGTACGATACATATGGATCAGTGGTTTTCGGAAAAAAGACGATCTGATAAAACTTCTTCCCTTGCTTACTTTTGTCGGTCCACAAATGACACTCCGTAATAAATATTTAGAATTGAAATTTTTACAAATGAAATGTGTTTTTATTTCTAAATCATATCATTTTCTAGCCTAAAAAGTCATTTCTTGTGGTTTTGCGGTCGAAAAAAAACACGTTGGCCAGCAAAAACTCACAAATCATCGAGGCCAAGCCTCAACTGTTGAAAACAATATTTATATTTTCCTTCAAATGTGCCTTTAGACATCTACAGTAATCCGATTGAAACAAATACCGGGAAGGGCATTTTTCTTGCTTGTATAAAACAAGCAAGACATTTTCAAAAATGGGGGGTGCGGTAGATGTAACATAGTGATTATTGCAATCGTCAAACATTGAAATGAGCACACTCATCTGCGGACAATTTGTTTGAAAATTTTCAGCGCGACGGAATTCTGAACGTGCGCGGTCGGGTGCGCGTCGGCGACGGCACCACATCGCTGCCAATCTCGACGTCGCCATCGCTGTCAGCGAGCATCGACGGGCTGCGCCTCTGCGCGTGTGCTCAATTCAACCACAAGCTCTTCCTGGTTCCCGCCAACAAACAATGCAATGCGAACCACTCATTTTGCTCCGCTTAACCCGCCATTCCCATAATTGGTTGTACAATTTATTCGTCGTCTTCTAATAAAACAATTTGTGTCGTATCTGCAACTGATAAAAATTCTTATCGAAATTCTGTGCACAGAAAACTAATCACCACTTTTTTTGCGTCGTTTTTCCACTTTTAAATACCAATTCAAAATTTATGATTTTTTCAGTTTTATTTATTTTTGCTTCCCAAATTAAGGTAATTTTATCGAAATGTCGATGTCATCGTACAACACGAATCAGGGAAATGAGCTGCTGCCGCTGCGAGGAACAGTGTTCGAGTTCCCCCCAATCTACTTTTCTAGTTCCTCCCGATTTTCAGCAATCCAACAATGCGCCAAATGTTCGCCTCTCGTGTCCGCGACTCGCGCTCAATCTCCGCCGATCAAGCGCTCATCCATATGATCAAGGTGATGATGGGCACCGGCATGCTGTCGCTTCCGCTCGCTTTCAAGCATTCCGGCATTTGGCTCGGAATGCTCTTGCTCTTCGCCATCTGTCTGATTTGCATTTACTGCACACGACAACTCGTCTATGGCCAACATTATATCACATTCATGTAATCGCAAGTCGAATTGCCGTCGGCGAAAAACCAAAAGTGGAAATTCTTAGAAAACGCGAGCAGCGAATGGATTATGCCAACGTGATGCGATGCGCCGTCGAATTGGGACCCTCTTGGATTCGAGGTCACGGCTATCTGTTCAAGTAAAATCAGCTGCGGACAATTATTGCGATTGAATGCCATTTTCAGACAAATGGTCAACGTGAACATGTTCGTCGCGCAGTTCGGCTTCTGCTGCGTCTACTTCGTCTTCATGGCCGACAATTTGAAGCAGTTCTTCGATCAGACCTCCTCAATCCATATCTCGCAATCCGGCTGGATCGGTCTCCTCCTCATTCCGATCATGGGATTGTGCACGATTCGCGAGCTCAAAGCGCTCGCCCCACTCGCCGCCATCGCCAATTTCGTCTACATCATCGCCATTGTCATCGTGCTTCAGGATCTGTTCTCCGAATGGCACGATTGGCGCTCGCTGCCGGCGTTCGGCTCAATTTACTCGCTTCCATTGTTCTTCGGAACTGTGATGTTTGCGTTTGAAGGCGTCGCCGTGGTTTGAAGCACTAAAAGCGACACTAACCATTTGCTGCTCCTAGGTGCTCCCGATTGAAAATCAGATGAATGAGCCGATTCACTTCATCACACCGAACGGCGTTCTCAACACTTCCTGCTTATTAGTCTTGTTCATGTACATGACTGTCGGGTGAGTCAAATATTTCCTTCGTCGCATTGTTCAATCAAAAATGCCGGGGGCCTTCATCTTTGGTTCAAAAATTTGCCGGCTTTGACAAAAAAAATTGTAGTGCGATCGCATTCTTTTTAAAATTTCCGCCATAGATCTTCAGAAAATTCTAGTGAGCGAGGTTTAAATTTTTAAGCTTAATTGTAGGCGTCAAACGACCGAAGGGAGACGTGGCCTTCAAATTCACCGAATAGTAAATGCGCGTACGCTATAATGTAAGGTACGCAATCTCGCGTACTTCTCGCTGCACCGAGAAGCATTGGCACATAGCCAATCTTTTTTTTTTCGATTTCGCTCAATCGTTTGACGCTGAAAATAATAATGCGTGGATTTTTTTTATTACCATCGCAAAGAAAACGAGCACCTTGAATAATTGTGGACCATCGCAATTTTTCGAGGCGGCAAATTTGAATTTGAATTAAAAGTGAGGGAGATTCCAAGTTTGTCTCGATTCTAATAAATTCTTGCATCCCATTGACAATTTCTCGAATAAGATTTGACATATCCTATTCGCATTTTTTGCCTATCCGATTTAAAAATAACTGCGCTATTCATATTTGGTTGGTTTTTAATTACCAGAGGATCAAACATCAATTTGAAAAATTTAATTAAAATTATTTCATATGGAACCATCCAATGAAATTGAGAAAATTTCAATGCAGAAAAATGTTTTTGAAATACTTTCCTTGATGGACTCTCATCACTTTTTTTTTTACTTCCGATAATCCAACATTGTCATTTTTCTTGCCTTCTTTTTTCCAAAAAAAGAAACAAATTTAAAAGAAGGCAACAATAATCAATGAACGCCTTCAACATCATTCGTCGCCAACGAAAACATTAAAGAACAGAAACTCTATACAACTACAAAGATAAGAAAAAAGATAGCATTTTTTATTTGGCGTCTAATCATCACGAATTGCCTTCTTATCAATCTTGGCGGCAATTTCAAAACGAGTTCCAGATTCTTCGGCTTTCTGAGATATGGCAATGACATCAAGGATACACTCACACTCAATCTTCCTCAGACTCCGTGAGCATCACCACCTTTTTCTAATCACACTGTCTGTGTTTTTTTTTTCACAGATTCTATCAAGTCATCAAGTTGATGTTCGTTCTCTGCATTCTCGTCTCCTATCCGTTACAGTTCTACGTGCCCATGGAACGAGTTGAGAAATGGATTAAGCGGAAGGTTGTTGAGAACAAACAGGAGCCGATGATCTATGGCGTTCGAATGCTCGGTGTTCTTCTCACATGTACACTAAATTCGAAATTTGAGACGATTACATCGTTTTTAGGTGCGATGGCGCAATTGATTCCACATTTGGCCTTGTTTATCTCATTGGTTGGCAGTGTTGCGGGCACATCGCTCACGCTCGTCTTCCCGCCGCTTATCGAACTACTCTGTTGTTATTCTAGGTTTTTTCACGTACACTACTATTGTTTCAAAATCAAATGTTCAGGCAACAGCTGACAATTGGGGTTTGGATGCGGAACATTGGATTAATGTTGTTTGCCGTTGTCGGCTTTTCGACAGGCACATACACTAGCATGGTGCAGATCATTGAGGCTTTTGGCACTTCGGATGTTTGACGCGCTTCTCGCTCTCTCTCTTTTTTTTCTATACATTGTTGAATAAACGATCTCTGGGTATTTGTCATTGATTCATTAGCAAACAATAGAACTTGTCAAAATAAATATGCAAGGTAATTAAAGTTGTCCACAGTCAGCGATGGTGATGGTCTTTTGTGGCTTTCCGCTCTGGCTTCCGTTGCTCTCGATAGCCTTGACGACGTCCATTCCCTCGACAACTTGTCCGAAAACGACGTGTTTGCCGTCCAACCACTCAGTCTTAACGGTGCACAAGAAGAATTGTGATCCGTTGGTGTTTGGTCCAGCGTTGGCCTTAAAACAATATATTGAAAATTCGCTGACACTGTTTCGAACGTACCATAGAGAGAACTCCTGGTCCAGTGTGGGTCATCTTGAAGTTCTCATCAGGGAACTTTTCTCCGTAGATGGATTCTCCTCCGGTTCCGTTTCCATTGGTGAAGTCTCCTCCCTGGCACATGAAGTTCGGGATGACACGGTGGAAGGTGCTTCCCTTGTAGTGAAGAGGCTTTCCAGACTTTCCAATTCCCTTCTCTCCAGTGCACAAGCATCTGAAGTTCTCAGCAGTCTTTGGGACAATGTCGGAGTAGAGCTGAAAAAAGAAATTTTTATTGCATAAGTGCCCATAAATGTCCAACCTCCATGACAATTCGTCCGGCAGCTTTACCTCCAATGGTAATGTCGAAGAAAGTTCTTGGGCGGCTCATCGCTAATTCAATTACTGAAAAGAAAATATATTGAAAACACTAATACTAAATGAACAAAAGAAAGATAGCGAGAATGAGTGGGCGCATTGATAGTAGTATAACAGTGTTTCAGGTTTCTCCAATGATAAGAAGTGTTGAATAAAAATCTTCTCGAACTGTCAACAATTTCTAGAAAGCGGCGTCCATTCAATTTCAAGGACACCGCCTTCTGGCGAAGGTCACCAATTTGAATAAAAAAAAATCGCGATAAAATTTTTGAAAAACGCAATGCCAAATTCGAAACAAACTAGATGTTTGAATTTCAATGAAAATTGTATGCCAGATAGTAGAATGTTTGCCTAGCGTACCAGAAAAAATATTCGATGTAACGCGGGCAAAATGCAAAATGCAAAAATGGCGATCGACAAGTCGTCTCTTTTTTTGTTGAGGCGATTAGAGCTTAGCAACAAACCGACGACGCGCGGAGAAAAATAAAAAGAGTTTGTGAAATCAGAAGATACGCAGCAATTTTGGATCGAAGTGCACACGACGACGAACAGAGGCTCGGCCGCTCGCGAGGGCTAGAGAGGACGCGACTGCTGTGTGGCGCTGACCGGCACAGAGTGGCGTCGTCGTCGGTCGGCAGTGGGTGGTTCGCAGCGAGAGAGAATGCGCTCGCGTAATGAAACTGAGAAGTAGACAGCAGCGAGCGCGCGCGAAACGCCATTTTCAAAAACAACAAGGACGCCTCGCGCCGGCGCCGAAAAGATTTTAGGCCACAAAAATTGCGACGGCGTCGAGTTTTGCCAAAGTGTGCGACGCTTGCATTAATGGGCGGGGCCGAGTACGATGGAGCGTTATTTCACTTTGCCCTCGTTTTAGCGAAAAAATTTGAATTTTTGTTTTTGAAGCCAATTTTCAATGGTTTTTGACTCAATTTGGAATTAAAATGATATAAAAATATCTTTATTATTGTTTAAAAGCATACTTAATTTAGGAATTCGCATATTATTGCAGGCACATCGTATTGAACCTACATTTCTTCATGTGTATATTTCGGAGCGAATTTCAAAATGGATCCAAATAATTTGCCGGTATTAATTTTGAAAATAATTAAGCGTTTCGTGAGATATTAATTCTAGAACTCGCTGAATGGACTGGGCGGTTCGCAAAATCCGAATTTCGTTCAGAACAATCAGTTCCCCGGGCAGAATTTGATGGGAAATGCCGCCAATCAATATAACCCAATGCTGTTGCAGCAACAATATCTTAATTTTGGCGGCTTTAACATGCCATATAATAATCAGGTAGCTTAATAATTTTCCAATTTTATTTTTAATTTATTCGACATTTTAGATTTTCGATTTTCAAGCACAACAACAGCAGCAGCAGTATTTGATGCAACAAATGCAGCAGCAACAACAACAGCAACAACCGCCACAAATTCATCAGCAGCATCAACTTCAGCCGGGATTCTTACAACCCCACCAGCAGGATTTTCAGATGTTACAACAACAAATCCAAATGGTTCAACAACAGCAGCAACCTCAGATGCAACAACACCAAATGGTATTTGTATTTCGATTTTTATTGATTTTAAAGGCGAATCGTTTGTTTTACAGGTTCAAGGTGTTCCTTTGGAGCCAACAAATAGGATTTTCCAGCCCGAAATTCCACAAATAGTTCCAACTCAATCAAGGCAGACATCTCAGCAAAATGCACAACATCAGAAGCTTTTTGAGGAGCAATGTAGGCAAATTGAACTGGAACGAAAAAAGGCAGCTGAACGACAACGACAAAGTGTAAGATTTGGGAAAATGGATAACTGAACGTTGCAAAAACCTTGTAGGAACTTGCTGAGCAGGCAAGACTCCGCGAGATTCAAGAACGGCAGGAACGCGAACGCGAAGAGCTTCTAAGAAGGCAGGAGGAAGAAGCGCGTCTAGCTGAAGAACAACGACGAAAAGAAGAAGCTGAGAGAATTGAGAAGGAGAAGCTTTTACGAATTGCTGAAGAAGAGAAGCGAAAAGCTGCCGAAGCAGCAAAGGTACCTCCCCAATTTATTTTTCCTTATGTGGTTTTGTTTAGCTTCGAAGTGGGATGGAAGCAAGACATTCAAACCTTGGCCAACCTTTGACCCTTGTGGCTACTCATTTCCTCCCCACTTGTCAGTCCTTAGAATTTAATCAAATTAAAGAAAAATAGTTGTTTAGTCCTCAACATGATCCCATTTCCTTATGAGGGAATGACAGGTTCAACGACCCCGCTTGTTAGCGATTTGAACCTCGATCGACTTCTTTTGGAAAATTGCGATCCTCACACCGTGGCTACTATTGCTGATGTTTTATCCCAAGTGGACGTTGACGACATGTCAGTCGATTTTCCAGACCAATTCTATAATTATCTTTTTGCTTCAGAACGTCGAGATTGGACAAACTTCGACCGAATGAGAAGGAGAATAATGATTTATTCTTCGACCAGCTTCCACCTTTGATTCGAGCAGTTGTGAGCCATAGTACAAGCGTAAGTCTTATTTGAACGTGAATTTATATTTATTTTCTTTAATTTTTAGGCGCTCGATGTTGATTCTCATAATGATATGCAACTTCTCGATAATGAAGACCTTATGATGCAGGAAGATATTACAAGATCGGGACCATCGGTATAATTTTCTCGTGCGCATTTTTGATGACATTGGGAATTTCAGCAAGTCCTTATGCAGCAGAGTGATTCGTACCGGGCTCAAATGCAAGCTGCCAATAATCAGAATCAGCATAATCAAAATAATCAATATTCTTCACATGAAAATACCCCGACGACGTCGGCGACGTATTCTGAAGGAACAAGTGGTACGATATCGATTGAGAAGAGGAGACAAATGATGTCGGTTGGAAAGGCGCCAAAAGCTGGTGGTGGAAGTCAAAGAAAGAAGAAGGATATGGTGAGATTAACAACAATTAAGAACAATTTGGTTTTTATTAGGTTGAAAGCTTGTACGACTCACTTACGGATAACTTTGTGCCATCTGTTAGCCGACGAGGACGACGTAGGAATCGCGAGAATTCTGAAGACGACGACGAGTCGTTGAAACGTGATCTCGAATTGATTGCGGCAATGGAAGCTGGCGAGAAGTTGCCGGCGACTGTGACGGGATTCCGACGAAGTGGATATGATTCGGACGAAGAGAACAAGTTCTTTGAAAAAAAGAATAAGAAGCGTAAGCGGGAAGAGCAACCGGATCGGCCACCGACGCCCACGGAAGGTTTGAGATTCTCAAAATTCGAGAGATTTTATTCGAATTTTAGTGATTTCTGCGCGAGCCGAAGAATGGAAAGAACGACAGAGGCAGAAGATTGAGATGAACAAGAAGAGGAAGACCGAGGATGATGGAAATGATTGGAATACTGATGTAATTTTTTTGTTGAATTTTCACAAAAAAAATCATACCGTCGAATTTCTAGGCTCTTGCTGAAAATGATTCGTTTGTTCGATTCAATATGCTTCTTGATACGATTTTCGAGCAGATTGAGAATTTTGACATGTCGCAAATCACACAGAAAAAGAAGAGAAAATCGTTGAATACGTCTGATGGTGAGATTTTTGCTCTTCAGTTATCATATCAATCTATTTCGGTTTTAAAGAAACTGGTAATTCGTCGTCTGACGAGGAAGACGATGGCGTTAGCTCGGACCTTCTCATTGATCGCGGTATTCTGGATGAGCTGAGAAGGGAAGCGATGAAGCTGAAACGATGGCAGAAGCTTCACAAAGTTTCGCCAGATCGCCTTATCAAGATTGTGTCGCTATTGGAAAGTAATATTCGGGATGTGATCTCAAATGATAATTTGCGGCTTCTTGTTCCGATTCTCGATGATGTAAGCTGTTATTTTAAAATTTTTAATTGAATTCTGTCTTCAGGAAATTGAAGAGGACGAGCTTGCGCTGAAAGAAGTTGTTGAGGAGCGTCTCCTCAAGGCTTCCGATGCTGCTTGTTGCGCATTGTTGATCATGACGAGTCACAAGATGCACAAGCAGGTGCTTCTCGAAGACACAATTGAAAGAGCGGTGGCGCTTGCAAAGCTTTATCTAACGAATATCATTTTTCCCGCGTCGGATAGTATTTATAAATCGGCGAGCGGCAATAAGAAAAAGACGATGACTGATGAGCCGAAGAAGCGAAAGAAGGTGAACACGTCGAGAAATCGATCGCCGATTATTCAGCAGATTTACTTGAGAGTTACCGAATTGTTTGGATGCTTCGCAGAATTGGTGAGTTTCGCGATTTTTCACATTTTCGAATGAGCTTTTGAGGTTTAGGTTCGACTTGACACAATTCCCGATTCTTCAATTCACAATATGGCTTCAATGTCCGTCTCATCGTTCTTCGTCTCGAATGTTGGAGAACTTCAGATTCAGGTATTTCTAGTCCATCTTTGATAACAAATAGAAATCGATTTTGTTCCAGTCAATGCGACTTGCCTCAAATATTTTTTCACGTGGTGATCATCAAATTCGGTTATCAATGATGAGCGATATTCTGTCTTCCCTTCACAGGTTTGACAAATGTGGTTTTAGTGATTTTTGTCAAGAAATTGTTAATTTTAGGATACCTACGACGAGTGTGAAGAATGTGAATAATGGCTATCGATTAGGAAATGATCAGTGGATATCGAATACGACGGCTCTAGTAATGCAACTCATTCAGAGTGTTATCAAGGTGAGACATTTTTTCAAAGGGCTTTTCAAATATTGTGATATTTTAGATGCCCAAGTATAAGAAGACGGATGACGATAATGACAATGGACAGAGACAGATCAATCAGGACGCCGTTGTTAGGGATTCGTTCCTTCAAGCCTCAAAAATCACCAATGGATTCCTTTCCGGATTTTTGAAGAAGTGCTCGCAGAAAGGAAGCAAATTGGATGGTGAAGAGGATTATCGAATTCTGTTCTCGCATTTCCTGCAAGAAATTTTGTTGGCCCTTTATCAGCCGGAATGGCCTGTTGCCGAAATGATCATCGCGTCAGCTGGAGCGCTTCTTGTTCAACATTTTAAGTCGAAAAACACGGACATCACGATTCGACAGGCTTCTCTTGATTTTTTGGGTCTTGTGACGGCTAGATTGCGGAAGGAATCGAAAGAAGTGGCCGAAGATGCGTTTGAGCGATTGGAATTGGTTGTGAAAACGCTGATTTATGAGGAAGACGATGATGGCTATTATGATACGGTTGACGATGTCGATGTGTCCAAATTGTCGCAGACGGATCGATTGAAGAAGCTTGAGCAGGCTCTTATTGATTATTTGATTGAAAAGAAAGGTGATTCGGAGGTTAGCGTCGAGGTAGGAGACGATTTTGAGAAATGATTCACTGGGAAAATTGATTTTAAGTATGCTGTTCTTTACTACACGGGCGAATGGTATCGGGATACTGCCGAAGATTTGGAAATGAGTAAGAACAAGACGGCTCGAGCTCTTTCTCAACCCGATCTCACCGAAAAGGAGAGGAAGAAGATTGAGAAGAAGCGAGAGCGAATGCTTGAAAAAGGCCAACTTCTCAAGGAATTCCTCATGAAGTTGGTTGACAAGAAGAATATGAGGAAACGGGCTGAATTTCTAAAGTATGACCGTTTTTTGTGTTCCTTTATCACCAAATTTGCTTTATTTTTTTTAGGAATAAAGGAGCTATTATGCTGGAATCAGATGCACTGTGGGCTGTAAAGTTTTTGGCTAGAAATCGCGAATTTAGTCACTCGTTTGACAATTTTTTGAAACATGTAAGCTCGAAAGATTCAAGATTTTCAATCGAATGGGTTTTTTGCAGATCGTGCATGGTGCTGGCTCCGAAACTGTTGTCAATTTGAGAACGAGAGCATTGAAGAGTCTTTCGATGATTATTGAAGCTGATCACGAAGTCCTGATTCTGGTAAGAATCTATTCTTCGTATGTATCTAAATTCTTTATTTATAGGAAGAAGTGCGAGCCGCGGTTCACAGCAGAATGATTGATTCGCACGCGCAAGTCCGTGAGGCTGCCATTGAGCTTCTTGGTAAATTCCTGCTTGTCAAACGCGATTACATCGACCAGTACTACAGTATGCTCACTGAAAGAATATTGGTGAATTTTTTTTAACCGTTGCTTTTTCTATTTGTTTAAATTTCTAGGATTCTGGTGTGGCTGTCCGCAAACGTGTCATTCGAATAATGAGAGAGATTTGCGAGAAATTTCCGACGTATGAAAAGATACCTGAGATGCTCTCGAAGATGGTTCGACGAATCAATGACGAGGAAGGTGTTAAGAAGCTGATTCAAGAGACATTCTCAACACTCTGGTTCCAGCCGGTCGATGATAGAATTCAACCGGATGTGTTGGCTAATAAGGTAATCTAGAAAATACTAGAAAATAAGGAATCAATATTTCATATTTCTAGGCTTTGGTAATGTCGTCAGTAGTTCGGCATTGCATTCAGGATGTCACTGTTGAATACTTGGAGCAGCTCATCCATTGGGTTCTTAAAAGTGAAGATAAGGTAATTTGATTGATTGATTCTATTTTTTTTTTAATTTTCTTTTTTTTCTTGCAGATGGTCCTATTGGCGAGTCGGCAACTTGTCGATAAACTTGTCGATCACATTCTTCATCTGGAAACGACGATGGCGCAAAGTAATGATTTATAAGATTTATGAGATTAATCGTTTCGTTCAGATCAGCCGACGATTGCCCCGAACTCGGGAGAAGCTGAGGAACTTGTGGTTGCTGCGAAGCAGAAGGCCAATCAGGAGAGTCAGCTCGCTTGTCTAACAACGCTGGCCATTTTCAGCAAGGTTTTTTCTCATTTGATGTTCTGCTGTTATTTTAGCTTTTCACCGTTCAGGTTCGACCGGAATTGATGGTAAAACATGCGGAAACCCTACAGCCTTATTTGACAACGACGTCGAATTCGGCAAAAACCGCCGCCGAGAACGCAGTGCTCAACGAAGTGATTGGAATGCTTGAACGCGTTGTTCCGCTTATGAGCCATCCGAGCGATGGATTCTTGAATGGAATCGACGAGGATCTTACGAATATGGCGACGACTTGCGGCATGCAGCTGGTGGTTTCGACGATTTCGTGCTCTTCGGCAATCTGGAATCGATTCAAGAGGATCAGACCGAAATTGGTTGACAAGTTCCTTGCGAATATTGCTTGTGTTACGGCACACAAGCGGATTCATGAGCGCGATCCGACTCATAAGACGGATAAGAGGACGGAGTCGACGCTTCAGAGGTCAATCTTCACCATTGGAGTTCTATGCCGCTATTTTGATCTGGATCAGATGTTGTCGCCTGACAAGCCGTCTGAAGAGCCGCACGATGAATTGAATCCGCCACCAGAAAAACGGTACAGAATTGAAATTTTTGTTTAAATCAAAGATTGATTTTCAAATTTTGTCAATTTTAGAGCGATTCGAGACAAGGTTTTCGAATGTTTGGAGTTTTTCTCGCGTTCCAACCATCCGATGCTTCGACAGAAAGCGCTTTCCTCGTTGGGACACTTCTGCTCGCAGCACAGCGAGTATCTGACGAGGCCAGCGGTTCAGCAAATGTATTTGGCGAATTTGTCGGACAAGATTCCCGGCAAATTGCCGCAAAAGATACAGGTGCTCAAGAATTTGGAGATGTTCCTTCAGAATGAGGAGAAGAAGCTTATCAAGAAGAATGAAGAATGTATAATTTTACCCATGAGATTTATTTTTCAATTTTGATTTTTAGGGAATTCGAACAAGGCTAGCGAGAATCTTAAAGAAATGGAGCTTAGTGGTTCGGGACTTGGATCGACAGTCATTCAGCGATACTGGAGTGCGGTGTTGAACTCGTACTGCGATCCCGACATTAATGTGCGAATGGCGGCTGTTCAAGTGGCGTGGCTCACGCTGAATCAGGGTTTGGTCACACCGGGCGCTTCGATTTCGTATTTAATCGCGATGACGACGGATCCCGTCGAGCTGATTCGAAATAAAATCGACAATTTAATCAAAGAGATTGATTCGAAGTACGCGGGAATGGTACAGAGCAAGGCGATTCTTGGTGTTCGGTTGTCGTTCAAATTGCATCAGAAGATCCATCAGGCGGCGGTGGCGGCGGGAAATGAAGACGCAAGGATTGTCAGAGGCATCCGATGGTGTGATTTCTCAGCGGGGCCGGCTAGTTGTGAGTTTTCGATCAAATATTATTATTTTTTCTTTTTTTTTCAGCAAGAACACAATTTTCGCTTCCAAGAATGTCTAATGATGGAATGGCTCTGCTCAGTGGACTTTATCAAAGCCTTCGCACGAATCGGCAGCAGCGGCGATCATTCCTTCAATCGGTTCTCAAGTAACCCACTGGATTGTTATTTGTCGCGCGGTTTTTAACCTAAAATCATTTAGACTTTTTGCTGACGATTGCCGTGAGAAATTGTCACTTGAGGAATGGATTTTTGTCGCTGATAATGTCGCCACGTTCCCGTATCAGATGATCGATGAGCCGTTGTATGTTATTCGGCTCATTGATCAAATTGTCGCGCAGACTGGGCAATCTATTCTTATGCAGTTTAAGGTATGATTCTTTTTTTAATAAATTTTTTAAAAATTGTTTTTTTAGCAAAGTTTATTGCCATTGCCGGAATATGAAGGACGCATTGAGGATGAGGATGTTCTATTTGATCCGGAGAACTTGTTCCGCAGATTCCCGTCGAATAAGGATCACCTCTATGATTTGATGAGGAGCAGTCAATCGTGCTTCATATTGCTTTATATTCGAAGTTTTCTTATCAAGCTCTACTCGTTTACCGATGCGTAAGTCACCGGAACCTTCTAGAATCGATGATTTCTATTTTTTTATTTTTTTTCTAGAAAAGTTCAAGAATATCTGCCATCAGAAGCGGCAAAAGTTTATGAGAAGGCAGTGTCGAGAAAGAATATTCACACGTTCTCGCCGGCGACGGCGCTTTTGGAATTGAATCCGGAGAAGCTGAAACAGAGGAATACGATGGAAGGAGATGTTGAGTTGGCGAAGAATATTAATAAGGTGTGTTTTCGAGCATGCGCCTTTAAGTTTGGTCTCGATTGGAGACAATACAAATCGACTATTTGTTCATTTATAAAATGAAAAAAAATAAGTACCTCAATGGAATTACCCTATTAGGAACTGAAATTTATAGGAAAAATAACAACTGGAAATATATTTCATTACTTAAACTTCAAATTTGAAAAAAAATCCGCCTTTCTGTACCATTCAGGATACCTTTTTTGCAAAAATGGGTCGGCAGACGGGCAAATTTTGTTGCTGACATAATCTTCTTATTCGTGCTAATCTTGTCAATTGCAGTTCCGCACCATGCTTCTGACGTTGGACCGCGGAGATGATGATGATGATGGTGAAGCGAAGATCCAGGCGATCGCCAACAATGATTATGACGACGACGATCTTGAAGAGGTGGATGAGATGGCATCGGTGGGCTCGGCGGCGCCCATCATGGACGAGTAATTATCAACAATTTCGGTGATAACGACAATCGCCTCAAATATAACGTTTTTGGTGCTATCATGCAACTGTATTATGTTAAGTTTTCTTCTCGCAAAGTGCCAATTGAATTTTCTTTGAATTTTAGTGTTTTTTTGGCATTTTATTCTACAAATGATGATCGAATCACTTTGATATGAACTTTATGGGTAACTTACTGAATTCTTTCCATTTATGGTCAAATCCCTTCTTTTGAGTCTCTTTATAGGATTTTTGTTGGATCTCACTGTACAATTTTTCCACCTCTCCCCCGCATCACTGTATAATTTTTGTTCTCGAATTGTTTTCTTTTTTTTCTAACCTTTTTTTATTGTGAAACTGATCTCAAAAAGAAACGTAGTTGACGGTAATTGTACTCTAATATTTACGAATTTTGTACCCTAGGTGATTGATTTTTGATTCATAATTTGTTTGGCGGCTCCCGAAATTCCCGATCTTTTTTTTTCAAACTGCTTTTTTTTCAATCATATATTACATAAAATTGTGCAAATTTATGAGACTTGGTGGTTGAATTGGATTTAGACGAGAAACAGCATTATTTTTGGGAAGGCAATTGAATGGTCCGTTCCCCGGTCAGCCCCGCCCCCCTTTGATTGCGTCATGACCCCGTGATAATATGATGCAAACTATAGCCAATATCATCAAAAGCGAATGATCGTGAATTTTCGCTATTTGACAAAGAGGGTACCTACAAATGACGTTCGAATTCAAATAATTATGAATTCGAATGCGAGTTTTCCCCCTTAAACTTTATTTTTTGAGGTCGTCCGCCTGCTTGATATTTCATCTTGTTGGTATTTTTTCGACGTGATTAGAAAACAGACTGAAGCCATTATTTTGTTGTCCATGAGAAGTTCAAATTTATTGGCGATTTTGAAAGAGAAACTGGAAAAATGTCAAAAATAATTGGATTTTTTTTTCAAAAACTAAGGTTCAATAAAAATTTACAGTAATCAATATGTTTTCCGTTCGGGACCATTTAAAATAAATCGTTTGCTCCTTTAATACCTACAAAAATCCAACTTATAATATTTTTTGTTTCGTTTTCGGCGAATTTTTGCCATTTTTTCACAACTTTTGAATTTTAGCAAACTAAAAACGAATTTTTGTTTTGTTTCTTTAAATGTTTCACTGTAAATTCACCAGATATGCTATAAAAATTCAGAATTTGAATGAGATGAAACGAGCGGCGCAACGACTCGTCATTTCCGAAATGCGCCCCATCGCACCGCATGATATATTTCCATTCATTGTCTGTCGTTTACACGTTTCGCGTAAATCTACAACCAGACCAGTTCTTTTCCCGCATGTTGTATGTGTTGCCTAATGATTTTTGGTTTCTCGTCAGAATCTCATAACGCAATCTAATAATAAAATGGAAGAAGCGACGAAAATGATTTTGATTTTTGAAGGGAGTTGAGCCATGAAGAAGGGCGGTTTGAGCGATTTCGCCGATTTTCGCGATGAGGACCTCAATTGCACACAGGGAATCCAATGGATCAAGGACGTAATCCTTCCTATAATTTTGTTGAATTCAAATCCTATCGATCTATTTTCAGGTTTTCACTGATTGCGTTGATACAGATCTCAAATTGATCGGATTTGTTATCGGGTTGATCTCGCTGGCCCTCTGGCTGATTCCATTGTTTCCCCAATTATGGCAAAACTATAAAACGAAGAAGTGCGATGGAATCTCGTTGGCCTTCCTCTTCTTCTGGTAAGCTATTTTAACTGTATTCAATCTTTAATCTGCAATTCCTTAAAATTCGTATAATAATATTTGTCCTCGATTATTATTCATAATTTTATCATATGCTTATTTGCTATTGAATGAGTCATGAGTCGCTTGTAGTCTTGGTGTCAAAATAATACTTTTACTAAAATAACATTTGTCAATTTTCATCAATCTTCTAGCTGTCGTTGCGCGGCGAAATGATAAGATGGTGGTCATCTCAAAAATTAGGGAAGAAATTGCAGGCTTGTCGGTGATACGTGCAATATGCTTGGAGCAATGTTGACCAATCAGCAGCCAATTCAGAAGATTATTGGAGTTTATTACATCATTCAGGTTAATATTCAGCATTTTTTGTGAAATATTAAATAAGAAATTCGTCACAAGACACGTTCCAAACCGATTGTTGAATTTGCTACTCAAACATTCATATTTTGTCAAGCAAATATCCATTAAAGCACAAACTTTGCTTTAAGTTATTATTATTAAAAAAAATACTGAATTTCTTCAATAGCCAAAAAATGGTTAAAATGTGGATGAAAAATAGGCAAACTCCAATTCTACTCCATTTTCTGTACCGGTAAAAATAAAGATTTAAAACATTTGAAATGATATGAAGATTGTGGAAAATATTCGTTTTAAATTTAGTTTTTTGAATTTTTTTTCAAAACCTCCACAATACCGTTTTTATTGTTTCGGAAATATTCATAAAATTTAAATCATTTCGCGAGTTTCAATTATTAATCAAAATTCCTTTGACTTTTATCAGATTTTCAAAGGCGCTCTATTGCACTAATTATCATTGTTTCTTTTTTTCCAGGACCTCGTCCTTTGGATGCAATATGGCTATTACACGAAAATATATCCAAAGAAGCATTCCAGTCATCGAAGTAAGAAAAGAAACGCACGCATTTTCATTTTGATCTACATTTCTTCATTGTTTTAGGCGGCACAATTGTCGTTCCATGTTTGGCGATCGCCTCGTTCGGCTCGTTTTGTCTGTTCGACTCGCTGATTCAAGACGATGTTGGATTGAGGCCGAAGCGATCGATCGTCTTCGGCTATAATGCGAATATGTAAGTTTCTTGTCAGAGTATTTGATGAAGAAAATCCAAATAATTGGTGTTTGAAGGCCTTTCGAGAACTCATGGCAAAAGTTTCCGATATTCGAGAGCTACAGCGATATGCTCGGCTACATCATCGGCTCCGTCGCGGCTCTCTGCTATTTTGGAGGCAGAATCCCGCAAATCATCAAGGTAGTTCTATTGAAATCCACATTAGGCGTTACTTCTTCTCTAGAACTACCAAAGAAGAAGTTGTGAGGGATTGTCGCTCACCATGTTCTACATAATAGTCGCCGCCAATTTCACCTACGGTATTTCCGTGCTTTTGGCAACCACGGGATGGATCTATCTGCTTAGGTAAATGTAGATTTACGTGAGAGAGAGAGAGGTCTTGAAACGAAACAAGCATATAAACACATTTCGCAATGCCCTGTTTTCCTCATTTTTAAATGGTGATTCTCATATGTGCGTGTGGCACTTTGAATGAAATCGACAGGCCCTGCGTGTCGGCGGCCCCTGCCGCCGCCGCGCTCACAAACAATTTTCCCATAATATATATATATTTATTTATTCGTCGTTTTTATTAATGTGAAAATGTACAATTGAATGACACGTCGGCGGTCTCATAAAAGACCATCTCATTCACTCACTCTCTCGTTGTTTTTTTTCCCTCACTTTTTTGAAATGCCCACCTAATATTTTAATAATTTTAGGCATTTGCCTTGGCTTGCCGGCAGTTTGGGATGTTGTGTGTTCGACGCCATCATGATTTCGCAGTACTACTATTATCGGTCGAAATCGCCGCCGGCTGATGAGGTTGAACGAGCCGGTCTCCTTCAAACCGCCGAGAACGATTCGGAATAGATCCGACAAAACCGAGTGTATCTGTATTTTTTGTCTCTTCCTCTCACTTATCCGGCAAAAAAAAATGATTTTTTTTTTTGCCATTTGCTGCATTCATTTGAAAACTTGTGTTTTTTCCTTAATTATTGGTTTCTCTCTCATTGCTGTAATCTTGTAGAATATCGATTCTTGTGCATTTTCGAAAAGCAGGTGTAATTCCCATTCAATGGGTATCTTGTTATTTTTTGTGTGTTTATGTGTTAATTTTTTTTTTCCATTTTTTGTCACACTTCTGGGTAGCTCTTGTTCTCACTTTTTGCTGAATTTTGAACATATTTCTTGCAATACTCTGAACTAGTCTCTCAATTTTTTTAAACGTATAAAACAAAACATTTCTGAGTGTATTTCTTGCAATTTTCTTGATTTTTCAAAAACAGTTTTTGCACTGATAATTATCTTCATCTTTTTTTTCTTCCCACCTTGCCTCGTTTTTTTTTTCTAAACAAAATTTTGCAGGTTTCGTTTCGCTCGGCAAAATATCGGTGAACACGGGTTTATTGTTTTTTTGTTTAGAAACATTTTTGTTTTGACTTGTTATTTGTTGACGAACACCGCAACCATGACTAATATGCAGCATTATATGGAGGATATCACAGATAGTAAGCGTTTGAGTCTTTTTTTTTGTGAATTGAAATATTGTTTTAATTTTCTAGTTCTTGGTGGACTTGATACCGAAATGGAGAAGAGGTACAAAAGAATTGGCAAATGGGATGCGCAAATCGCAGGTTTGACTTTTTTTTTGAAATTTGAAATTTTCTTCTTCAAACAAGTGGAATTCCAAAAAAAATTGAAAAGCCTGTGATTAACTTTGACTTTAATTGAGGCTTTTGGAATTTTTTGAATTGAACCCAAGTTTTTCTTTTTTGAAAATTTCCAAAGCTATTTTATTTCATTAATGAAATTACAATATTCAATTATTAGAGATTTATTCCACGATTTTCTCCACAAATAAATTTCAGAATGGCAGAAGGAGGCTAAGAAGGCGGAAGAAATTGTGTTCAATCCGAACAAATCGATTGAGAAACGATCTGAAAAAGCAATTCAACTAGCTGATGTATATCAACTCGTTCTTTTTTTTCTCAATCGTTTTTTTTTCATTTTCAGCTCACTAATCGCATTCGCCATTTGTCCGAGAAAAAGGTCTCGTTTTGCGAGCGAAACTCGAAGACGATTGACGCGATTTATAAGAAAATCACAGAGTTGGCTTATCATTGTAAATGCGAGGTTGAGATTGACAATCCGGGATCGACGGAAATCAGAGAACGACGTAATTTTCTTGGTCGTCTAGAAATGGTCAAATTCGATTCGTTTTGGTTTCAGTGTTTATTCAAGCGATGACGTCGTCGAATCTTGAAGCGGATGGGCCGTCGCAGTTTTCGGCGCCGATTGGAAGAGCAACTAGAGAGATGTCAATACTTACTGATGACGATGGTATCTCGACGAGAAGTGTGACTCCGGTGCCGAAAGAGAGGTTGAGCTTCGTATGAGATTATAAATCTAGCTGTCTCCATGTTTAGAAAACGCGGCGTCGGTCGACCAAGGAATGTTCTAAAAGAGAACTCGCAGAATAAGGGCTCGACGATGTCCAGCACACGATCGAGCGTTGATCGCGAGGTTCCGCCTAATCGAAGGTCAGAGAAGCTATCGTCGTACATGCGCAAAAAGCAGGAGAAGCAGCGTGTCGAGGAAGAGCGCAAACGAGAGCTCGTTTTCGATCAGGCTCATGTGAAGCGCGAGGTTATCGATACGACAGACAATTATGGCGGATTCGGCGGTCCGTCGGATGGTCCGAACGACGATGACACACCGAACATGCTCGAGCTTCTTGAGGCCTTCCCACCTGGAATTTTGTCGGATTTGCCATTGCCGCCGCAGGATATTTTGGACGGATTGGAGATTGATGTGAGATGGAAAAAAAGTGATGCTCCCTTCTTACTCAATTATGTTTTTCAGGGTCCCAACATGTTGTCGATGGGCGATGATGTGTCGAACAATGAGAAGAAGTTCTTCGAGGATCCGTCGACGAAGCCACACAAACGCGAGCACGTAAGTTGGAGAGATTGTCAGTTTTTTGCCCAGATTACTGTATGTTTGTCCCATGTCGAACCTCTTGCCTATTTTTGTGTCCCTTCCCTGTGTGGTCTTGATATCTAGTTCAATCTAAAAGTAGATTTCCTTTCAAAAAAAAAAAAGAAACACACACACAAATTCAACTGAAATATGTTGAGCAATTGTACTGAAATACAAATGTGAATACCAAACACAGGCGGCGCACTCAATGTCGAGCGGTGAACCGGCGGAGAAGCGCAGACGAAACACATTGTTCGGCTCGAAAGCCGACACGAGTTTCAGTGGGCGGCCGAGAAAGTCAGTCATGTTTGCAATTTCAACCAACCACACACTCATCAGCCATCATTTTGCCTGCCTGCCAGAGACAAATTGTGTTTGAAAGCCAATTTTTTTTTTGATTTCGGGAGCCTGAATTCTCTTGTCTCTTTATGAATATTCTCAATTATTATTATTTTTCTTTTCGACGTAAATGAAATTGCACAATTCTCGAATTGATTTGCAGACTGACCGATCGCGTTTGTGAAATGGTGCAAATGTATCGAGAACGAGAAGAGCGACGCAAAACGAAAGATGATAGCGAGGATTGGTGTATTTGTGATGGTGTAAGTCGCCAAAATTTGATTGGGTGCCGAAAAACCCCAATTTCCACCGTTTCAAACGAACCATTTAGAATTTTATACCTTCTGCGGGCATTGTCCGGGTTTATAACTATAATCGAAATTTCGTTGAAAATCTTTTTTTTTCCTGGAAAACTCATTTTACTATAAACCATCTTCGGGCATTGCTTAATTCAAATTTAATGTTTCGTGATTTTTTTTTGCAGAATGTCAACTCTGAAATGATGGTCGCCTGTGATAACGCGCATGTAAGCTAAAATAATTTGCCAAAAATGGTCCGAAAACGATAAATTGCAGTGTAAAATCGGATGGTATCATTTCGAGTGTGTGGGTCTCACCGCGAATCCGAAAGATGATTGGTTCTGTCCGTCGTGCTCGCGCATTCCGCCGCACATGCGTTTAGTTCAACCGCGTGATGATTAACAACAGATTTAGTCCTTATTCCACTACCAAGTAGACGTTGTTTTAGCAATTTTTCTTCTTCTGATGAATTTGTTTCACATAATCACCTCTTAACTAGTTCGATGTTTATTTTTCTTTCATTTTTTTTCGTCAAACGGTGTTTTTTTTTCTTTTTCTGTGTTGTGCTCAACAAGTATTATTATTACTATTATCGTTCTTTTCTTTGTTTCCGAGGTTTTTCTCTCTTACCAGTTCTTTTTTTTTAAATTGGGTTTTCATTTGTTGAGATTACTAACACCTATCACCACTCGTTCATGTTTCTTTTTTTTTTCGTGTTTCTCGTTTTGCTCGCTCACTCGCTCGTTTTTACCATATTATACTTTTTTCTTTCTTCTTTGTTGTATAAAGATATTTCCAGCGCGATTTTTGTGGAGATTTTCATTTTTAATTGTCGACCACAGTTTTTTGTTGAATACTGTCGAAATACCTGGATTTTTGTTGCTGTTGTTGGCTTTTTTCAATTTGAGAAGAGCCGGTAGCGGTTAAATCGGTGAAAATTGTCAATTCACGTTTGTCTTCAGAAAAATGTAAAATTATTGAATATTTTCGCGGGTAAATCTTTCGGCGTTTTCAGAATTGTCGTCGTTTGATCTTTTTTTTTTGAGAAATTTGGGTTCACGTAATTCTAGATAGTCAAAAACCGTTTTTTTTCTGCTAAATAACTCAAAACGGGATAGTTGGTTTTTTTTTAGAAATTTCAATGAACAAGTATTCGATTTATTTCTCAAAAAAACCGATTATTAATGGCGTGTGCCTTTAATAAATACTGTAATCAAAAATTTTTCTTGAAAAAAAAAACTGAAATTTTTGTAGAATTGTGAAAAAACGGCGATTGTAGAAATTAAATGATTAATTAAAGGCCCACGATGCGAAAGATTGGTTTAATTTTGTGGCGCCGCTTTCGGTTTTTTTCAGATAACAGACTATACCCAATTATAGAGTTACTGTGGGGTGATAAGTACGCAAACACGTAAATTGAAAATTGCGTAAACAATTCGAAACTCATTCGATTCTTGTGTGCCGCGTTTTTTCGATTTACGGTCCATTTCCATATTTAGTCATGTTATCAATAACGATTGGAATATTTTTTTATATGAAGGCTAACCCTTATTGTGGCACCTTGACCGTGGCTCACTAAAATTATGCCTTCTAGAAATGCAATGGCCGTTTATAGGCAATTTTGTTGAAAAATTTTAGATAATGAATTTAATATATTGTGGGGATTTTCTGGTAAAAGATAAAACAAATTTTCAAGCGCAATAAAGCTGCTCGAAATCGCGAGAGTTTCGCAATATCCCATTTCACAACATTTTATTATTACTACCCTTTTTTTCTATTTGATGTATAGAGCCCATATCACCTAGTGGTCGGTTCCATTGGTGTTCTCCGTCGAGGTCACGTCTCCCACCATCGCCACCAATTTCGCCCACCAACATCATCAGCTGAGAGTGCATCAACGATCGATAGGGCAACGAGAGTGAGAGCGCGCAGGCAGAGACGCAGAGTGCGGTCGATCGTCGCACCCGCCCCGCCGCTCCGTTCATCCTCTCGATTGTCATTCTCCTTGTGCTTGTTTTCTGCTGTTTTTGTAGTAGTTGTTTTTTTACTGTAACGAAAGCACCATTCCACAACACGGTCTCTATTATTATTATTATTATTGTTGTTGGTTGAAGCATTTATACGTTTCCTTGGGAGCTACCGTATCCATAGTTGTTGAATTGTCATCATTTTTGGATACTGTAGATAGACGAAAGTGAAAATAAGGTCACGCTCGATTTTAGTGCTCACGTTATCTGTCACTCTTGCGCATATTAATTTGCTTCATTAGTTTCCAGGTAGTCGGACTGTAAAATAAAAATCAAAAACGATGGACCAGCTCGGGCTTCCTGATGATCAGCTCGAAAAGTTGAGACAGTTTGCTGTAAGATTGAATTATTGAGAAGATTGATTAGATATGCATTTTTTTTTCTTGTAGGAAATCACTAATAGCAATGATTACAATGTGGCGATTGGAACGCTCGCGTCGCTCGACTGGAATGTCGAGCAGGCGATCGAAACGCATTTGATGCAGGACCACGAGCAGGACGATGATCCGGAGATTATTGAGCCGACATCGCAGCCGAATGAGCCGATGCCGATTTTGAATAATGCTGCGCAGTATGTTTTTGCGATTCACAAGGGAGATTTGAAACGAATGAGCATTTTTGTAGATCATCGCGCGGGCGGCGCCGAATGCGCACCGACGACGTCGATATTCAGGTGAAAAGAATGCGGGTTTGTAGTGTAATTATCGCGGGGTTTTTTACTCGATTGAAACGTTAGACCCTAGAACGCCCTTAAAAGATTTTCCAGAAATTGGGTGGGAGTTTGAAGCATTGACAATTTTTGAGACAAAATTCAAAAAAAAATTATCATTTTTTGCTTAAATTATCATATTAACACTGTCCCATTTGACTTTTTTTGTGATGATCTAACGATTTTCGATGCATTCGACGGCTTTGGTATCGAAAGTTGTGAATTACAGTTGGACGATGATAACACTGGCGAGAACAATCATCCGATATTTGCGCCGTTTGGTCCGAGAACGTCGCAATCGCGTAAGTGCCTAAATTTTCGATAATAATCACGCGAAGAAGTGATGAAATCGAAATACGTCCATAAAAATTGCATCATTTCAATTTGATTCGTTTGAAGGCTTTGGAAATAACGCAAACTCGGGACCATCGCGAGCTGGGCCATCTGTGTCGAACGGCAATGAGCATAATCGCGACGATAGCGATGAAGATTACATGCAAGTTGATTATGACGAAGACGTTTATAGGCATATTCAAAATGATGTTGTGGTGAGTTTTGTTTTAGGCCCGTCGAAATGAATTACGCTAAATTGGGGGGTTACCGCGCGTAAACTGTGGAGTGTCGTTGTGCAGTGTAGCGCGATTGCTGCCGGCGAAAATTTCAATTTTGATTTTTAATGACTCACGTGCGAATTTCGTGTTCCACGTTGAATTTGCTTGAGTTTTCGCTGTGCGCAACGAGTTGAAGTAGTAACAATGTTGGCGTTAGTTCGAGCGTTCTTTGAAACCTTATTCCCGTGGGGGATGAATGCGCAAATGATCGAGTACCCGCAGGTAAAATTTGGGTGATCGAATTTCATTGAAATTTCTTGGCATTTCCATCAATTCGATTTTTTTTTGCAGGCGAGCCGCCGCAATGGTTCTGTTCCACTCATCCCAGAGAATTGCGAAGACGTTCGCGAGGCTCTTCAGCATTTTGTCACGGTGTTCCAGAGCCGATTCTGCTCGACACCGGCGAGCTCGGCGTTCATGCCTCAATTTTTCACGGAGCCACTTGAGACGGCTATTAGACAAGCATTTGATAATAGCGAGTGGTAACTCGGAGACATTTTCGAGAAAAAATACATGAAAAATTTTTCAGCTCAATGAGACGTCCATTGGCAATTTATATTCATAATGAGAAGAGTATAGCTTCGAATATTTTCCCCACACAAGTTTTGTGCACTGAAGCGATCTCATCGCTTCTTCGCCATCAATATATTTTCTGGCCTTGGGATATCACTTCTGAGTATGAAATCTATATTTCATTTTCGAGACACACATGGTTAATTTTTGCAGTTCCAACTTTATGAAGCTGCTCGAATGGCTCCAGATTTTGAACATTTCCGATGTTCGCCAAACACTTCAGCGTCTCAGCATGTCGAGCCACGAATCGTTTCCGTTGATTGCGATTATTGTCCGCGACAAATCTACATTCAGATTGTCCAACATTTGCAAAGGCAATTTTATCAATTGCGCATTTTTTGGATTTTTATGTTCTTTATTTTTTCAGGAGTTGAAACCGCTGATGCTGTGGTTGAGAAGCTTATGGCTGGAATTGAAGAGTATGACTCGATTCGTGTTCGTGAGATGAAGGAGAAGCGTGAGCGCGAGGAGCGCGAGAAGATACGAAACGAACAGGAGGCTGAGTATCAAGCTTCTCTTGCCGCCGACCGTGCTCGCATGGAGGCGAGACGTCGTGAGATCGAGGATCAGAAGGCTGAGGAAGAGCGACGCGCTCGCGCCGAAGAGGAGGAGAACATGCGAAGGCAAACATTGGCGAGCATGTTGCCGTCGGAGCCGGCTGCCAATGAGCAGAATATCGTTCATATCAAATTTAGACTTCCGGAGGGAGCTCAGGTAGAGGAATATTTGATAGATTCTAAGAACCTTGGATTCTTTTTTTAAGGAATTGCGTCGTTTCCGCTCGAATGAGACCATTCAGGTCCTTATCAATTATCTGTCGTCGAAAGGATACGCGCCGGAAACTCACAAATATTTCAATTCGGATTTTCCGAAGAAGGAGGTTTTTTTTTAGAAAACCGGAATATTCTTATAAAATTTCTTCTAGATCACTACAACATTCGATTTGTCGAAATCGTTCCGAGATGCGAAATGGCCGCTCCGTGAGCAGGTTTTCGTTGAGGAGATCTGAATTCAATTGTCGGTCTGTCGATGCTTATTATTACCATGTGAATGAACTTCATCAACTCAGCGGGTCGTCCAAAAAATGGGCATACTTTACTGCTCGATTTCTTTTTTTCTGTGCTGTCTCATTGTTCGTCGTCCTGCTTTTTGACTTCTTCTTTTTCATCTTTCCTTCGTCTACTTGTAATTTCTGTTTGGAATTGGTCTATTTGGTGTTTTTCTCTTCATTCTTCTTTTTTTTTTCTAACAACTGTTCCTTTATTCGAAATTTTTTGGCGTTTTCTTGTTTGGGAATCGTTGCCTTTTCTCAGTCGCCCCTGTTTCCCCCCATCCTACATCCACAAGTCCCCATATGAATATGAATTTTTTCGCTGCTTTTAATGATAATCATTCTTTCAACAACTTTTATTCGTCTTGTTCTTATTATTATTATTATTACAAACTGGTTTATTGGATAAATTCTTGGAGGAATAAGAAAAAGCCTCTTATTTGTTCTACTTGCTAATTGTGATCTTCATGCGATCAGCGGCGTGCGTAATTGCGCTTAGATCGTTGGAAAGTCGACCGAACGCTTTTTCAAGGTCGGCGCTTGACTTGACGGTTTCGACAGATTTGGTGAATGGATCGTAGACGACCGAAAATGGGCGGTCCATTGAGGAGGCGAATTTTCTGGAGAAACAATTATAGAGCCAAATTTGGGTGAAAAACGAGCAAATTTAGGCCATCGTAAATTAATTTTTGAATGTTGATTTAAAGGCGCATGCAGTAAAGTTGTTTGCGATATCTTGAAGCGAAATGGAATATTTGAAGGAATATGTGGTTTTTGAGGCTAGAAATCATTTTTAGACATACCTCAACTTTGAAAGCGCATCATGAATGCTGTCGGCGACGAAATAGAGAGGTTGATAATCGGAATCCTCATAAGTTTGCAGCGCGGTCACTTGCGGATCGAAATCTCTGTGTTGCGGAGCATCGGAGCACGCGTGCTGCAAATTTCGGAGTGACTCGGTTTTTTTTTCCACATTTTTTTCTCCAATTATTACAATGAGCTCTCCATATGCTGATAGTAGTCCGGCGCCGATTGCCTTCAACTTGCCATCCTCTTTACACAACCCGAACTCGACGATGAACCTGCAACACCGGTTTCTTATTGGCACGCGACACCGCCACGGTCAGCTGGCCGCGTGGCGCAATGGATAACGCGTCTGCCTACGGAGCAGAAGATTGTAGGTTCGAATCCTGCCGTGGTCGAAACCCTTTTATTTTGTTGACCTACCAATAAACTGTCGCGAGTTTCTCAATGTTCTCGTCGCTGGCGCCGAGGCTCATCAAACCGATGTCTTGCGACATTTGCGCGAGTATCGGATCGGCGAACATCGGCACATGTCCAAGAAGCTCATGAATCAAATCGGGTTCCGGCGAATGATGGGGACTTCCGCTGTGACGAAGATAAGTGGTGGTTTGGAAGACGCGGAACGCCAGCGACGCGAGAAAGTCGCGCGCCGACAGCAAACCGCTGCAAGGTCTCAAAACGAATCCAGTTTTGCCTTAAAAATTGATAGAAAATTTGGAAATTTGAGAAAAATTCGAGGCTAACGCTGCAAAAATTTGTTGACGTCTCGAATCTGAGGAATCCGATCCGCCGTCAGAACACCTTCCAATTGAAGCATTCGCAGATTCTCGCTGAAATTTTACACAATTGCGCTCCCTCCGAAAATATTTCGTTTCACCGATAGACGTTGCACGTGTGCGATTCGTGCAGTGTGAGCAGCTTCTCGTAGACCGCTTTCCACGTGGCGTGCTCCTCTTCGGTATAATCGACGATATCAATCTCGTCGCCGCTGAAACGAATGCGACAGTAATCGAGGTCCTACTGTAGCCAACCCAACTGTTTATAGTGTTTGGCGAGATCGTTGAGATAATTGCGACGCGCAATGTATTTTTCGTCGCCGTGACCCTTAAAGAGGGTTTCAATTTTTTCCCCTGAAAAGGAAAACCCACTGGATGCCTTGGATCGGTCGTCGGCTCATACTTCGTCAGGCAATTCGAGCACATGTCGAGATCGCTGATGTGCGTTGGAAACCAGTGCGCTGAATTTGTGATGGTGTTGGAAACAAATTTGGCGAAACGCATCTGCGGACACACTTGCCTTGTTGTTGGGGATCTTTGCGATAGATGGCGAACGCGGTGAGACCGCGATGGACGCTCGTGAGCTGCGAGGCGGCCTCGACGAGCTGCTTCTTCGTCGCGCGACAATCGACGAGCAAATCGAAAGCGGCGACGCGACGAGACTCGCGCGACTCGATGTGCTCGATTCGGACGCCGGCCGACGCGAACGAGGCGACGACGTCGGCGACGAAGTGCGGAAGCGGCGTCGTCGACGAGACGACGGCCGAGAACGCGATCTCGCCGTTGTTCGCCGCCCAGATCACCTCGACGCCCTCGTCGTTCAACTGTTGGAATATCTGCAAAAGCGACGGACCATTGAGGGCGACCTGGGGGGCGCAGCTTCACCTTCTGACCGCGCATCTCGTCGCTGAGCTGTTTGCGATGCTGAAACGTGTTCTGCCGCCGGACGCCCTTGTGGTGTTGGGTCTCGCAGCTCGCCTGATGCACAAGACTGAACCGACGCGGATGCTTCTGTTTCGTCTCGACGACGCCGATCTCGCCGCCGTCGTCCTCCTCCTGCAATTGGGAGGGGCTCTCTTTTCTCATTTCACGCTTTTCAACGAGACCATTATCGATGGTTGCGATGTTAGTTTGTTAGTCGAACTCATTGCGGCTGAATGATGGGCGATCGGGATTTGCTGCGCGACGCTGACGACTTCGAGCAGTTTCGAGAGCACACGTGATGGGCGTGGCGAAGACAATGCTGACACCTGCAAACGAATTGCGAAGCGGCAGACATCGGTTAGTTGGGTTACGGTAGCACAGGTTTCAGCAAAGTTGAAGACGGTGCGAAAAATTTCAAAAAAAAATTGGACAATTCGAAAATTTGAAACCCGCGAATTGTCCGAAGATGGGGTAATTCCTAAAATTTGACACAATGGAATTGTCCGCAGATTGATAAATTCCAAAAAAAATGATATTCGAGAATTTTCGGTAAAAAAAATTGGGAACCCGCGAGTTGTCCGCAGATCGGACAAATTCTAAAATTTGACACCCGGGAACTGTCCGCAGATCGAAAAAAAATTTTTAAAAAAATGTGACAAATGAGAATTATTGGAAACTCGAAAATTTGGAACCCGCGAGTTGTCCGCAGATCGGACAAATTCTAAAATTTGACACCCGCGAACTGTCCGCAGATCGAAAAAAAATTAAAAAAAAATGTGACAAATGAGAATTATTGGAAACTCGAAAATTTGGAACCCGCGAGTTGTCCGCAGATTGGAGAAATTCTAAAATTTGGAACCCGCGAATTGTCCGCAGATCAACAATTTCAAGTCCGCTGAAAAAGTCAGTTCAAAATCATGAAAAAAAAAACATTTCGCCACACAAAGTAGATCGTAAATTTTGCGACGCGAGTGCGTTTAAATAAGCGATCGAGGCGACATTAATACGTGATAAAAATGACGGAATGAAATTCGGGAGGCGTCCGAACAATGCGTTCGCGCGGCTACCAGTTCTCAAGAATGAATGTGATTCTGATGATGACGACGACGACGATGATGATGATGATGATGATGTGTATTATCCTTCGACAACGACTAGGTGAATAATGCAGGTAGGCATTATGTCGAAAATTGCGAATAATTGTGCGCCGAGCACCGCATTTCCTTCCGAATGTGATCATTTTTGCACAAATATTCTATGTTGATGGATGGATTTATTATATACAGACATATATAGACATATACATATTTATTTATAGAAATGCACATGAGGTAGATCAAAACGAACGGCTTATCTCAAATATTAAAAAAAGGAAAAATTTTTTGATCACTTTTAGCCAAAAATTGTTTCCGAAAAATAAATGAATAGAAATTTGGGAGATAATGACGAAATAGTTGAATTTTTTTCTTCGAGAATTTCAGCTTTTGGGTAGTGGACCACATTAGAAGGGGACCATTGAAAAAATGGCAGTGGTAATATCAAGTCCCCGACAATGTTTTTAGACAAAATTCTAATAGCAAAAAAAGTGTGGGCTTTTAATAAAAATAAAAAAATTGCACAAGGCAATGTTGGTTTAAAAAAATATAATATGGTTACTGTTAAAGGCGCATGCGACAAAAAATATCATGATTCAAATTAAAATCGTTGAAATGAGTCCTGAAGATCAAAAATGGAGTGGTTTGTCGATGCGAGACCATTCCCGTAAATCAACCCGGCTTTCGGTTTTTTTGTATTTTCGCGCCAACAATGGAGTGTCGTAAACGCCCTCGTTTTGTTTCCAATTTTTTTTGCAATTTTTTGTTGATCAAGAAAAATTTATACCCGAAACCGTATTAATTAACTTTAAATTTGCTGAAATATTAAATGTTTTAAAATCGACAACCAACCGCAATTATTTGTTTTAGTTGTCCATTTGGTTCGAATAGAATGAAATCCAGAAGAAAGTTTCGGACCTTTCTCTCTTCCCCTGTGTTCTCTACTATTCGCCCCATTGACTTGGCCTGGGTGAATGTCGGCAGATGGGAATGCACAAGAGACGAGCGGTCGATGAGACAACATCGCTTCTCGGCTTAATAGCTAAGATCAAAGTGTAGTATCTGTTCTTATCGTATTAACCTACGGTATACAATCGAATGATTGTAATATAGGTTATCTGATTTTTGGAACTCTGGAAGGACTCGGGGCTTGCTCCGACCTTCCGAGGGTCGTCTCAGCGTTGCACTGCTGCTGAGCACGGCCCAGTCCCCCCATGGGGACAATCAAAAAATAAATGATATCGATAAAGAATAAATTTCCAGAATGAATTTTTGTGAAAGCAATTAGCGAAACCTTGCCATTACAATCCGTAGTAGAATTGACATAAAATTTGCTGACAAGCTATTCATATGTTATGAAATCGAAAAAAAACTTGTTTTAGTTGCCCATTTAGTTCGAATAAAATGAATTTGTTTATAAAATTCACATTTTCTTTTCTTCTTTTTCAGAAGATTTTAGGTGACTCAGCCTCGATTTTTTTTGGAGCATATAATAACCTGCGTTCATCATTTCATGCGGGGGAACCATTTATGTGGATATCCATCTGCGGACAATTTCGAATGGAACAATGTCCGCAGATCGTCGATGCCGCCACACCCGAATCGTGTTTTTCCGGCGCCCTTTGCCGACCATCAAAAATCATTCTCCTTATTTGGTGGGGTCGGATTGTTGTTGTGAATGAGTTTGTAAGCGACGACGCGTAGTCTATGATAACAACCATCCAAAGGGCACGCTTTAAAAGCGACGCGTTGGTTAATTTCGAAACAAAAAATTGGCGCCCTTCAATTTTTCGCCCCAATTATTTTTTTTGAATCCTTGTATCGGGTCCCGTCTGGAAAAAAAAACGCCAAAATTTTGAAATTCAGCCGTTTTTGATTTCATCGAAATGAAAATTTAGTCATTTCTCATTTATTTTATATTTTGAAAAGAAATCGCCAAAATTTTGTTTGAAGAAAAATGGCGGACGTGAAATGTGCCATGGCCGAATTATTGGCGGCCGCGCGGCCCCGACTCCTTCCTGTTTTCCTTATTCCGAATTTTCGCGTTTCAGACGATGCAGCTCACCCATCTGCTTCTATTGTTTCTCACGTCTCTCATCGTCTTCTATTACAAGCAGCTCTATGAGATCGTCGTCGACCGCTTCCGATTGTACAGGTCCGTTGACGATGTCTCGATGATGCCCGCGATGCGTCTGCCAATTGTAGGGCGATGTCGCGATTCCCGGGACCCGTCTCGTTGCCGCTCATCGGCACCATCTGGCAAATCCCGTGGAACGTGCAGGACCTCACCATGCTGCTCATCGACTGGGGCAGACACTATTCGATGCGGGGCAGCGGCGTCATCGGCGGCTGGATTGGTCCGATGCCGGTGTTGGCGGTGATTCATCCCGCCTACGCCAAACCGATTCTCGAGTCGAACGAGATCATCACCAAAGCCGATCAGTACGACATTCTGTTTCCGTGGCTCGGCACCGGCTTGTTGACGTCGACCGGCGAGAAGTGGCGGCGACGCCGCAAAATGCTGACGCCGGCGTTCCACTTCAAAGTGCTCAGCAGCTTTGTGGCGGTTCACGATTATCAGGCAAAGGTGAGCTTCTCCACTTTTATTATTATTGCCAGCCGTTGGTGTGATGAAGCCGCGAAAGGCAGATGCTGCGCTGTGTCGGTTTTATGTAGGCGTCTTGAAGGCGCGGTACATAGTGGCGCAATAGCGCAGTGGGACAAGTTTTGGACTCATAATCGGGAGGTCGCGGACTCGGTTCCGCGCTCCGCCGCACGCTCTCTCACTGTGTTGCACTCTGCTTTTTTTTTCAAACTATATATTATATGACTTTAAAATTGTGATCCTTTATTATTTTTGCGGCACTAATACAAGTTGATAGTTGTTCTCGTCGAATTTGGCGAGCGCTTTGCAGAATTGAAGTTCGATTCGCGATGAGACCCACATGAGAATCGGCACGCGCGTCGACAAGCATAGCGATAGAGCGACGAGTCGAATCACGCGTAGATCAAAGTGGATGAACCTGCAGAAAGTCGAAATTCCCCTCGATTGTTTAGTTGAAGCAAGTGCGCTCTATTGAGATCACTTAAAAAAATGAAGTGCGATAGAGCGCGTTTGCAATTTTTGATCTAAATTGTTTCGAAATAACTCACGATCCAAACATTTGCTCGATTGTCACAAAAACGCCGTAAATCAGCCAGTATCTCAACACGAATTCCTTCTGAAAATTCTCGAAATTGTTTTGTTGACCTCGTCGCATTCACATCGGTGAAACTCGGCCGACGATCGCTGAAGTTCGTTGGTTCGGATTGCTCATTGAGTAGGCTGAGAATCGTGTAGAACGCCGGCACCATCAACGTCATGAACGTCGTCAGTGCGCCAATCGGATCGTGGATGAACGTGATCAGAACGAGAACGGTGATTCCCGTGTAGAAGCACACCTCGCGACTACGTCCCGTCAATTTCTCGATTTCGGCGAACCTGAAAATGATGGCGTCTGGATCGGATCATCGAAAGGAGGATCCCAACAATGTTGCAATGTGTGGATCATTGTAGAGGTAATTGCAGACGACGATGTTGAGCCTCACAATGTCGACGTCATCCCACGAATTGATGACGCGAGTTTTTTGCACTGCAACAACCGACTCAACGATTCGTCGGGATGAGACCCACCAATTCGCGGCGGTGTCTTTTTCGGCGCCGACGTGATGTAGCTGGCGAGTGTTGATAGGAATCCGCTGCCGGCGGCGACCAGCGTCGACGCTTCCGGCGTATTCTCGATGAGACGCGTCGCCGAATGCGATTTTGACATTGCTATCGGAAAAGACATTTCAAACTCCCGTCAAACTTGAATAGTGATTAATTGCACTAAGAAATGAGAAATGAGAGATGAAGGTAGGTAGTCACGCAGACATATCGACTCAAAATTTGCGATTCAGGAATCCTGCAAACCTCTCAATTTCCCTAATCGGAGTATTCCAACAAAAAATGGTTAAATATTGATTTTTGAGTGTTACGGTAGCTCGGAATTCCCGTCAAAAAAGGGTTCACGTCTTATTGTTTTCCGAATCATAACAATAGAAATTAGATTGTAAACATCTGCGGACATTTTCCGGGTTGTTCCACACCAGTTTGCCAGCCAAAGAATACGCGCAAAATTGTTTTTTTTTTGTTTCATAAAAAATCGCAAAACCGCTATTTACTAGGTTTTCCATACGAGACCAAATACTAATTTTTAAGCAATTTCCTATAATCGCACACCACCAATTTGATCTGCGGATAATTTTTCCGCAAATCGAAATTTTGATTTTGCACAAATTTAGAATGTGGCAAGAATCTAACATTATTCAACATGTGACGTTGGATCGTTTGAAAATTTCTTTGGGTCTCGTATGGAAAACTGTAGTGGATTGAATTTTGATTTGTTTAAAGGGGGGGGGGGCTTAAATTATTGGAGCCCCATATGAATATGAAGATTTGCAGGTGCTCATCGAGCAACTCAAATCGATTGCTGACACCGGCGTCGAGGCCGACTTATTCCCTTATTTGAAGCGAATGGCCCTTGATATAATATGCGAGACATCGATGGGAACCACAGTCGACGCTCAACACAATCACGATCATCCGTACGTCAGGTATGGCCGAATAGTCTGAGACATCGTCGATAACCCATCATTCGGATTTCGGATCAGTGACGCGTCTCAACGAGGAGTCATTCGATTATCTTCGAAAGCCGTGGAACAGAATCACGCCGATTTGGTATTTATTCGGCGGCGGCTATCGATATCATTATCATTTGAACGTGGTCACCGAGTTCACGAAACAAGTGATCAATGAGAAGTGGGACGAATTCTTGGCGTTCAACGACACCACTGATGATAAGGATAAGAAGAAAATGGTAGGACGGTCTAGAATAAATGTGGAATCGCTGGTTTAGGCGTTTCTTGATCTCTTGCTAGTTTTGAGGAAAGAGGGACAATTGAGTTTGGAGGATATTCGAGAGGAAGTCGACACGTTTATGTTCGAAGGTATCTGCGGACATCCATCGGGGTTTACCTTGATTCCACTTCAGGCCATGATACCACGTCGGCCTCAATGGGTTGGACACTTTGGTGCATTGCGCATAATCCCGACGTTCAGAAGAAGGTTCTCGACGAGGTGGACCGAGTGTTCGGACGAAGCGATCGCGATTGCACCGACGAGGATTTGAAGCAATTGAAATACCTCGAGAAATGCATCAAGGAGTCCCTTCGACTATTCCCGTCGGTGCCGCTTTTCGCGAGAAAAGTTGAACGAGACGTTGTGATCAGTAGGAATCGCAATCAAGCAAAAATTTTTTTATTAGTTATTTTTTTTGCAGACGGCGATTTGTTTCCGAAGAACGCCACCATCCTCATGGCGCCGTTCATCATCCACCGTAATCCAATGGTAAATGAATGAATCGGTGTGAGACCCAATGTGTATGTTTTTTTTTGAAGTGGTGGAACGAGCCGGAGAAATTCAATCCGGACAATTTTGCCGACGACGCAATCGCGAATCGTCACGCCTACGCCGATGTGCCATTCAGCGCGGGACCCCGAAACTGCATTGGTATGATGCGCCTTTAAATCGATGCCAACGCCCTTTCCTCACTTCTAGGTCAAAAATTCGCGGTGATGGAGGAGAAGACGTGCCTCTCATGGATTTTCAGAAAGTATACATTACGGACCACCATCGCATTCGAGAAAAATATACCGTGCCCGGAGATCATAATTAAACCATCGCTGGGCTTCCCATTGATTGTTGAGAGTCGAAATTGAATCAAGATGATTGCTGTTGTAATTTTAGTGTTTCTTCGAACTCGTTCCTCCGACTTCCTCCCCCCACCTCCCCCAAGAGGTTGTACGATTTTTCGCCTTCATCTTTTCGCTTATTATTACACACCGAGCTGCTCTCGCGTTTGTCCTTCATTCGTCATTTCGAAAATGAACCGCCCAACCATTTTCTTTGCACTTCCTCTTCTTCTATTCGTTTTCGTCGACTCGAAGCCTGCTGAGCCGAACGGATGCGAATCGTCGTATGCGAAATGCGAGAATGTAATTTGAGCTTTTGTTGCTAGACGTTTATTCAATATATGAGCTTGGAAAAATTGCATAAAGTCCTTGAAATTATTATGGGAGTCGTTCTTAATAATTGCCATCAATATTCAAAAAATACAAATTTTAGGGCTTCAAATAGGAACCATATTGCATTCGGTTTGCTCCATTAATTATTTGGTTTGAAGGAACAAATGATTACAGCGATATAACAAAAATCTAGCGCTTTCAAACATTTGAAACAAAACAAACTTTTTTCAACTAAAATCTTTTTTAATACTTTTTTTCTATTAAAAACAATATCAGCTCGCCGAAAACTGAAATGAGCCTTAAACGTGTGCAGTCATAAAAATCGACGGCTTAAATTTCTTGAAATTAGCGCTTAATTAATATTGCGTTGAATGAAAATTAAAATGTTTTTTATAAAAATATTAAGGCGTAGATTAACGTGCATGTCTGCAAACACGTCGCACGTTGTCTGCAGATTTCTCAGAAGTGAGGAGGCGAGTTTTCAAAAATTGTGAGATCGCTTTTTTTTGCAATTTTTCATTGTAGAATTTGCTGCAAATATTTTTCTTATTTAATTTTTTTGTCAGGAATGGGCCGACTTGAAATTTCGTCTTCGAGAGATGCGAAATTTGACGGATTTTCAAAGAACACCGAAAAAAATGGCGGTGATCGGTGATTATTGCAAAATTTACCACGTAAGATTCCTCAATCCCATTCGATATTTTTTTTGTTGGCAATTTTTTTTAAAGAAATGCATTAGTGAGAATGGATGCGAGGCGTCTAATCGGGAAAATATCGGAACAAAGAAACTCTGTGAAAGTCTTGATGTTTATAAGGACCCATTCAATCAATGCCTTGGAGAGGTACGAAACGAGCTTAATTTGAAAGCGGCCGATATAAGAAAATGTTCAGTTGTTGGCTGAAAAGGCAGACTCGTGTGGCGGCTATTTTCTGGCGTATCGAAACAAGGTAATCCATTTTTTTGTTTTTAACTTGAATTTGTTTTCAGATGACGAACAGAAAGCGAATTTTGGTTGCCAGACGGAATAAATATTGCGTTGCGAAGGTCTTGCAAGATTATTGCGGTGAAGATTTGATGAAAAAGCATCTAAGCAAGGTATTAGAAGATGCGTTTCCCGAATTAAAAAATTATTTTTTGCAGAACAGCCCATTCCTTTTCGATTAGGAGATTGCCGATATTGTACCTGTAATTCGTTTTTCTAAACCAGTATTCCCTTTTCTAGATAAATAAATATATATCGATTGTTTGTGTGCAAACTTGCAAATGTATGAATTTGTATTTGCAAAATTCTCAAAAAAGTCTAAACGTTTTTTTTTTTTCAAAACGTATTTTCAAGAAATAGGAACGTAAACGTGGCGTACGCGAGCCGCAACGCGTCGTTGAAAAATTAGGTATTCGTTTTTTCCAAATTGAATACTGCAAATTAAGGAAGACGTTGTAAAGATTTCGAAACGGCCAATGTTCAATGACTCATACTTTTTGACTTGACTCATGATTTTTGACTCATAAAAATTGTATCATGATTTTTTATTCTTTGACTCATGGTTTTTGACTAGTGATTTTTGACTATTTTTTTTTTGACTAACAATTTTTGACTAATGATTTTCTGAGAATATACATATTATCGAAGTCAAACGGCTTGACGAAATGTAAGCAAATATCGGCTATGTGCCAATGCGTCTCGAGGCAGCGAGATTGCGTACATTGCATTATAGCGTACGCGCATTTAATATTCAGTTAACAAAAAATTTAAATCTACACTGAATTCGTGAAGTTGAAGGCCCCGCCTTCTTCAGTCGTTTGTCGCCGACAATATATGTAAATTATTGCAGATTTCAATATATATATATATATATATATATATATATATATATATATATATATATACGAATAGTAAACTAAACGTATTTGAAAGAACATAATTTTTGTGCGAGTCCAGTGTTGCTTGGCAATGTTGCTTGTTTTCAAATTCTTAAAACCGACCAAATGAACTTAAATGATTTGAAGTAATCAAATACGTTTAAAAAAAAATAAATTTATTCAAAAAAAACCGAAATTAATTAATTAGCGTGGAGAAAAGACAATAAAACTGGAAAAAATATACCAAAAGATACAGAAGTAGAGAATCGAATGTTGAATCTATCAAATAGTGCTGCCAACGCACGGAACCTAAAAAATTATTTATTAAAAAACTGTGAGAAGTGGAGTAAACATCGAAATTTGCGGAAAAATTAAAATCCTAAAAATTAATGAGAAATAATTGAAATTTACGCAATTTCAAGCCTTAATTGCCGTGAATTTATAATAAATAGACTTAAAATTGAACTAGAAACATTTCAATTAATTTCGAAGCAACTAACTGCAAAAAGTGGCAAAAAAATTAAAAAAAAAAAAGAAGAAATAAAAAATGACAGTTAAAGACGCAGCGTTACGGTAACATTTTCTCAAATGTGCACAATCTAAAAATTTAATTAGATAAAAATTAGTTAATCTTTTCGCTTTTCTATGTTTTTCCTTTTTTTTAATCTATGTAGAATATTTTAACTTCAGTCTTTGAAAATGAATTTATAAGTTTTTATAAATAAAACACGTTGCAGTTCATTATGTAAGTAGTTGTGGAAAAAATACACGTGGTTGGTACGGTAAGCTCGGTGTGCATTTTATACCGTTGTGTTTACAGATCGTTTTCGTTTTCATGTTTTTATTGCTATCAATCCTAAATTCTCCGTTCATTCACTATTTTTCGTGCCGTAATTCTTAGTTACATGCTGAAACTACATGTCAGATGAAATTTGTTCCGTTTAACTTTATGACACTAATAAATCACTTTCAGTCGCCTTCTCGGAAAACTTCACATTTGGTTTTGTTATGTCTCTTCAATCTAAAACGGATTATTTGAAAAAGCACGAAGCTTTAGGCTTGCTCTTGTCCGACGACGAAAACGTGATTCGGTGAGTAATTAAGTTGAAAAAATTGAATTTTATAGATATTGGCGCATGCAAAAATTCAAAAATAGCTAACGCGTTTGGTCATTCAAATTTGTACAATTCGTCCTTCTTCGACAATATTTGTATTTTATAGATATTCGATATTGATGAACGAAATCAAATCGAAAATTGATGGAACATGGATTGGTTCAAAATATTTCATTATAAAGAAGGACGCCTTGTGTGGCCTAAGTGCGATGAACGATGGCCTCAAATGGTCAAGAAGGGAAAAAGGTTCATAATATTTTTGCAATTTAAATTATTTATTTTATTCTTCTAGGAAAAAAGAAAATTGCTCCCATTTATATTTATTGGAACCAAGAATACGAAAAATACCAAGTAATTAAATGCGAATACGTGGAAAACCCCGATCTGAAAAAAATGGTATTTGTTATTTTGTGTATTTTTTAAATTATTAGTTTTAGATAATTCATAAGATTGGCGGCGAAATTTTTTTAATCCAATACATTAAAAAATCTCCGAACATAATTCTTATTGAGGAGCCTTCGAGGCTTTCAAGTAAAATTTTGCCTACAACATTAAATAAATTTTTTTTTCAGATCAAGAAGCTCGGATAATTCGAGAAACGCTGAAGGGGCGTACGGTTGACTGCACAAAAAAACAACTTTTGGATCAAGGTTTTAAATTTAATAAGAAACAGGTAAATATGGCACATATTTAAAATAGAACTATTTTACTTTAGATTCGGAATCAAGTTCGGTATGTGCGCGATGCAGTAATCGGGAAACGAGGCCCAAAACGAGTGGCAACCCCATATCAACTGTCAAGTATTTCTCATAAAATTCCAGATTGCAAGTTTTCGATTGAAAATTGTATGTTTCATTCACTTACACTTACTTACTTTTGGGTTTCATTAAATTCTGAAAATATTTTAAGGTGATGGAGATATATCGGAATGTTTGTCAATAATAATCCGTGAAAACTGTAACATTTATTTGAATTCCTTGCCAACTGAAGACGAACTAGTTCAACATCGCGAAAAGATTGGACAATTATGTGACGATGGACCGCTTAGTTCGATTCAAAAATACTTGGGTATGATAGCCATTGTTGTATAGAATTAGATATTATTTTGAATTTTGATAGACGATTGGAACAGGAAGGAAAAAGATGCATACATGTTTGAAGGAGTTATATTCATTGATACAACATTCACACTATCGGATCTTTTTATAACTATCATTGGGACTGCCTCAAAACAATTCCGGTATAATCAAAAATGAATTTGAAAAAATAGTTATCTTTAGAACTCGAAGTTCCGATAAACCCCGATTTCTTGTTTTGGGAGTTCTTTTCCATTCTAGAAAACATTCCGCAAGTCATTCGTTCCATGCGCAGCATTTAGAATCGATTTTGTCTCAGCTTGAGCCAAAAAAGTTAAGAAAAACTCCTGCAATTATTTGTGACGGTGAATCTTCATTCTCCGTATATCGCCAGGTTCTTCAATTAACTCATATATCTATTTCAAGAGAGAACTATAGACTATTTCCGCATTCGACCACGCACAAACTCTTCGTTGTGAACTACACAGATCAAAAAATTTGGCAGATAGTGTGAAATCTAAGGATTCGAGTTATAGTCGCAGAATAGTCCGAATGGTTTTTGGACAAGTTTAAACATTTACATTCACTTTTTCAATTAAAATTACGAGCCTACAGATGGGACCGAACTACTTGAAGACTGGACTTCTTGGAGCTTTGAACATACAAGACTATCACCGTCGTCTCGAATTGTTTGAGAAGACTTGTGATGATGATGGCGCAAAAGCTTGGTATTTTCAATATTTTAAATTTAAATATTAGGCAACGATGAAATACGATTAAAGAAATGCTGGCGTTTCGAGGAAAAACATTAAAATAGCATATTAACTAAAAAAAAATAAATCGTAATAAATGAAAGAAAAACGAATTTTTTAAATTTTCTTTTTTTTTCTCCTTTTTTCAGGGTACGTCGAAATTTCGATAACCTTTTCGATTGCAATTCCTTGCGGAGCCGATTGATTGCTGGTGTTATTCAACCCTTTTTATCGTCGAATTCAATTGAATGTTTCAACTCAATTTTGGCTGAGCTGATAAAATCGCCGTTACGTGCTGATGATGCTTGTTTGAAAATTATGGAGTTCTTGAAGGGTAAATTGCAGTAGTCGTGAGTATTTCATTATATTTTCAGACGAAAGCGATCGCTATCATCGATCTGTGATAGATTACGACGAAGTCGTACGATTTGAGCATCAAGAATTGTTTTCAAATCTCCGGGAATTCGAAAAAACCCAATTTCTAATTAAATTAGGGTTTCGTGAAAGACCAATCTTAAAACTACCTCTTATTTTAGCCCAAGGTATGTGCTCACCAATCTCTGAGGAAATTCTTATTTTCAATTTCACAGACAATCCTGATTCGCATGTTGTATGGTTACACCAGCAGGTTCAGAAATTCAAAATAATAATGTATGAGGAAGGTTTTATAGTGAAGTCAAATGAGTATGTTTTTACTGGAAATTTTGCTGGAGAACTTCCGAAACTTTATTTCAGCAGTATTGTCGATGTGAAATCTTCGGACAATCGCATAGGATGCTCCGATATGAACTGCAAGAGACGATTCCCAAAAATATGCCAGCATTTGTAAAAAAAAAATTATCTTTCTAACCTTCCAAAAAATTTTAGATGGGCTGCGGTTTGTTCTTTAACGGAAAAAGAAAAAGAGGTAGAAATCGAAAAGATTGCCGATGAAGCACGCAAAGTTAGTTTGAGAAAAAGGGTAACATTGAGTAGGCCAGTATTATGTGGAAGAAAAGCTCCAATGCGGAAGAGAACAAACAAGAGTAAAAATAATGGGCGAAGACTTTTGCAAGATTTATCGCTGTAAGTTGTTTTCAAATATTCGAAGTACGAACACTTTCTTTCAGCATGACAATGTACAATGATAGTGAAGACAGTGTACTTCAAAACAATGAATCCAGTGTAAATTTGTCTTCTTTCACCCCAACATTGGCACACAAAAGGTAATTGACCGTAGTAACCAAAAGTTGGACCAATATTTGAATTTTTAGATATCGAGATTTTGAATCTGATTCTGGATCAGTTTCCAATATTTTGGAAACATCAACACAGATTTGGACAACTCCAAATGAAAATAAAAGGTAATTGACCGTAGTAACCAAATGTTGGGCCAATATTTGAATTTTTAGATATCGAGATTTTGAATCTGATTCTGGATCAGTTTCCAATATTTTGGAAACATCAACACAGATTTGGGCAACTCCAAATGAAAATAAAAGGTAATTGACCGTAGTAACCAAAAGTTGGACCAATATTTGAATTTTTAGATATCGAGATTTTGAATCCGATTCTGGATCAGTTTCCAATATTTTGGAAACATCAACACAGATTTGGACAACTCCAAATGAAAATAAAAGGTAATTGACCGTAGTAACCAAATGTTGGGCCAATATTTGAATTTTTAGATATCGAGATTTTGAATCCGATTCTGGATCAGTTTCCAATATTTTGGAAACATCAACACAGATTTGGACAACTCCAAATGAAAATAAAAGGTAATTGACCGTAGTAACCAAAAGTTGGACCAATATTAGTATTCTTTTAGAAGTCTCTCAAACTTCGAATCGAGCTTAACGATGTCTGGAGAAAAAAGAAAAATAAAAAAACTACGGAAATATTCGCCCATTTTCTGATGTCCACCATTTCATTATATAATTTCGTTTTTTGTTAATAAAAAAATCCTTTTTGGTTTGAGTTAATGTACAAAAATTTAAATAATATTGCAATTCTCATCAGACCAGAATAATTTTAATTTATTTAAATTATTTAAAAAATTCTCAGAAAATCATTAGTCAAAAATTGTTAGTCAAAAAAAAAATAGTCAAAAATCACTAGTCAAAAACCATGAGTCAAAGAATAAAAAATCATGATACAATTTTTATGAGTCAAAAATCATGAGTCAAGTCAAAAAGTATGAGTCATTGAACATTGGCCTTTCGAAACATCGAGTGCGGTGATGAAATCTAGAGTTGTGATCTATTCAGAATTGAAATAAAATTTTTTCACCATTTTAGAGGTCGTTCCGTTTAGTTTTCATTGCAGTGATATTAAAAATTCAACAAAATGATATACAGGGTGTCATTTAAGTTCACAACAAACAAAAGTTTGACGCCATGAAGAGCTTCACTGACGCACTTTTGGTGCACCAATACAATTTATTTTTGTTAAATAAGGTATAATTTCTTTACTTTCCAAGTTTCACCTCATTCGGATGTGTTTTCGAGAAATGACGAAGGCTAACATCCATCGCGCTTCCATTATTATTACAAAACAAATATTCGTTTCCAATTCCTCTTTTCAGCATTGCAAAGCTCTTACAATTTCGGCTATTGAATCTGTGAAGAATAATCTCAAATTCGTTGCATATGCTTGCTTACTTATTGAATCCCGGCACCAAAGATCCTCTCAACGTTCAAAGTATAACAGATAACTTCAACGTAACATTTCTTTTAAATATCCCAAAAAACAAATACTCTGTTTTAGATTTACTGGAACATCTAAGAGTCTGCAGGAAACTGTATTTCCGAAAGATGTTATCCGGAGATTATGAACGAAGTTGTGAATACTCCAGTGTCAAAACTGAAATCAAATATCGTGGCATCAGTTTTTAAACCTCTGCCAAAACTCGCAAATACAACCGTCATGGAACAATTTCATTTATATCAAAAGGACCGTGACTACGACGAAAACGGAAGATTCTGGCCAAAAAAAGTCGGTGTATCCCGCATTATATGTGGTTAGTTGTTAAACTTTATTTTTGGTTTTTATTTATAGTTTCAGATAGCTAAAAAAAAGTTTTTAGCGTAAGCCCGTCGGAAGCAACGGTCGAAAGATCGTTATCGCCAGATCACTGAACGAGGTTTCCGTCACAACCGACCAAAGAAAAACAATCCTAACAATTATGTTCTGGCGTCGCTGCATCTGAGCCACACGGGGTTATCAGAAAACAGTTCAGAATTTATATCTGAAAGGTTTTACTCGTAATTTACCTGGTCAAATTTATTAGAAAATTTAGGATTGTCCAGGAATGCGAAATCCTCGAGCGAGATGGATTGTAAGTTGAAAAGTCAGGCGAGCGTTACACGTTTCGAATTAAATGCATTTCAGTCTTGTGTGATATGAAAGTGTCTGATTGGAACTAACAATATCTTTGATTTTATTTTGGCAAATAATTTAACCGGCAAATTGCCTAATTGGAGAGATGAAGAAGGGTGTAACTTTTGTTACATTCGTGGTCACCGGCATGGCCATAGAATTTCGTATTATTCCGGAGATGGCGCCGCAGATATTCGCACAGACCACAGTTGCAGACTTGATGCGTTTTATAGAAGACGAGGAATTCGAAAGCCAGGTTTATAAGCTTTCAGAAAGAAAATTGAAAATAAAATGTTTAAGGAATTCCGCTTATTTATCATTCCTCTACTCCGAATCATTTTGCAGCTGATCAAATTTGTCGATGAAGCGATGAAAAAATGGATATATTTATTTATTTATTTATTTATTTATTCATTCATTTATTTATTTATTTAAACAAAGCTCCGTCCGGAAGCAATAATACAAGACCCTTATCAATGCCACAAGCTCACCCCCTATTTAAGCGATGCTCGGGAAATGAACGAAGAGGTAGGAAGCCGGGACATACCATAAATCCATGCTATTATGATAGTCATTCTGTTGTTCATTAATAAACTCTTGGTTGTTTATTGTTTGCTTACACGAAACATGAACAAGGAATAGAGTCGGTAATACGGCGTACCCGGCCGAGGTCCGGACCCCTCAATTCCCGCACTAAATGTATGAATTTGTATTTGCAAAATTCTCAAAAAATCTAAATGTTTTTTTTTCAAGAGCCAGAAAGAAGTTCAGGAACATAAACGGTGGCGTACGCGAACCGCAACGCATCTGGCGATGTTAAATAATTAGGTACTCACTTTTTTCCAAATTGAATACTGCAAATTAAGGAAGGCGTTGTAAAGATTTCGAAACACAACGAATAAAATAAGTAATTCATTATTGCAAATGAAAAAATATATCGACAAATTATTTTTTAAATGTCATATCGAAGAATGGCAAACTGAATCCAACGCTGTCTTTTGAATTGGAAAATCCGAATCCAAGAAATTGTAATCTGGTTTCATCATTGCCAACTTTCAATCCAGTGTTCACATTCAATCCGAAACCGACATCGAAGTTGTCCGATTTGAGTTCGGCGCGTGCAAGTGTTCCTTCGACGCCGACGTCGACGCCATCCTTTCCAACACTTCCATTGACTCCTGCCTTCACAATTTTGATATTTTTGTCTTCCAGAAGCCCGGCATTCGCGCCAACACCAAGTCCCTCCTTCAAGCCGAGTTTCGCTTTCGCATTCGCATTTCCAATTTTGACGTCGTCGATTCTAAGAACGGTGCAATTTGCGTCGACATCGATTCCTTGGCTCAAATCCGTTCGAACGTCGAGTTTTCCAATTTCGACTGGTGGTCTCTTCATTCTGAATTTTAACACATGTGCAATTTCAAGAGCTTGCTGTTTTTGAGCCGAAAAATTTAAAAAAAATGATGAGAAATCGAATTTTAATATTAAAAAACTGCAAACTTTTCAAATTGCACATATTTTTTTAACAAATGCGAGTCAAGCGAATAATATGAAAATGAATTGGTTCGCAAAGCTATTTATACCCATCATATTGCTAAGAAATTTCACTATGATAACGACTTGTTGATTGCCAACTGATAACAGATGTGAAATGTGGTGACTCGGTGGAGGTCAGAATGCTGCAAGGACTTCGAATTTACGAATACTCGATAAAGTTGCTAAATATTGATATTTGTGTTTTACGGTAGCTCGGAATTCCGCCTACCCTCTTTCGTTCAGATTCCCTCGGCAACAATTTTAGCAGGTTTAGCAAATAATAACAATATAAATTTGATTGTAAACATCTGCGGACGTTTTCCGGGTTGCGATAAAACTCGCCTGTTTGTTGTTATTAGCAGTGGCGGCAATTCAAAAACACCGTCGCCTCGGGCCCTTTATTTGACATCCTTGGGTCTCATATGGAAAACGTATTATGAGTGATTTCATTTAATTGAACCTTTATTATGTGAAATAATATTATCATTTTTTGTTTCAATTATTATCAAAGTTTGAAAATTCAGGTGATCAGCATTATCAAATAAACAGGTCCCTGAGCCCGAAGCATGGACCCATTTAATTCAATTAAAATGGTTCTAATTAGTTTTGTGAGTGATCTGGGCCTCCGAAATTTTTAAACCAGTCCAATTAGCAAAAAAATCGAGCGGACAGTTGCGTCCACCTCGAGCAAATGCTCACAATTTTTTTCAAACAACTGCTCCTCGATTTTTTTTGGATTTCTCTCCCCTCATTCATTCCAACTTCAAAATGACCAAGATTCGATTCGTTCTGATCATCGGAATCTTCGCTATTGCCGTCCACTCGACATCAATCGATGAGCCATTGATAGTGGGATGCGATGAAGCAATGAAGCAATGCGATCACGTGAGACATCCATCCAAATAAGGGCCGCTGGGTGGCTCGAATTGACAAAAATTGTTGCAGCATGTGAAAAACTATACGATTTTGAGAGAAGCGATTACAGACGACACGACAATTCAAGAGTTTTCGAACATCAGCAATGTGTGCTTCGACACCAAAGTAGCTAGTGGTTGGAGATTATCGAAAATGAGATCATAGACTTCAGGAATGCCTTCTCAACAATGCGTGCGAGTCGGCGAATCGCGATATCCAGACATTGTCGTCCGAATGCCGCTATCTGCGCTTCCTCGGCAATCCGAAAATGGAATGCGTCACACGGGTGATGCGCCTTTAAATCGATTCTTGAGCCGATCGATTGTTCAATTGATTGCAGAACGTCGACTTCGGAACCGTCAAAACCGCGTGCACGGGATTCTTTGCGATTCAAGGTCTCGCCGCTTCGAACATGACCAAATATATGGATGATGAGAAGGATTGTGTGAACACGTTGACCGAATCGAGCGGATGCGGCCTCTTCTTGATGGTATCAAAAAGAATCTCCGTTTTTCAGAGACAATCGTCATCGATTTTCAGTAGAAAGAAGAGATTGGATGGCGAATTGGTAGATGATCGAATATTTTTTAATTGATAAATCTTTCAATTTTTGGAAATGCTTAAAAATATTAAAAATGACCCTCAAAAATCAGGAAACCAAAAAAAAAAAACGAAAATTGTGTGTATTGTCGTCAAATAAAATGCACAAATCCGCAATGTCATTTTCAGCTTCATTTAACGTCTTCATTGTCTTTCATTGAGACCTGAATACGCAATTGAGACAAAAAGAGAATGTCGCGTGTTTACACATAATGCATTTTATCCGACGACTATTTTAAAATATGTAATTTTTAGCATTTTGAATTTGCCAGGAATATTGAAAATCGGCGAAATTTAATAGAAATTTATTTTTTTTTATCGAGGACATTTTTTATAATTATTTATGGTCCCACCATTTAAATTATGAAAAACACGTGCCTGGCAGTTATTCAAAACGAGACCCAAAGGTGGTTTTCAAATTATACCAATCATCTGCGGAGATTTCGTAATTGAGATGATGTGAGAAATACAAAAACTGGAGTATCTGAGTCACACTTCTGAATCACAACACACGGCATGTGCGACTCCGCCCCCCGCAAACCAATTTCGCAACGCATTCGCACAAAACTATATTAAGCCGCTTCACATTCCGAATTTATTTTCGAATCATTCTTCTTAACGCTTCCATCTGCTTCCTTCTTCAAAGGTATGCCTATATTTTCGGAGTTTTCATTTTTTTTTTGACCGCCCGTTTCGCACAATTTTTTCGAATATTCGAATCGCGTCGCAAGAATGGTATAACTCTTTTTTGCCATCTAAAAATTGGGTAATTGAACCAAATTAAAACGATGTAACGATAAAAAAAAGAAAATAAAAACGATAAATCAAAACGGGAGCGATTTCGCCTGACTCGGCCACGGCCACGCCTAACTCGGTCAGCCGCCAAACGATTGGCAGTGTGTCCCAACAATTCCATTAAACAATTCCATTAAATAGTTATTAACAAACTGGAAATCACCGGCAGGCAAATCAGGTGTGGTCTAGAAAAATTGTCCTCAAACTTCGGCCACGGCCAGCCACGCTTGATGGATAAATTAATTTGATCAAGTAAAACTAAATGAGTGCCTATATATTCAATGTCTCTAGGATTTCAAAAACCAAATATCAAAATAAAAGCCATTACGCATAATTTTAAAAATTTGCCAGTGACAGTGTGCGGCACTTGCAGTTTTTCATAGAATTGGTGTACCCCACTTGCATTTTTGCTTTTTGAAAGTTTTCTAGGCCACACGTGAATTGCGGCAAGCCGTGCCTCGCTGTGCTTTGATAAGAGCTCAAAGTTTTGAATAATTACCTTTTTAGCTATGTGTAAAATTGCGTCGGTGTGCACACAGACCAAAATGAAATATTTTGAATGATTTGCTTATTGATTTTCAATTTTTTTTTAATTTTCTGTTTCTTTAAGGGAGAAACCGCCTCTGGATTTTACTCAAGATGTCAAAAAATTATGGGCAAGGAATCATATTAAAATCGGATTATTTTAAAATGTCAACACTTGAAGAAGAAGAATTGGATTCATTCGCGTGTTTTGGCTCAACCAATCATTCATCAGAAGCTTGATGTAAGAAGAAGAAGAAGAGGACGAAAACGGCACCATTTCAAAAGTGGTCCGTAATTGCTATAAATAGAGCCAGACTCATGGCTTTCCGATCAAAATGAATACGGAAGCTCGTTTCGTCTGATCAGCCGAATACAAAGATGATCGGAAAATGAAGGAAATCAACTAGGGACCCTCATCCAATGATCCGATCAAATGGTTCACAGCGGAAGGACCTCCGAAAATGAAATGCAAATACTAAACTCATCGAATGGTCCAATTTTGCATGGACATTCTGAGAAATTGAATATATATACAACAGAAGAGACTCATTCAATGGTCCTCTGATGAATAGGTGGAATTCGAAATCGGCGATGCAAGGTAGAAGACGATTCAAAAAGAAAAATCGAAATTAGTATGAATTGTTTCATCTTTGCGACCGTAATCAGGATTTGGGAAGCCGATGGATCCACTCACAATTTGATGAGGAATGGAATGAGAGTGGAAGCTAATATTGAGTCATTGAATGGTCCGAATCGAAATTTAGACGGCCTTAGTTTCACACTTTAACTGAAGGGGCAATTGCACGGTGATCTAGACTCATCCAATGATCCTTCAAAGAGAACTGCAATTTGAAAGAGTGAGGATCATCAGGAAGCGTCTCCAGAGAGATTCGGACGATGAAGCATCAATATTGAAGATGTGATTGTAGAGCAGAAGATGATATGAACGATGGAAACATAAGAAACAGTGAAGGAAATTCGATAATCGGGGAATCTTGTCCAAAAGATTCACATGATTCTTGGATTCAATGTCTAGAAATAAGGAAGACTGATTCTTTAATTGATGCTTCTGGAAAAACGACGCTGAAGCAATGAAAGGAATGTGCCGACAATCGAGGGATTCCGAAGAAAGTGAAGAAAATAAACATAGTCGATCAACGGAAGGAAACTGTCCAACAGGAATTTACTCATCCAATGAAGCTGGACATTGTGGATTGGAGGGATGAAGATGATGACGACCGATGAATCGCTATCAGTTAGTGAATCAGCAATCAAATTGAAAGAGCACTCGGTATTGAGTTCATCGAAGGATTCTTTAAAAGGATACAAGAGGAAGAAGAGGATCAGTGAGGAAAGATCGATGGTGAGAACTCAGTGCATCGGAAGTATTGCGAATCGGTGCACTCATCCAACGATCCTCCTGAAAACATCAAAGCATAGAAGAAGAAGCTATGATGACACGATTTATTGACAAATATGTTCAATTTGTTGATGATGGAAGAGATCAAATAACCAGCAACACAAGCATCGACTCATCCAATGATCCGATTTTCTCAAAGAGAAGAAGAACGGAAAATTGAGAGAAGGATGATCTGAATCGTCTGAATTCTCTTATTTTCTTGTAGAATGTCTCTTGGAATATGGAAAAGAAAAAAGATAATACAAGAAGAGACCGAAGCTTTCTTGAATTCATCCAATGATTCCTTTGATGCGGACGATCGGAATGAATACGGAAATAGAAGAACAGATTGGTTGTAGGTTCGGTAATCGGATTCGCTGATTCTCCTCTGATTCAATGGAGTGGATGTCGCGATAGGCTCATCCAATGATTCCTCTTCTTCAAAAAAAATTGAATGAAAATGATGAACCGATCAGTTGATATTAACAGGTAATTTTGCTATTGTCACAGAAACAGGACCCCCTGGTCGGTTTGGTCCCTATTTTGACAATTCTGATACTTCCTGTATTACTCATACCGTGAAATGTCCGCAGATGGAATTGGTGACCTATCGGCATTTACAATAATTTACATTAAGACCATTTCACCGAAATATTCAAAGTGACTCTAATTTTTTTGGGAGAATTCCAATCTGATAAAGAATTCTGAGAAAAGCCGAAGGAAATTGATGGTAATGTGATTTTGACTTGAAATTTGTCATGAATTATTAATGAAATTGTAGATCTCTAAATGTCCGAAGATGAAATTGAAGACATCAAATAATTATCGACACGCTTAATAATGGTATTTTTTGCAGATTTATTCCAGATACCTTAATAATTTCTTGAAACTCGTTTTTGGGCCTTAAAGCCTGGAGAATTTCATTCTCTAGAAATCTAAAGTTTATAGAAAGATCTCATATCGGATGCTCACCAAGAATCATGATTCACATTTTGGATTCGGGAAATTTTAAGAACTGAAAAAGGTATTTAAAATCGTGGTATCTTCCTCTCTATTAAACTATATTTATATACCTTACAAATATTATTTGATTTAATACTTTCGCAAAACCAATCCAACCCTTTTTAAATTTTATCAATTTGCCATTATTAGGCCTTCCATTCATTTCATACCCTATTCTGTGTTCCCGAATTCGACAATACATTCTTGCTTTTGCAGATTAATTATTCTTGTTGAAAATTGCAAAAAAAAACATGAATTTATAAAAGTTCGCGGAGGGACGTGGACGAAATATGAAAAATCAGCCGATGCGCGAGCAAGTGCGCTCTATTGCCAACACTCTAGTTTTTGCTTCATTATCAATTTTGTTAATTTCTCAGAAATTCACATGTTCATTTCGAATTTGTTGTTCAATTATTAATATTTGTATGCTTTTAGACATTAATTATATGAGGGGGTTTAATGCAATACTCGGAAACTAATGAAAAAAATGATAACTAAGCGAAAACATTTTCCGAATTTTAACAATTAATCAAATATGTAGGTTGTAGGATATTAATCTTCAATAGTTATAAATATTCTAACATATATGCACTTTTTTTATTGATTATTTTGATGTCTGCATGATATTTTACGGTTTTTCTCATAAATGCCATTAATAATCTTCGATAATCATTCCTTGAAAAATTTCAGCGCAAAAACCGATTTAATTTTAAGCATTATTCATTGATCCTCCTTTTGTTCTCTAGAATAATTCTCTATCCGAATATTTTGCTTCATCGCTTTCAGATAGCATAGAATAAGAGGCGAAACAAAGTCAGAAACGCCGGTGTTAAAATCACAAAGGGGCGTTGAAGTTGGGCGGAAAACAAAGAATGCACCTGCCGAGAATTTGCCAACAAATCCGCCGACCCCGCCTCGAGTAATCCCCGTCTGCCTGCATTCGCCAATTGCACCAATGAGACGCACCACGCCACGCTCGTCGGACAACTCACCGCCGCCGGCGAAAAATCCAAAGATTGTTGCTGCTGACAACGCGCAAGAGGAGACTCCGAAGTGAGTTGCCTTTCTTAATACTCACATCATTATTGGAATTACAGAGCGGAGGCTGAAATTGAAATATTGTCGACGAAAGTGAACGGCAAGCTTGTCGAAACCGATAATGAACTTCTCGATGCCATCGCCGAGCAGTTGAAGAAACGCCAGGTCGAATTGGCGATGAAAGCCAAAGAAAAGGTGAGATTTGTAGTTTAAAATTGTGAAAATCATAAGTATTTGGTATTAGAAATCGAAAGAGTCACTGGATGATGAGGAGCAGTCGAACGAATCGGATGTGATTCCGATCGAAAGCGAAGAACGATCCTCAGAGAACAAGGACGACGATGAAGGTACCAGTTGATCACGATTTCATGAATCAAAAATTAATTAGAATGTAACTTGACATATTATCGAATCTGTTTTTTCTATTCTATCCGTTTAACCTCTTCTCATTGTGATTTTCTGTATAATTTTCTTTCCCGTATGTCGATTTCAATGGTTTCGTTTGTGATAAGAATAATTATTTCCGAATTTTTAAATCCATTTTCTTTCATTGTCCATTTCACTTCTATCTATTCACCAAACATTGCATATTATTCGAAAGGTCTCCCTTCCAACAAATTGCTACCCTCTCATTGTTTGATCACGTACTCTATTATTATGTTCGCCCGTTGTGATCTTTCAGCTAACAAATGTGTACTTTTGGAAGTAGTCCGAATATATACTTTATTTGGTCATGACGAGAAAATACTGAAACGCGTAGAAGCCGTCATCCTCTTCGGACGGTGTGATCACAATCTGCTGAGCCGCGATTCTCGCGCTCACTTCTCCAATCGATTGGCCAGTGATCCTTCAAAATGATTTCGATTAAAACTAATAAAAAATAAGTGTTTTTTCAAAAATTAAACTTTTTCATCAAATTTTGAATGTTGATTTGCACGTTTCCGTAAACATCCGTGTTGTACATTGCACCAGAAATGGCCGTCGCAATTCGCGTCGAGAACCCGATGGTCACTTTTTCGCATTTGTGTTGGCACGTGATGAGACCCGTCGATGTCAGCCGATTATTCGGCATCGAGTTGGGATCCTCTAAAAATTCGAATTTCCCGCCACAAGGTTTAGCCTTTAAAAATGGTCTCGTCGCATTTTTCTCCTAGCGTTTCCAAAATGTCACCGCGATTTAAAGGCGCAACGTACCCCAGACGGGTTCGACGAGCAACTTCAAAAACTTGTCGGCGCTCACATAGAACACGTCGAAGTTGACTTGCATCGGATCGATATTGTAGAAGAAGCTGCGAGAACGACGATTTCGATTTTTGTTTTGTTTCGCGCGCTTACTTGGCGACTTTCGACGAATTCAGCGGATTTTCGAACACCTTCTGATTGGCGACCTCTTTGATGATCGGATTGCGATAATTGGCGCCGGGCGCGCCGCGATACATCGTCAATTTGCCGTCGAAACGCTGCTGGATGTTCGAGATTTTTGTCGTTTTCAGCGCTCGGCCGAATCCGTCGACGCTGTAGATGTGCTCGCTGATGATCACTATCGTCGTCTGGTCGCGATCGGTCTGAATATTCATTCGACGATCCGCATGGTAGACGAGGAAGTTGGGATCTGAAAAAAGAGCGCTGACCGTTAGCAATGGAGCGCGGTTGCTCCCTCAATCTCTTTCTTATTTTTCTTGTTCTTTTGGAACATGAATTATGTAATAAAGCATTTCGGGCCCCAAGTTAAAGGCGCATACACTCGATTGAAACGGCCCGCAACATTCTGAACCTTGAGACCCATTTTAAAGGCACACGTACCATCGGCTTGCTTCGCCGTCGTGATGTAGACGACGCCGGTGAGATTCGCGCAATTCGCCGACGCAAAAAATGCGACGGTGTCGGTCGTCAACTTCCAGCCGACCTTCGACCCATCCGAATTCAATTCTCGATTCACCTCGTCCAGTCTGAAAATTGGCGAATTTCGAGAATCGCAATTCTTGTGAAACTACGTCCTCTCCAACTTGGCGTTCTTCACTCTGATCGCGTTCAACTCTTTCGGCTCATCGGTGGAAGCGACGAACAAAAGGGCGCCCGGCTGAAAGCATTTTTTTGGATGCTCGCTTTAAATGAAAAATTGAAATTTTTAAGCGGCTCCAACAACAAAAAATCACCATATCAATCATTTTTCCGAAAAAAAAATCGTTGAAAATTGGCACGGCTTAAAAATTGTGCAATTTACCGTGCGGTGTTTGCGGACGCCACATTTAAACTGTTTCCTAATTAATTCTAATTACGCACATCGTAGAATTGAACTGTAGAAAATTCCGAGAAAAAAAAACAGTCGATTGATATGACACTTATGTATTTCAATATTGAAATACGTGTATTTGGGTGGCGGTGTTTGCACACATTTCATTTCCAAAAAAAAGAAGCGGATTCCGGAATGAGTCGCGACAAGACCCAATTCATTTTCTTCATTATAAGCCTTTAATCGATTATTTTAATTTCGCGATTGATTTTTTTTTTCAGTTTTCTCACAATTTGCCTTAAATTGTCTTTTTGATGTTCGAATTTCAAACAAATTAAATGAATTGAATAGCAAAATCAGGGTTTTCAACGAAAATTGGAAAAGTTTTCAAGCTTCGACGGTATTTTTTAGATATGGTAATGAAAGGCGCATGCCGTTTTTTATTGAGCTGGATCTCGCAGCGAAAGAAGCTGGTAGCCTCTTTTTTTCGGAAATTTTAATTCAAAAATTGCGCTAGTCCACAAACACCACTGTTTTGGCGCGAATCGCATTTTTTGTAACGCGTTTTTCATTTTTTTTTTCTCCAAAAGAAAACGTTTAGAAGATTACTCAATACCAATCGGATCCGATTTTTAATTTTGTCGGATCCGATTGGTTTTGAGTTACCAGAGTCAAAAACATTATTATTACCTCGACGGTCCAAAACGAGTCGCCGCGCTTGCAAATCTCATTGACGGGAATCAGAATCGGCACAGCCGACGTCAACGAGAAAATCAATGTGAAAAGTCGAAAATGCATGGCGAACTTTCAATTTGCGGTCTATTCCTGCTTCCTTATATTGAATGCGATAAGCGATATCAATGAAATCATTTTTCTAATCAGTAACTGATAATTAAGAAAATTACGGACGTTCAGAAAATGAGCACATCAGCACATTTGTGGTTATTTTTTTGAATGGAATCCAAAATTATTGAATTTGAAATGTTTTTTTTTGATATCCGATAATCATCAACTTTTCAAACAACATCAATTCTGAATAAACATTTTTGGTAGATCAAATCTGTCGTTTCGAAAACGTTATCATTTCCCCTCATTTAGAACCACTGATAATGGGTGTCTCGCTTTTTTCTATTCTAGAGAATTTCACGAAAGTCGCCGGAAATTATGACGAGGTGAAAATTCTCGAAACTTTCCAAAAAATCAAAACGAGGACCAAATGAAAATAAGCAGTTCCAACTGTATTCGGAATTCAAATCGAATTCTCGATTTTTTTTTTAATTTCGGCACATTTTTTGAAAAACGCAAAATGTTTTCTGAATGTCTATAACAATTTTACCCTTTCAGGTTTTTTGTATATAAACTTTCAAAAAAATTTGTTTTCCACACGAGACCCGAGGGCGAGAATTCAAATGTGTATTACAAACGAGCACTCTGCGCCGATTTGATTCGCAGTTTATGCAGAGAGTACGGTAGCCGAATTCCCACTGTTTAAATTTGAATTTGAATTGCCGCCTCGAAAAATTGTGATGGTCCACAATTGCGCAAGACGCTCGTTTTTTTGCGATGGTAATAGTTCAGCATCCGTGTAATCGTAATTGAGATGGTGTGAGAAATGCAAAAGCTGGAGTATCTGAGTCACGCTTCTGAATCACAATACACGGCATGTGCGACTCCGCCCCCCGCAAACCAATTTCGCAACGCATTCGCACAAAACTATATTAAGCCGCTTCACATTCCGAATTTATTTTCGAATTATTCTTCTTCGCGCTTCCATCTGCTTCCTTCGATTTCACAATATCCTCCAAGGTATGCATTCAGTTCATAGGGATGATCACCCAATCGGAATCAAGAATTGCGAGAAGACAGAATTCCCAAATATGGATCACAATATCCTCCAAGGAATGCATCAGGGCTGTGCGGCAATGGAATCGCCGAACTGCCGAACTGCCTTGGTGTGCATTCCTTCATTTAATAGGGATGAACATAGGCGTGATCTACTGAGTAGGGTTTCCACGCTAGCGAAAATTTGACCGTCCACTGCCAAACATACAAGTTCATTTCAAGTACGTGAAGAAAGTGAGAATGAAAAAAGTAATAATGTATAAACATTTTTCATTTTATTAACGCACAGTTCTGGCCATAATTCTATCCAAAACCGCATTTTCAGCGTTTTCCAAAGTTGTCTGATTTATATGAAATTTTTTGGGAATGTTTCTGACGCTACGTCCAACTATATTGTTGAGAAATGACAAATGTATCTAGGTGTCGTGGGATCCTGCGTTTTGTACGCAATGCTAAGAGACAGGTACCGTAATCCTCGCAGCGATTTACGGAGATTTTAAAAAATTTTCTTTCAATTTTTTTTGCTGAATTTTCTAATTTTCTTTAGAAATCTTATATTTAAAAACTGTCGAAAAAAGAGTTTAATTATTTATTTTTCAGAATATGTACTTTTCCATTTGTCTAGTTGAGTTGGGAATTATTGTGAAGATTTTGACGCTCTAAAAATTATTTTGAAAATGAAGAATACAAAAACAAGATAATAGAAACGCATACAAAAAGCAAAACACGATTAAATAATTTTATTAACGACAAAAATAATTTTTCTTTTTAATCTCTGCTGTTTTACCAAAAAAATATCGTTTAAAAGTGCTTATTCTGCTAAATACATTATTAAACTCGGTTTCTGCAAAATTTAAAAATTTAATTTAAAAAATTTCGAAAGAAAATTAAAAAATTGAACGAAAAATAAAAAAAAATGAATATGCGAAATTAAATAAAATGTCCCCGTAAATCGCTGCGAGGATTACGGTAACTGTCTCTTGGCATTGCGTACAAAACGCAGGATATTACGACACCTGGATACATTTGTCATTTTTCAACAATATATTACAATTCATTAATTTTTCGACCTTATTTTTTTAGTCGACGGGTCCAAATTGTATTTCCAATGATCAATTACGGGGTGCGGAAAAATTGCATATTTTTTGCGCCATTTTATTTTTTTATTTTAAATATTTTCTTCGAACTTGTGATCATTTTATAAAATTCGTTATTACACCAAAAGAATGGCCAGCTTCATCGATCGACTAAAATCCCATAGACTATTCTGTTTGGGGAGGGTGGCTTGAAAGAGACGGCATCAGCTTTCGCATTACCAATTTTGGACTCGCTAAAGAATGAATGGGACAAATTGGATGACAATTATCTCCGTGCCACCATCAACACCTACTCGAAGCGTCTGAAGAAGGTTTTCAAAGATCGAGAATGAAGAATCGACGAATTTCGATTAACTCGTTATTCTTATATGTTCAATAAATTGTGGTGTCAACTTTTTTGAACGAGTTTTGTTTTTTTTTTGTTTTTTTATTTTTTTTACGTAATTTTGCCGCACCCTGTAAAGTGAAAAAAAACCCGTTCTCTTCCGGTTATTCCAAATGAATACTAACAAGCGAATTACTAGTAAGCGAATTTTTTGCGGACGTGTTTTTGTGACCTAATTTTTTCACGGCCGCCGGTTGCGCATGGAACCACCCTCGGGAGAAATCCCGAAAAAAATCGATAGAATTTTTCAGGACTTTTTCGGAAAAATTCAAGCAATGTTTGGTGAATAGATAGAAGAGAAAGAGTGACTAATTAACTGCGAAAAATTCTCGAAGCTACCGGGATTTCTCGTGATTTTTTGACTATAGATGTTTTAGGGAATTCTCAGAAAATTCTCTCTCAAGATCACCCACTGATGATCGCTCAATGGCCCGTTGGATTCGAGAATTGGCAGAAGAGGAAGAATATATTTCGATATATTTCATCCCTTGAAGAACTGAAAGACTCGATTGTATTGGAATTATCGCAAAAGACGATGAAAGTGACACCATCACTCAAAATCGAGCCATCCAATGAAATTTACAAATGATCGGCTCAATTTTACTTTCAAATCAAATTGCACAATGAATTTGATGCATCCGCGTTTTGAGCAATTCATCTGGATTGTGAAAATGATCGAAGGCAACGGAAGGAAGATGACGATAAGCATTCAATGATCCATCGCTTCGTCACTCGATATGCGTAATTCGAATGGACGATGAAGCAATCATTGAAGTAGGAAACATTGCTTGTTGGATTCGTATTGAGCACATCCAATGATCCTATAATCTACAATGAATTCAGTCGATGATCAATATTACGAAAGAATATTGCGGTGATATTTGAGACATTGGAAAATGAGAAAAAGGGACAAATAAGAACGGAGTATTCTCAATAACAATCATGAAGAATCTTCGAGAAATGGTCGAAGAAAAAAGACTCATCCAATGATGCGATTCTCACACAAAGAGAAGAAGAACAGAAAATACATCGATGATTTAGAGAACGACAAGAATTCGTCTGAATCGCTATGATCATATTCTCGTACAATGAATACATAGAAAAATATTCATTGATCCGCAGAATGTCCAATGTTCGGGATCCTTTGCATCACCTCACGAAGAGGAAGATGACCTGGGCTGGACACGTTGCTAGAAGAACAGATGGAAGATGGACTACTCTTCTAACGGAGTGGCGGTCGTGGAATTGAACTCGGCCAAGAGGAAGACTCTCATGAGATGGTCGGACTCGCTTCGGAAGGAGATCACCACAAGAACAACTGAAGGAGCCGTTATCACCCCGTGGTCCACCAAAGCCAAGGACCGAAAAGCTTGTAAGCTGTATTTTTTGCAGAAGGATATCATGGGAATGATGTTGGTTACTCCGTCTTAAATTCTCCATGGCGTCTCTTTTCAGGCATAAAATGACTACATTAATGAAGACTAGAAGACAGAACGAATGGTTTTCAAAGAAACAGTTACGGTAAAATAATAATTGATGAAAAATGAAAATTAAAAGTGCGAATAGAATGGAAAAACACTACAGCAGTAAAACCAACGTTTCAAGACCAACGCAAATAATACTATGCGCCTTTAAACCTACAGTATCATGACTTTTCGAGTTAATTCCAATTTTCTTGAATTTTTCATAATATTTGTGATTTTTCATGGTGTTCTTCTCATTTTATAGTAATAATTTCAGTTCTCCTTCATTGTTTTCCCATGAAACAAATTGTTATATGCTTATCAGCTCAAAAACAATCATCAGTGCTCAAACAATGCGAAGCAGCGGACAAAAACAACAAGATAGTGAAGCCGTTTAAAAATGAATCGGCTGGGCGCCGTGATTTTCGGTCGAGATGCTTTCGAAAACCTTCGTCACCACCGCATTCTTTCTATTCTTGCTCGCGAATCCTGTGGAATTGGCGAGAGCCGAAACGGTTGAGCTCAAAACGGCGAAGGCGAGTGGGAAGCGGCGACTCGATTTGAATCCACTTCATCTTCTCTGCTATCCATGTAAGGGCGTCGTTTGGCTGCTGGGCGGCATTCTCGGCTCCCTATTAGGACCCAATCTCATCAAGCAGGTCTCATCAATCAATTCTCGTGTCCGCACATTTAATTCTTTAGCTCGGCATCTTCACATGCGCTTATACATCGAGCATTATCATCAAATGGCCATATGTGCCCAATCTTCTATGCACCGCCATTTTTGATGTAAGTCATTCAATTTAGCGGATTTCTGCAGCAAACGTTTCAAGACCGTGTTTTTGCTAACGAAAAAATCGAAAAACGGCTTCTGCTCAACGATTTTCTTGTGTCGAAAAGTGAAAAATGAGCCGGCGACGTCGGCGGATTTGATAGCGAGACACGAGGATGAGATGATCGAGATTCTCGAGTCGGACAAACCGCCGACACTTTCACCATACATGGAGCATTTCACACAAACATTGATGAATTTGATACCAATGGCTGTAAGAGACGGCGAGATTTGTAATTTTTAATTGAAAGGAATCTGAAAATTTGAATAGTTTCAGTCGGCGTGACACCGGAAGAAGTGCAACAGGCGATTCGCAACTTTGCCGCCGCCGTCGAGCACCAAATGAAATATCTCGAATCAAAAAATATCGAAATTTAGTTGCTAATAAATGACATAATTATACAGAAATCAGGGGGGACAAAAACGATGAATTATCTAAACATCTTCATGATCGATTTTCGGCGATTGTTCTTCTTTTTCTCGCTTCCTGGCGTCTCGGGAATCCTGAACACCGAAGGTTTCTTGTGAAGAAGAATGTGACGAAAATAATGTTACATGTTAAATTTTCCGAAATCAATTTTCTCGCCAGGTTTTGGCTTCATCGGCGTCTTGAACGCATCAGTACTGTAATCAAATCTAGACGACGAGCGGAGAATCGAGTTCCGGCTGATCGTGTCAGATGCAAGCGAATCGCGTTTGGAAGATGAGCCGCACTAAAAAAGAAACCACTTGTATGTATTTGAACCTCTCATTCAATGAAAATCAAAAACCCACCGAGATTTTCAATCCAGGTGGCATTGATTCGCGTTTCGATACTTGATATTCTCCAAATGTGACCACCTTCTTGGGACTTTCATGCATTTCCAATTCTTTATCAATTAGTGATTCGTAATTTGCAGCCATGTCAAATGTTGTTATCATTTCATTGTTATTCCCATTCTGAAAATTTCAACTCGAAACAAACAAACAAATAAAATCAAAGTGATACCAGATGAGTTCCAATAAGACGATTCAAATTGCCTACTAATCGTTGCTCGTTCTCAAGATCATTGCTTAATTGCTCCTTGCGCTCCAATAATTTCTTATTGTCTGTTTCAAGAGTTTTGACCGTTTCCTGAATATATTGCATGCTTGGGTCTCGTGAGGAATCGTATTCCCCTGGCTACCTGCAACTTGCGAATTTCCTCCATAATCTCATTGCACTTCTCCAAATGAGCCGCTTCCAATTCATTCTTCTCATTTTGCTTGCATAACTGAATATTCACCAATTGAGATTCGGCATTTTTCTAAAAATGAATCTTCTCGCATTTGATTTCAACCAATTAAAACCAATTTCGTTTCCAATTCTTCAATAACCTCTTTCGATCGCTCATCAGTCTTCATTCTCATATCTTTCTCAGTATCCAACATTTTTGTCAAATCATCGATCTAAACTATTTCTTTAGTTATCGTGCTATGCAGATTTCGAGAAAACTTGCAGAACTCAAAAAATAGTGTCATTGTTCATTTTGTCGTGCGATTACGGAAAATCACTAGATAAGAAAAAAAAAACATTTTTGCACCGGTCTTGACGCAAAACTAAGTGTAGATTTACGGCTAAGCATAATGAGAGCGCTTCCATAGTTTTTTCGTCATTTAGACAATTTTCGGCAATTAAAGGGATTCTGTGTTTACCTGATGGCTCAATCTAGAAGCATGCTCTTCCTTATTGCCCAAATTCACCTCCAAAAGTTCAATGCGCTGTTTCGCCGCTTCCAAACAAGACATTACGCTTGATATATTCTCGTTAAGCTGAAAATTCTCACTCAAAAAATGAGGTAACTTCAATTTTATCGAAAACCTCGTGATTCTTGACACTAGCTAGTAAATGGGTCTGATCGAACGAACTCAATGCCTCATTCAACTTCTGCTTCTCAACTTTTATCATATCCAGCTCATCTTTGAGTCGCTCTATGGTGGAATTCGCCATTTTGGTGCGTTCAGCTTCTGCTTGAACAGCATTCGCGCGATTCTTGATCTCCTCGTCAAGGGCGTTCTTCAAATGCTCCTCCATTTTCTTGGCTTCATCTTCAAAATTCGACAATCGCTGTTTGGTGACGTCAACCTCCATTTGAAGCCCATTGAGCTTCTCCGTCAACGATTGCATCTCCAAATTTTTCGAATTGAGTTCAGTGTTGAGTTGTCGAATTTCCATTTGATTCCTATGGAATTCGGTCGTCAATTCCGATAATGCACTCAATAATTCAGATTCTCTCGCTTGAAATTTCTGAAATTTTTTTCAATCGTTCTCAAAAATTCTCGAATTTCGAAAAACCTCTAAATCGGAAGTATGAAGGTCTCTCAAATCGCGAAGCTGAAGCAGTAGAGCGTCTTTATCAGTTTGTAGAGATTTTAAAGAATCAGCGAATTGCGATGCCTCATTTTCTGCAGATTCTAGTTGGCTCATCAAGCTTTTAATCTGAAATTGATTAAGCATATTTTTTAATTCAAAAATCTTCTACAAAATGTTACATTTTGTCGTGCTCCATCAAGCGATGTCGTCAACTTCTCAGCTTCTGCTGTTTTCAGCTTCAATCGATTTTCGAGATCCTCGACACGCTGCTCATTTCTAGCAACATCGCTTCTCTCGCCGGCTATACTTGATCTCAAATCCTCAATTCTAAACGCATTTCCCATTATTTTTTTGCAAATTTCTTCTTCGTTTCAAATTTACGTCTTTTTGAGCTGCATATTCTCACTGACAAGGCTCGAATTCTCGGCGATCGCGTCATCGAGCTTGATTTCCGTGTCGGCGAGCTCTTTTCTCGCTCGTTTCGCTTCACGTTCAGCTCTCAAAAATTTCATCGTCGGCGAATCGACGGCGTCAACTACCGGACTTCGGCGAGCCGTGTTGCACACCGAACGAATACGACGCGCCGAATTTGTCGGCGTCGTGAACATGTCTCGATGAAGATTGGCTGAAATTTCAAGGAAATTTTCCATCGCTCAACGCAATTATACTTCTTCTTGTCGACGTCGGCGTTGCTGACACGAAAATCGGCTCGTCGTCAGACTTCAGAATCGACCACCAATCATCAACCGTCTCATTTTCATAAAGTTTGTCGAAATGCGAAAACTAGAAAATTATAGATGTTATTTATAGAGATGATTGAACGTAAAAAAAACCTAACCATATGAAGGATCGATTCAATATTGAATACATTATGAGCCGAGCATTGCTCCAGAATATGCTTCAGAATTAAATTGTCCTCTTTCCGCATATGTTCTATAACAAGCGCGAAAAACTGCTCGAAAAAATGTTTTAAATAATAATTATTAAGAATTGCAATAAAACCTTGCAAATTTCCATCGGATCACCGTCCGCCGCCTTCAATACATTCAAATCATCCGACATCGCCGAATTCGTGTGTCTCAGCTTTCTGCAGAGAACATCGTAGAACATTGCGCTTGAATCGAACTCAGTTACGTCACATTTTCTTCAAATTCTCAATTTTTTAATTTAACGTTTTTCATGGTTTTTTTGTACACAAGACTGGAAAGCAGTGAGCCATGCTTTTTCCACAAATCTTTTAGAGATGTAATTGTTTCTCTTTGGGATTTCGACGCTAAAAAATTCGAGAATTGGAGAAATGAGTTGAGAATGGCGCTGTCGACGACGGCGTCCATCTGAAATAATACATTCGTACAATATTACGGTCAAAAAACGGCTTAAAATATTTCAAGCATATATTTTTTTGAACAAAAAATTTGCCACCGTAGTCATTTCAAAGGCGCAAGGCTTGATTGAATTATGGTCTCACTGTGAACAGTAACCGAAAGTAATTCGCCTATGCAAAACAACCTAAAACAAATTCAAAAATCCAACGTTGAAGGATTTGTTTCTTTTTTCATTTAAATATAAAATCATTCGTGAGATAAAACAAATTTATTACACAAAAATCTCTGAAAGTATTTTAAAAATATAGCGCTGTTTGCTCAACTTGGATTACGAAGCAAGTTCGGGGCTCAGTTTTGACCGTCACGACGCATATGCTCTGGTTTCAGATTCTAGCAATAAAACAAGAAAAATTTTTAGATATTAACACATATATTAAAATAATTAACATTCTACAAGCTGGGCAAAGAGTACAATAAAAATATTCCAGAAATTAATCATTTGTTGTGTTCAGTTTGCGGATAATGGGGGAAGCGATTTTTTAAGAATTTTCAAAGCCAATTTTCGCAATCTCATTTTAATTATTCGTTTTATCTCCCCAAAGCTAAAAAAAGTCGAACTGATTGTAATAATAGTTATTGAAATCAAACCACGAGGAGTCGTTCTCAAGATCATTGCTCAATTGCTCCTTGCGCTCCAATAATTTCTTATTGTCTGTTTCAAGAGTTTTGACCGTTTCCTGAATATATTGCGTGCTTGGGTCTCGTGAGGAATCGTATTCCCCTGGCTACCTGCAACTTGCGAATTTCCTCCATAATCTCATTGCACTTCTCCAAATGAGCCGCTTCCAATTCATTCTTCTCATTTTGCTTGCATAACTGAATATTCACCAATTGAGATTCGGCATTTTTCTAAAAATGAATCTTCGGGCATTTGATTTCAACCAATTAAAACCAATTTCGTTTCCAATTCTTCAATAACCTCTTTCGATCGCTCATCAGTCTTCATTCTCATATCTTTCTCAGTATCCAACATTTTTGTCAAATCATCGATCTAAACTATTTCCTTACTTATGGTGCTATGCAGAATTTCAGAAGAAAACTCACAGAACTCAAAATAACCAGTTTTTAGGGGGAATCTGTGTAAGGCTTTTTTTTTAGTTTTTTTGATAGTTTTAACCAGATTTTTGCGGAATCTCCACAGTATCATTGTTCATTTTTCACGCGATTATGGAGAATGACTAGATGACAAAAGAAATACATTTTTGCAGCGGTCTTGACGCAAAACTAAGTGTAGATTTACGGGCTAAGCATAATGAGACCGCTTCCATAGTTTTTTCGTCATTTAGACAATTTTCGGCAATTAAAGGGATTCTGTGTTTACCTGATGGCTCAATCTAGAAGCATGCTCTTCCTTATTGCCCAAATTCACCTCCAAAAGTTCAATGCGCTGTTTCGCCGCTTCCAAACAAGACATTACGCTTGATATATTCTCGTTAAGCTGAAAATTCTCACTCAAAAAATGAGGTAACTTCAATTTTATCGAAAACCTCGTGATTCTTGACACTAGCTAGTAAATGGGTCTGATCGAACGAACTCAATGCCTCATTCAACTTCTGCTTCTCAACTTTTATCATATCCAGCTCATCTTTGAGTCGCTCTATGGTGGAATTCGCCATTTTGGTGCGTTCAGCTTCTGCTTGAACAGCATTCGCGCGATTCTTGATCTCCTCGTCAAGGGCGTTCTTCAAATGCTCCTCCATTTTCTTGGCTTCATCTTCAAAATTCGACAGTCGCTGTTTGGTGACGTCAACCTCCATTTGAAGCCCATTGAGCTTCTCCGTCAACGATTGCATCTCCAAATTTTTCGAATTGAGCTCAGTGTTGAGTTGTCGAATTTCCATTTGATTCCTATGGAATTCGGTCGTCAATTCCGATAATGCACTCAATAATTCAGATTCTCTCGCTTGAAATTTCTGCAATTTTTTCAATCGATCTCAAAAATTCTCGAATTTCGAAAAACCTCTAAATCGGAAGTATGAAGGTCTCGCAAATCGCGAAGCTGAAGAGTTAGAGCGTCATTGTTCGCTTGAATTGACTTCAGTGAGTCGAGGTACCCTGGCTCCGTTTCTGATATTGTTGATTGTTGTCCACCCATCTCTAAATATTATTAAATTTATGGTACTATGGAGATTTTCCAAAAAAACGGTGAAAGACTATCAAAAAACTCAAAAACCTTTTCAGATTGCCGAAAAAAACTATGTAGTTCTTTTTTGAGTTTAGGATATTTAAAAAATCGGAAATAATCTATCGTAACCAAATTAAAGGCGCATTGCAATTTGCTGTCTATTTGCAATATCAATATAGGGTCTTTGAACGAAATCATTAATTTTAATTGTATTCAACCTAATGATGCAATTATACTCTACATATTGAACCAATCAAGTAGATCAACGCGTTTCTCGAAATTTTTCGGATTCGATTATTTTGCTAGTTTTTCAATATTTAGAAATGCCCATGTTTTCGACTTTTAATTAATTATTTTGAACAAAAAAGTGCAAACGATTATGAAGTGCAAAAAATGGCGAAGATAGGCTCAAAAATTCATACCGAATCATGCGGTTTTTCATATTCCTCTTCTTATTCTCACCAGTTTTCACTGACCCGATCGATTTTCAAGAGAATACTGATTTCTGGATTCAGAATATTTGCAAGAACTGCGAATCGGCGGTAACAATTCTCAAATTCGCATTAAAAAACAAACTAGGAGCACAGGTATTTCAGCATTTCCATCCGTGAACCCGAATAAAATCCAGATCGCGATTAATAGTTGCACATTACTTCTGACGCCAATCATCCCACCAACAGTCATCCGCAATTTCATGTGCACCGCCATCATTCAAGGAGCCAAAAACTATCTAAAATCAACTCCACCGGATGTAGCATGTGCTCGACTAATGCTCTGCTCGAAAGCATTTCAACAAAACGTTTTGCTATCTACAATTTATTCAAAACTTCTCGAAAATTTAACATAAATCAATTTACACTTTAAGAACAAGTGGCTTCACGAGACTTTGCGCCTTTTCGGCTCCGCTGAGAAGCTCGACAAGCTTCAAAGCGAACTCGAATGAAGTTCCCGGACCTTGAGAAGTCACCACTTTTCCAGCAACCACCACGCGATCCTCAGAATAGTTGTAAGCTGGCGTTCCATTGATGAGCTGCTCCTTGACGCTGAAGTGGCTCGTGACCTTGTCGGCGGCAATTCCGTGAGCTTGAAGGACAATCGGTGCCGCACAAATCGCCGCAATCCATTTTCCGGCATTCTGCTGTTTCTGTAGGATCTCACCAACCGATTTCACCTAATTTTTTTTGGCAAAATCAATTAAAAAGTCAAGTGGCATTTCGATACCGATGTCAATGTTTTGCATCCCGGTCCTCCGGGAATCACAACGATGTCGAACTCCTGATTCTTGACGTCTTCCAAAGCGGCGTCAGGAACGATGTGAAGTCCACGGGCGCACTTCACCTAGAAACAAACAAACAAGCCTAAATTATCCAACCATGCGCCTTTTTCTAAACTTACAGGCGCCTTTCCAGCGACGCCGGCGTAGGTGACTTTGACGTCTCCGCGAACCAGACAATCTCCGGTAATGGAAACCTAGAATCCCCATAAGGCAAATCGATACCATCATCGATTACCTCCATCTCCTCAGCACCTTCTGCCGGAATGATGATCAGCGCAGTTTTCTGTGAAGCCATGGTCGAGTAGTATCTGAATTTCTTAAAGTTTAGGCAGCAAAATTTCAATTCCAGATATTATTGTTGGCAATTTCAAACATCTAGAATTCTAGATAAATGTTGGAAGATGGCCAAAAAAATGATTTATCGCTAAAACAAATTAAACTAACTAACAGGAAAAAAAAGATAACAAAACATGAATTAAGAAGGTTCGGATTTGATTTGCTTCGGCTGGTCTCCATATTTGCCTTCTTTGAATGCCGTTCGGACTGTTTCACCATAAGCAAGCTCAAACAATGTTTCAGGCGTCATTTTCGGTGGCGGCCATCTAAAAACTCTTATTTAAAAAAATATCATATGCCGATTTTACCTTTCATCTTCCACCGTGTGTAAGTCGGCTAATCGTTCCGATCCCTTCTCCAATACCTTTTTCCTATACGCCGCTTTTCGTTTCTCAATTTGAACATCTACTCGATATGAAACATACGGTTTAAGTCTGCAAAAATTCTCGAGTTCCTCCAAAAACAAAATAATCTTTAAAATTCTCCCCTACTTAAACCCTTCCAAATTCGGGACAACAAGCTCATTTCGCATCTCCTTGACTGGCACAAAGTTTCCCTCGGCATCGTAGTAGCCATCTTCTTGAACCCCCGTGTATCTAGAAGTTCAGTTGATAAAATGGCGAGGAAACTCGAAAGATTCAAACATCGCACAAAGATCGACCAAGAATTTGCAGAAACGATAAAAAAAACCAAAATGAACTTTGGTAAATAAGTGATTGGCAGTTCCAATTTGCACAAGAGCAAAGTTCAAATTTTAAGCATGGCGAGACCTACACCAGGGATTAATTATTCTTTACAAAAACAACAGCAGCCAACATTTTCGCTTCACGAAATATATTTTTTTATAGTGCGAAAAATTGGCGGAATTCCGAAAAATTAAAGAGGTCTCGACGCGCGGTGTGCGCCTTTAAACTATCTTAAATCTACACTTTTACTTTTGCGCCAAGACCAGTGTAATTGCTTTTTGGCATTTTGCCAATATTCCGCGACTTCGACAATATGGAGCTACCATAGTGTGATTAAAGGAGCAACGTGTATTTTTATCATTTCGAAACATAAATCACAATTCAAAAAAAAAAAATAACACTCGCAAACCTATGCAATTCCGGTGGATTCAGCTTCTGGAATTTCGGCGACAATTCCGGAAACTCGCGATTCTGTCCCGGCCATAGGAACTTCTCAATTCGATATGGTCCGATTTTTCGTTGTCCATAAGAGCCCTTCTTCACAAAAGGCCATGGCGATCGGAAATTGACGGGATTCAACGATCGGACCCCCCGAGTGCTTGTATGCGCGACAAGTTGCGCCGCATTCGCTAATAGCCGCTGATGGTTCATAACCTGGAAATGCTTATAGGCTTCTAATCAAAAATCGATTGAAAATATTCGAATTCGGTGTGAAAACCCGAAAAAAACGCAACAAATTAGCGAATACAACTTATATTTTTTTACAATTATAATTATAGTGAAAATAAATATAAATGAAAGGGTCACGCGGGAAAATAGGAGGGAAAGTTGGAAAAACACTAACATTCAAATCTACCCATCTATCACAACACAATGAAAATGGCTAATTTATGGCAAATCGGAGATTAGAAGGAGCTTGTGTTCTCCGTGTGGAGCACAAACTTGTAATAAGCATCATTCATTTGCTCCAGGAAGATGAAGGTTAGTACGGTGTGAGGGCCGAGTCGCATGTAATATGGTGTGAAGCCCTTCCACAATGCGAACACCCCTTCGTTCTTAATGATCTAAAAACGGAAAAAAGATTTTCAACAAAAATTCGGATTCCCACCTTGGCCCAGACATCAAAGGCATTCTTGTATTCCGGCTTGCCATCGATAACCTTCATTGATTGAATTCTAGTTTTCGCTATATCCACAGGCATCGAGACTATCGTAGTGGCCAATCCGGAAAGCATTGAAGCTAGGAAATGACAGAAGATTCCGTCTTGGACAAGCTTCGTCTCGAGAAGCTTCTCTTTGGCTTGAGAGTAGGTTGCAAGTTGGGCAGCATTTACCACCATCGCGCGCATTACAGTAGGAGTGCAGCCCTAATTATGCAATTTTTATGAATAAATTAATATTTCATTTCTCACTCTCCACAATGTCAAGACTCCTTCCTCTTTAACAATTCTTGTTAGAGCATTGACAACTCCTGTGTAATTTCTTCTTTGCTCTACGGGAAGACGTCCATCACTGGTCATTCGAATAAGCGCGAGCTCTGCAGGGGTTCCTACAAACGAACCGATGCCTCCGGCGCTCATTCCTAATGCGGCTTTCAAGCCAAATGACAACGGTTGATCTCTGAACAATACAAACATGATTTTTAAAAGTTCGCGACACAAATAACGTACTGTGAAGAAAAGAGCTCGAGCATGTACGTATAACAACCCAATCTAGTTGTTGTATATGTTGCTTGACGTAGAAGACCTGCCGAGAGCCCATTATATACAGCCATGAAACCTTCATTTTTGATAATTGAGGTTAGTGCATGGAAACTTGAGCGGTATTCTTTCTTTCCTAAAATTTTATATTTTTTAATTGCATTTTCGTATCATTTACCTGTTGTTCCGGAAAGTTGCATTCGATTTTTGACAAGATCCAAAGGCTGCACGAAAAGAGTAGCCCCCATTCTGAAAATTACTGATAATTGGTTTCTAAAATCTTAGAATCTCATATACCCAGCAGTGCCACCGAAAATGAATTTGACACTGTTCGGAATAATGGCCTGGTGCTTGTCTCCCATATTCTGAAAATGGTTACATCAATTTCGGACACAAAAAAAGGCATATCAAAACAACACGTTTTTGGTGTGGTTGTTTATCACGATACAACTACTACTATGTAGGCAACAACATCTGATTGATAAACGTTTTTATAAATAGGACTATAATTTAAGAAGAACCAGACTGCAAATAAATCTGGAAACAGAGATAAATTGCAAATAATGGAACCTAAAGAAGCGAGAGAAATCCAACGCACGGGAAATGCGTCAGCTGGTGCAAAATGACGTAATTCTAGTGCGGCTGGCGCGCTTTTCGATATTTTTGAATTTGAATTTTTTCTAGTTTTTTTTAATCCTTGCTTTCAATCTTATTATCTTTGTTTAAACATTATTTCCAATTTTTTCTGGCACCTATAATTTATAACCATCTAAAATAAAGCTTTGAATTTCTGTAAGATTCGAAATGTCAATCTCCAAAACTTCGGCATTTTTAATTAAAAAAAAAAATGCTTGCAGATGGATATTTGGATTCAAGTAATAAACACGAAATTGGAATCCGAAGAATTCGAATTTGAAGGAATATTTTTAGGTGGCAAAATTGTGTTACAGGTATGATTTTTATGAATGTTAATGCTGAAATTGATTTCAGAAAGATTTTTTCGATGAAAATGACGCATCAACCTCATCAGGATGGCTTCTTCATGCTTATTTCAGGCCAATTGAATTTAAAGACAGACCTTTTATAGCCGATATTTGTTTTCGATATGGAACTAGGAGGAGAGAGGTGAAAAATCAAAACGTGAGGCTTTGACGTCGAAATAATTTTAGATTATGTCAATTTTTGTCGAAAACGACACATTCTTGGGGCATGTGACGTCCAGAGAGAAAAAAGGAAGAATTATAATTGCAGCTAGAGTAAGAAAAATTGGACAAATAAGAAATCAGTGTGTTTTTAGCTTAGGAAATTCCTGTGTGGAGTTGATCTCAAACAACCATCGAGTTCTCGAAACTTCATTGTTCAGGTAAAAAAAATTCCTAAAGTCGCAAATTTTTTTATTCTTTCAGAATTTTGACGCAAAATTAAAGGAAAGCGTCCTCTATTATGTTAGCACAATCAAATTGAGCTTCATCGGAGGAGATTTGTTCAAAAAATGGCACGCGCAACACGAAATCGGTGTATTGACCGTAAATGAAGCATTTGAGACATCGGCGATTGAAACGTTATTGGATTCCACTGCCAAATATGACGATATTGTGATTATGAGGTAAATTTTGTGGCCGAAATTCTGAGAAAATTAAATTTTTAGGCATACTGTAGACAGGTTAATTCTTCTTGCGAGAAAATTCCGAATGCACAAACTTATGAGAGCGATTGAGGATTACATTGTGAGCACAAAATTGTTAAGTTGGGATGAGAAAATGCTGCTAGCGCTTCAATATCGAATGAGTCCACTTTACGTGCAGATTCAGAAGCAATATTTGATGTCGCCATGGACGACACTTTGCAGGGTAATTACTGTTCTGAGAGCAGGGACCATTATGATTATATTTGCAGGTCCAGCGGCTTCTGTTGTCTCATTACGTTAAAAATGGAGCCGAAGAGGTTTCGAATCCCTATGAGCAGCTTCATAAGCACTTTTTAGAACTTATCATGTTATCCGATCAAAATATTTGTATTGGATAGCGGATGTTTGCAATGAATTTTTAAATTTTTCTTCTCTGCAAGCTTAAATCACCTGTCTGAATCCAGGAATTGAGTTATTTCGAAGTTTGGGGGAATGCTAATCATTATGTTGTGTTGAACTTTTAAAAAAACAATTAAATTTCGCCCATTTTTTGGCTTGAAATGTCGTGTTCTGTTGTCCAATTGATCGCTGGACGAGGCGGTGATGATCCGCGTGGCGTCACTGGCTCGGTGAGCCTTGCACGTCGCGATGATCTTCGCATTCTAATCGACGCCGGCGATCCGTGGAATGGATCGGAGATCATTGCCGAGCTTCGAAAGCTATCCCTATGCGCGTCTGATGTCACCCACGTGATTATCACCCATGGTCACGTCGATCACTGCGCAAATCTGCTTCTATTCCCATTTTCAACAATAATCATGGATTCTGACTTCGTCAAGAAGCAGTCGAGACACGCGCCGCCCGACTACTCAACCATCGAGGAATTCCCGTTTCAGCTGTCGGAGAATATCAAGGTACGGGGATCAGGCTTGGGTGAAAAGCAAACTAAAATTTCGATAATCGAAATTTTATGGAAAATTGAATGTGCCTTTAAACATTTTTATAGTTTTGAAGAAAATGGCGAATATCTTGCTTTTCAGAAATATTTTGTTTGCGGAGAAAAAGAAATTTGAAATGAAAAATTTCGATATTATTTAAAAAATTTTGACCACCCGAAAATTTCCGAAGAATTCTTTGGTAAATTATTGGTAGACGTTGGACGTCCAGCGAATATCACAAGGGATCCTTAACTGATGAAACGAAAGGCGGATACCGCGAATGCGGAAACTAGTGGTTTCCGGTTACCAAGGATTTCTACGGAAAGACCGGACCGGTTCAAAATCTCCGCACCCCCCCCCCCATTGACAGTTATGAGAAAAAGAAACAATAAAAAAATTTTTTGCCCAAGTCGACCCTGTAAGATATAGAATGCTTATTACCCTGATCGCCTAGATCCACAAACTCCGCGGACATACCCATTCGGATCTTCTCGTCGAGATTTTCGAAGAGGACGGATCGACGACGATGGTCTGCGGAGATCTCATTGAAAGCGAAACCGATGATGGAATGGAATTGGCGGTTGACAAGATGCAGCTCGAAGAATCGCAGCGGTTCATCTTCTCCAGAGCCGATTTCATTGTACCGGGACACGGCAAAATGTTCAAATCGGCTCATTGATTATTATTATTATTATTATTACGTTGCTTTTGTGTCTTTTATTTTCTCTCTCTCTCTCTCAATTGAATCTCACGCTCGTCTTTTATTTAATTTTTGAAATTGAATATTCATTTTTTGATTGACTTGAACTGTGATAAATATGGCATTTTTAAAGGCGATGACTCACTGAAAATGGCGGACGAGACAAGCGGAACGTTGCGCGGAAGCTGCGCGATTTGTCAGAGCGCGTTCACGTCGGCCGGCAAAATATCGGCGCTCAATTGCGGACACACATTTCATTTTTTGTGCGTCAATCAATGGCTTGCGGTAAGCAAAATCGTGTTTTTCGTTGTGTCGGAAACATTTTGAACGAATTTAGGTGAAAAAAGAGTGTCCGAATTGTCGGAAACGCGTCAATGTCAAGACGGGTTTTATCGAAAAGTTGTTCTTCGATGTGCCCGGATTTGATGCAAACAACTCGACTATTAATTCGATTGATTATGCAGCAAAGGTATCATTTTTTGCAAAAAATAAACCTAGACATATGAATTTTCCCAAATAAATGAACTGAGTCGCCGTTTTAGGCTGAGGAACTTGCTGCTGAGCTCGCTGTTGAGCAGAACGCTCATCTGGAGACGAAGCGAAGTTGCGCGACACTTCGTGACACCGTCAAATCGTTGGAGAAGAAGATCATGCGAGAGAAGGAGAAGTACAATCGAGAGGTGCCGACGCTGAGGCAGAGGAATGAGCAGCTTGAAATGATGGCCCAGGAGGCGAACAGCTTCAAGCACGAGCTCAATCAAGCCAAAATTAAGCTCAAGGCTTGCGAGTTGTAAGTGTCTGTCTGCCGAATATCCATTCGATGCCCTTATTTGCAGCTACAAGCTTCTTTCGTTGAATCATGGCGAGCAGAACATCGACGCGTCGCTATCGAAATATATAAAGAATGGAGGAGTTGATACGGAAAAATTTTTCGATCTCCTTAAAAGGTAATGCGCCTGTATCGAACGTGGCCAATTTTACTTGAGAGATTAGTCAGAATAAGAAGCTGAACACGAAGGCGAAAGAAGCGGTTCGAGAAGCGGACAAGCTTCGCGCTGAAATTCGGCCGCTGAAAAATGAAATTAAGGAGAAAGATAATGTGATTGCGGTAAGTTTTGGTGAATTCAAATTAGTGGAATTCTTTAATTTTTGTTTTTTGCAAAATTGGCTAAATATCTTCGCACTACTTATTTTAGGCGCTGAAGAAGGAGATTGAGGACCTTCGAGAAGCCGCGAACGTCAACACGCCGGTGAATAAAAGACTGCGATCGATTCTGATGGAAGGCGATACTCGTAAGAGGCCTTCTTTGGGATTTGAGACGACGAATCCATTGATGAACAATGATTTGACGTTTCTTGAGGTTGGTTTTTTGGAATTTTGAAAGAATAATGAATTTTTTGAAGGAGAACAAAACAGAAGCTTCGACGTCTTCAGAACAGCCTTCTAGTAAGATTTTGCCTTGATTGAATATTGATTCTTATCGAGCTTCGTTTTTGCAGCCTCCTTTCCTTCGGTTTTCGACTTTGATGAGGATGAATCGAATGTGTTTAAGGTAAAATTGAGGAAAAGAAAAAGGAGGAGAAATTCGAAAGTGCTATCTAAAATTAAATAAATGATGAATTATTTGTGTTTTCTTTTTTTTTTAAACAAACTTTCCATTTTTAGATAATTTGGTTTACAGATTCTTAAGAAAAGGCGAGAAGCATTGGCTGGAGAAACGTCGATGGCGGCGGCGATTCCGAGTATTGATGAGTGCGACAATTTTTGGGAATTCGTTTTAGCTTTTTATCCTTTTTTCAGCTCTTTTGACTTTTCCTTTGATGTTCCAGTGCCGCCTAAAATCATGAAGCGAGTACCGATTCCGAAGAAAGTGCTTCAACCGATTAGCAACCCGAATTTTGATCTTGAGTCAGTTTTTTTAAAAATGCTAACTCAAAGTTGTGAAAGATAATTTTGTTTGAATTGCCGCCAACGCAAATCCCTCATTTGATATTAGATTTGAATTCGGTTTTTCGATTCTCCCATTTTCTTTTCAGTTCTCCATCATCGATTGCGCCGAGACCTATAAAGAATCCGTTGAAACGCACGCTATCTCAAGACGACAAGGCGAAAAAGGTTGCGATTTTTGCAGCATTTGTCCAAATTTGGAATTTTTTTTAGAAACCTGCTGTGAAATCGGCGCGTCTTTCATCGTTCTTCAACCGAATGCTGTCGAGCCCGGAGCTTGTGACGATCGATGATTGACGAATTGAACTTGTATAAATGACCATGAATTGAGAATATCTGAATAAATTTTGTAATTTGGACAACAGATTTTTTTTTGTAAATTCGAAACCACGTCATCTGGAATCCATATTTTCTTTAAACCGTTTTTTTGCCCCAATATTTTGTCGTGAAATTAATTTCAGATGATTGATGTTCATTGTCATTTGGCCGACAATAAGTTCAAATGCGATTTGCCGGAAATTCTCGAAGCGGCTCGTCGCGCGGAAATTCGCAAAATTGTTGCGGTTGCCGAATTCCCGTCCCAATTCGATAGGCTAATCGAGATTTGCCAACAGAATCCGGGATTCGTCTACGCCGGAATCGGTGTTCATCCGATTCAAGTTGGTTCTTAAATCGGCTTTGCTATTTTAAGTTTTGCTGAATGAAAATTTTCAAGCTATTTTTGAGAAGCAAAAAAAAGCATTTAAAATTATCTTGATACATTTTTTGATTAATCTTTTCCATTTATATGGTTTTAATTTTTTAAAAAAATGATTGAGACCTTAAATATTATAATTTTTAAAGAAAAGGAATAAAGCGGCAAAGTTGAAGCATCTGGAGAATGTTGAGAGCTATTTATCAAGATTTCAGCAATATATCGTCTGTGTTGGCGAGGTTGGTATGCGCCTTTAAATGGGGTCCCGCAAAAAATCCTTTTAGATTGGCTTGGATCACACATCTTCTCAATTCAAGCTCTCTGTTGATGATTTAAAAGAGCAGGAGGACGTTTTTCGGAAACAATTGGAATATTCCAGGCAATTTGATCTACCTGTGTAATTAAGAAAAAATATAATTTATAAATTCTTGCATGATATTTGCTTTTAGAAATGTGCATTCACGTAGTGCTCCATTGCGGACTATTGAAGTTCTGAGGTCCGAGAATATCGAAAATGTGATTTTGCATGCTTTTGATGGGAATCAGGAAGAAGCTGCGATGGGAGTTCAAGCTGGGTACTATTTCTCAGTGCCGCCCAGTTTTGAGAGGAGCGCCGATGTGGGAAATCATGGGCGAATGGAGAATTACATATTATTTTAGACTCTTGAAGTTGTGAAAACGATTCCAATGGAAAATCTACTATTGGAAACCGATGCTCCGGCTTTAGGACCATTGAAGGGAGAAAGGAATGAGCCGAAGAATCTTGAAGCTTCTGTGGATATTATTTCAAAAGTAATAAAAGCTACATTTTTTTATTAAAAAAGTTTTTTTTTAGGTAAAATCGATATCAAAATCTCAGGCTATCGAAATAACAAACAACAATTGTCACCGATTATTCAAATTTGTATAAATCAATTCCATCTGCGGACAATTTTCAACGTTATGCGTATTATATGTATAGAATTCTGCAACGGCGTTCAATATTTGTTTATTTGTTTACCGTTATGCCGAACAGGTAATATTACATATATGGCGAACCCGGGGGGGCCGGACGAGGCCCTTAAGCAAATAATCGAAAAGCTTCCGAGCTGAGAAGCACACAAACACACACGCTTTCGTTTTGTTTTACGACGAAACAATGAATAATATTTTGAATTTTTATCTTTACTATAAGAACTTTTCGTGCCGAAATAATATCTATTTTTAACTGCCACGCCGATCGGTCCTTTTGCTCGTCTGTCAACAATACGATTCGCTCGGCACTGTTATCTTCTTCGATTTTCTGCTTTTCAAATGTTTGCATTTTGTTGCAGTGTGTGCAAAACGGGCCCAAATTGCTTGTTATGGAATTCTCATCGAAATTGTCCGTCTTAATCGGCCATTCGCCGGAATCTCTTCATCTCATTTGAATTCGAACGGCCTTGATTTTGCGCGGCCAGTTTTCACTAGCGCGTTTCGACGCACGCGGTTTTGAACTTTCAATGACCAGCCCAGCGACATGAAAAAGTCTTCAATTTGCTATAAGTATTCATCTTTTCGATGAATCTCGCGAAGCATTTTCACGAAAATAAAAAAAAAAATCAAATTGGTGGCCGAGAATTTCCTAGGCCATATTTTGCATAATTGTATTCCACGCGGACAATTTTAATAAAATTATTTTTTTATTTCTGCCATTTTTTTTGCTCGCGATCAACGAAACATTTTCTATTGTTATACATCCATTTTAGGTGTAGTTGCGCGGCGCTTCTCATTAGCCAATGTTTGCGCATTCTCTCGAGTTTCTTGGTGTCCTTGCCTCTTGTTAATGGCTATCAATACATAGTAATCCGCGTGCACTCGAGCCAACATTGTCGCAAAAATGTTTTTGCAGATTATCACTAGCTCACTACTCGCATAGCAACCGAATTCGTCGCCGACCTTCTCATTTTTCCTTTTTTTTGGCGTGAATGTCATCATCGCGTGGCACTGCGCTGTTCTCATCATTCAGGAGCTCGCAGCGAAGCGCTCCGCTTAGCGTGTCGGATGTGAGTCGTCGAATATAATGGGGAAAACAAGAAACGGATTCGCACTTTTCAGGAAGAGCTCATCTTCTCGCAGGCGTCGAGCTCGGCGGCGAAATTCTACGGCAATAGCAACGCGGAGAACACGGCCCGTTTGGACGAGTCGCTCGTCGAACTCATCCGCTATATATCAAATATCGAGAAAGCGGCAAGACTTTCCCTAAATAATAGGCATATTAAGGAATTACTAGGATACACGCCATATATTCTTCGTGAGTGCTCGTTCATTTTTCGGACGTCGCCTCAAAATTTGCCCAATTTTCAGAAGCTTCCACAACTTCGGCAAACACTCGCTCAAGATTCTATCGCCTTCTATTTAATATTGGTAATCAAACCATCAAAAAAACTATACAAAAGTCGTATTTATTTTTCTGCCAAATTTCAGCTCACTATAATGTTCCAATTCGTCGCTATATGGCATGCGATCTCGAACTCTGCGGTCCGATATTCCATTGTTTGAAAATTTCGCTGCGTGAGGAGCTCGGCCCACAGAATCTCATTGACATCCTCCGCGTCATTCAGGTGCTCACCTATGAGAAGACGGTGGCACTCGCCTCCTGGACAAATGAGCTCATCTCATTTTTAATATCCGAAGTGTGAGAATGCCTCGAAAATGATGAATATGATGATGTTGTTAATTTTGAAGGAATAGAGAACCCGAGGCTGAATGGCTTCCATATTGTGTGGCGATTTTGTGCAATTTGGCAACACGATCGAAATCGGCGTGCAATCGCATCAAAAAATCGGTATCTACCCCGTGTATTTCGAATTTTGAAACAAATTTTAAAATTTAGAGCACTTATAAAACGTTTTGCAAACGGACCAAGGACCTTCTACTTCATGATTCTCGGATAATAGTGGTCTCATGCCTCGTCCTAATCGGATATTTGGAAGAAGTACTTCGAGACATGGTATATTGTCCGCAGAATGTCGAGCAGACCTTTAAATGCGTGTTCAATGTGCTCATACAAGGCGATGACGATTGTTTGATGACAAGACAGATTGCTGCGGACCTTCTACGAAGGCTAATAGTCTCAGGTCGGAATTTTTATAAACACAGTTGTCGGCAATAATCAGCGAATTCAGACACGCCTTCGATCTCGTCGGTTCCGACCCTCGCCACGACAGGAAAAGATATTTTGAACTACGGTTATTTTACGAATTTCATTCAAGAGACCGCAAATCTTCTTGTGATTCTGAATCCGCGATTGGAAGAGGCCACCAAGGTAGATATTTTTTGGGAAAAGCTTCTTTCAAAAGGAAATATTGAACGATTCCAGATATATGATCTTTTCCTTTCGTTCTGCTCCCTTCAAATCCTTCGCCCTCATGTGTGTCAAGCTATAATACGATGTCAACCGTCTGAGGCGCGTCTAACCACCCCGATTTTAGGTTTTTTTTTCCATAATTTCTATATTAGCGAAAAACCTGTTTTAGCTGTTCTAAATGCTGCTCGAATGTCTTCCTATGAGGCGATCAATGGAGAAGTACCGCTGAAAGCGCTGAAATTGCTCGCCTATCTGCTAAGTGTACGTTTTTCGTCTCAAAAAAAAATTACGCGAAATTTTGCAGGAAATTGTTGAGCCGAATGAGAAGATTGTGCCGCACATTCCAATCGAATTGATTGTTGAATTGGTCCGCGAATGCGTTTCCACGGAAATCGATCTCAAGAAGGACAACGTCGACATTTGCTGCCGACGATCGCAGTTGGGCCTGAGGCTCGCCGAAGGTGAAATAAATCATCTGCGGACATTTTTCAAAGGATTTTTTTGCAGTTTGCGCTAGGGATGAGGATATCCGCTCGCATCTTCTTGAGATATGCAGCGCTCGACTGTGCAGCAACATTGCCAACTATCAGGTTACCATTTTTCGATTGATTTTTCGCAAAATTACCCAAATTTGTGATCTCAGTTCCACCAGAATCCGGTTGTGATGTATCTGACGAAGCCGCCACTTCAAAGGACCGAAACGCTGGAATCCTGGAGGTAGGATTTCGTTTTTGCTGAAGTTACACAAAGCAATTTAAGCATGAGCGGAATTAGTATTGTTCTGGAGCTTTGTCGACTCTTGGCGGTTCTAAAGGACCATTCGCGAATGCACAAAGAGCAATATTGGCAGCTTCTCAAGGTTTGCGATCATTTCGACATCTCGCACAATTCCATTTTTTTTAAAGGATGAACGCCTTATTCCATTTCTAGCTTATGCTATATCATATGGCGATCATGAGACGGTGTTGTATGCGTTCAAAACGTATTCGCATTGCGCTCAGGTTCACGCGTTTCAAACACACTTGTAAGAATCCACGATTCGAGCCACGATTCTCATCGAATTCCCATTTAGATTGGCGGAAATGGTGGCGTCTTGCACGTTGGAGCGAAGAAATCCGCTGAATGGCATCACGGCGAGCTCGAAAACAACGCCGTGCAGCTCGCAAGAGGAAAAGTACAGCGGGTAAGCGACGGCGTTCTTGCCGAGACGCGGACTACAGTAACCGTGTTCAGCGAACGATTGTCGCATCCGAGAGCCGAGCATGATGAGAGGTCGGTGAAGGCGCTCGACGAGCTTCTACGCAAGGTGTCCATTGAGGGATGCAATTTGAAGGACACGAAGACGTCAGAATTGTTTGCGGCGTTTGAGCGAAAGATTGAACTCCTTCAGGTTACGCTCGTTTAAAGGAGCATATTCCCGAATAGGCGTTTTTCAGGCTAGAGAACGCGATTTGGAGTCGTTGGTGCGTGCGAAAGATGAAGCTCTAGCTCAGAGCGAGAAGCTTCGGATACAATATAAAAATGGTGTTGGCGCAGCGAATTTTGGATCTGATCTAGAGGTTTTTTTTGTCGTATCTTTGCTGCGGACATTTTATCGCGGGACGTTTTTTAGATCTCCAAAGTTCGAAGTGTAATGCAGGAATGTGAAGAGTTGCGAGACCAGAATCAGAAGCTTTCGGCGTTTTTAGAAGTATTCGAAAACAATTTTTTGCCTTTGAATGAGAATCGTTTTAGACGGCGAAACACGACAATGAGGTGAAGCTTCAAGCACTACGCGACGAGCTGAGACGAAGCACGTTGGAGTGTGAACGGCTGCGAGTTGAGAATCAGAGCAATCAGAAGCTGGTGGATTCCTACACGATATCTTGTGATGAGCTGAAGAAGAAGCTGGAGACGTGAGACTGACATTTCATTTTAATTTTTGCAAATCCAGTATTTGAATCTAATTTTTAGAGCTTCTGCTTCTGTCTTCGAGCATCAGCAGCGCTCGAATTTGTTTGAGCGAGAGAAATCGGATTTGGCAGCACAGCTACAAGGTAGGAAATCAGCGAAAACTATTTTCATTTTTGTTCTCCCATTTTTAGTAGTGAAATGCGAAGCGGATCGAGTGATTAAGACGAATGAAGCGGAAATTCACAATTTGAACTCGAAAATCGCCCAACAAGCGGCAAATATTGAAGCGTTTTCGCACGAGAATAAGGATATTCGGCGGCAATTTGACGAGAAGCTTCTCGAATGTGAGACGGTCAAAGAGCAGGTGGGACGATTGGATTCTCATCGAGCTGGACTATTCCAATGGGTGTTTTTTTTCAGCTCGCGATGCTTGAGAATCAGTACAATTCGAAGGATAAAGAGTTGGCGAGTGTTCGCCAGCAGGTCGGTCGATTTCGTCTATGTTCAGTCAAAATGTGAAATTGGTTTTTGATACGTTCTTTCTTGCTAAACAGTTTTCCATCTGCGGACAAATTTCTAAATTGAAAATCAATTTTTTTATTTCAATTCCCTATGTGCCCAAATTACAAAAAAAAATTGGCGCGACATATCGTATTTCTCTGTTATTTATTTTCAAAGGCGCACGCAAAAAGTTGCGCGGGTCACGTCGCGAAGTCGGTACTGTAATTTTTTAATTGCTGCTTCTTTTCAATTTTTTGAGCGTTTTTAAACCGTTTTTTGGAAATCTGTAAAAGTATATTGTTTAATCAACGCTAAATTGTTCATCAGAAGTGTCACTGAGCAAATTCTGCATCAAATCAACACAAATATTACAATTTCTCATGATAATTGACGAAAAATAGACATATATTGTAGAATTAGGAGTAATTATACCAATAATTGTTTGTTTTTTCTTCGTTCTTCAATTCGTTACTCAGTTCCTCTTCAAAGTTTTCGAGAAAAATACGGAAAAATGACACACAGAATGAAAAATAAAAAAAAAGATTACAGTACCGATTTCGCGACGTGACCCGCTCAACTTTTCGCGTGCGCCTTTGAAAATTAATAGAATTACGATATATCGCGACAATTTTTTAAATTTTTTATTTTTTGTAGTTTTTTAAAACGTTTTGTTGCCATTGCTTTTTTCTCTTCAATAATTCCTTGAGTTTTGTGCATTCCAGATGCTCAATATTGAGCAAAGGCTTGTGGCGAAGGAACGAGAATACAATGCGGCCGTGAAAGAGGTATCGCCCATTCATTTCGGCGTGCGTTCTCATCGAATCTTGATTTTCAGATTTCGTTGTATGAGGAGAAGCTTAGCTTGAAGGAGCGAGAAGGCGCGGATCGCCTGGCCGAGGTAATTTCGCGGCGGCGGCGACCAGATGCTAATTAGACGATTCAGATACGAATGCTGAAGCAAGATCTTGAGAATCGCACGAAGGAGCTGACGAAGCTTGAGAAGCTGCGAGTCGCGATGCTCTCATTGGCGGCGAATTCGACCGATTAGTGTGGGACCCTCTCGCCGGCGCCCATTGTACCATTATTATCATTCTCGTATCCATATCACTTTTCTTCACTTACTAACTTATTTTTGTACGGGTTCGCTGCTTCCTCTCCCCTCCCTCTTCCCCTCCCCCACCATCCTCATCATTTCGCTTATTATTTTTTTTTGTGTGTGTTTTTTTTTCTCGTTTCTCTTTCTTGTATTATTCGCATAATATTATAATTAGAGCAAAATGTTTGTGGGGAAAAAAGAGAAATGACAGAATATTCGTTTATTCGGTGAACATGAACTAATTTGGCCGCTGGAATCCGGCGCTCGATGGTCTGCATCATCGGCCCTGCAAAAATTCGGCGTTTTAAAGGCGCATGGCCCGATAGATAGATAGATAGATGGGCATAAATAGGTATTAGCGATATTGGATCGAATTCGAGGGTTTCGGGAACTGCATAGGAATGAGATTAGAGCGGGTTTTTCAATTGCCGGGCGGCTGGTCTCGGCTCACCATTTTCATGAGCATTCGACAGATGGCGTCGTTCTCTTTTTCGGCGCGCGTCGCTCGAACGCCGCGCATCGTGCGCTTCATCATTCGTTTTTGCTGCAAAAAGAAAAGAAAGTCGTGCTGCTGCGGACATGTTACTGGTGCGATTCGTCTCTCTCTCAATGGTCCTTCAATTCTAGACAAATTGAGAATTCAATTGTTTGTTTGTTTCGAACGACAGACATCCAAATTTTTTTCGCTCGTTTTGCCCACCAAATTTGTGTTCGTGTGCCCACCGATATTAATAACTGGAGGGGGTCCCTTTTTTTTCGAAAGGACTCGTCTCCTCATATTTAATTGGTACGAAACAAAACAAACGATGAAAACCCGGAAGATTGTCCGCAGACGGAATAGGTCTAATGGAACGAAAATTAATCGTGCTATTGACGAAATTGTGCTACAAATTGGCTGAATTCCAGAAATGGGTTGAGACGAGCTGTGTACTTCACACGGATAATGCATCACTTAACACGGTGGCGTAATTCGACACTCAATGTGGCGAGACCCAATTCTACAGTAGGCTGCATCACACAAATGATGTTTCTCGTCTGCGGACATCGTACGGGGCGCGATATTTCGGTTGTCTTGTACCACTAACGAATTATGGTCCCAAATTGACGGATCTCGCTTACCGATTGCTGACACAGCGTGACGACGTCGCCGAGTTGGCGGACCGGCTCGCCGAGTCCATCCTCTTTGAAATCGTCTACAATCACATCATGAGGGGGTCGGCTGACGACGGAAGGCGACTTACTGAACGAGAGCCATGTGCCGGCGTCGACGACGACGGCGGCGACGAGCACAATGACGGCGAGCATTAGATGAAGCATCGAAAAGCGCATTGTGGCTGGATTTTGTGTTGTTCGACGCGAGCGAGCAAACGTGTGTGTGCGTGAGTGTGTTACCCCTTTTTCTGGAATATCGTAATGGTCCCCGATTGGATTGGCCAGATTAGCGAGAAAAGAAAAACGCATGACTATAGATTTGTTTAGAAGTTGTTGTTGTATAGCGTGATGTCAAAATCGGAAAAAATGTATAAGCATGACGATGAGGGGGGGGGGGGGAAATGCGATTTGATCATATGCGGGAAACACGCTGCGGACAATTGCGAATGGCTTTTAGGCGAAATGACAAGACGGGCGGGCCGGGCGGGTGAGGGGGCGTGGCTTGTGGGCCTCCTCGTTTTTGAACAATGGCGGGTTGGAAGCGACGACAACAAAGGTGTCAAGTTTTCCATTTTGATGATTGGAAGGGTCCCCCCCCCCGTCTAAATATGGTGTTGTGCGAGGGGGGAAAGGATTTCGACTCACCGTCCAAATATAGAAATTAATAAATGAGAACATCGCTTCCTTGTAATCATCCTCAATTTTCGACCAATTATTGAAATTAGTCATCATGTTGAAAAGTGAGCCTTTTTGACGTATTATGGTATGCGCCTTTGAATTGGACGAGTGTGAAAATGTTGAAAATAATATGGAGACGAAAAATTGCATCACGAGCGTTTTCTCATGATGACGACACACACACACCATCGATAATTTTTGTTGACTTAATTAACATGATCAACTGCTGGCGACAATTTACGGGTCGCGCCGACGTCTATGCGATCCACATGGGGCTGCCGAAATTTTTCAAGAATTGAGCGTCAACCCAAAAATGTGGCCAAATGTTTTTCGATGACGCCTCGACGAATTCATTAAAACCTTCTACCGTACACGTCGGCTCGCAAAACAAACAAACATGTTGGAAATTTCTCGAGGGAATTGAAACGAATCAAAACGTCGAATGAGAGAGAGAGAGAGAGAGAGAGAGAGAGAGAGAGAGAGAGAGAATCTTAATGGATTTCTTATTTTCATAGCGATAAGTGCAACGTGTTGGCCGGAAATGAATGAATTGGTTTCTATTGATATTGGTCGCGTGTGCATCAAATCGTGTCGTTTTGCCGCAAAATTGGACACGAAAATTGGCCTAAAATTGATAGTTGCTTCGGCCGGCAGGGATTGTGAAGGCGTTGTGGGGTTAACACGATTTTCATCTGCGGACAATTGCGCAACGAGCAAATTTGAGTGTGGATGACACAATTGAAATGGAAAATAGTCTCAAACCATTCACATCATCTGCCGACAATTTTGCGGGTTTGACGTTTAACAGAAAAATAGTAAAATGACGAAGGCAATGTTTTGGTGGCAAAATGAATAATTTAGCGGGTTTTCTCGCCACTTCAAAACCAATATTTTCAAATATCAGTGTAGATTGAAGTTGTAAATACATGGATCTTCATTTTTTAAAAAGGAATCGTGCTGCGGACAATTGAGCGATATTTTTTACTGAGAACACGTTAACAAGCGATACAGTCCAATCAAGCTGGTTAACGAAATCGTGCTGCGGACATTTTCCAGGTTTTGATACACGCTGATATTTTCATTGAAAACGCGCTGAAAAGCGACGCAGCCCCAACAAGCTGGCTAACAAAATCGTGCTGCGGACATTCCTGCGGGTCACCATTGGCGAATTTATTAAAATAAAATAACAAAAAGACAATTTTTGTGCATTTTCCACCACAAAATTGAAAGCGAGAACGAGAGAGTCCGAAAAAAAACCATCGTCGAATCGTAATTAATTCTGGCTGATTGCCACCGAGATCGGATTGACTTTGTTGTCGTGATTCGGCGACGATCGTCGGAATGTCAGCGGCGAGTAGATCGTCTCGAAGAGCGTCGAACGAAACGTCTTGCTCGTCAGCATCACCGAGAACGCGTTGCACGTGGTCAGCGTGAGAAACGCCGAATAGAACTGCAACATTGATTGGTTGGGTCTCGAGGCGATTGCTCATCGACACAGCGTTATCGTAGGAATTCGGACCGCTTCAAGACCTACACACCTTTAAATTAATATTTTCAAAAACTCATTTGCGCCTTTAAGAATGTTGAAAAAAGATGGTTATTATTTTTGAAAGAGCAATGCACCCAAAAAAATAAGAATTTCTAGTTTTCTCTTGTGTGCCTTTAAAGAAGCCGTACCACAATGAGATCGTCGAATACGGTAACCCAGGCGATATTCATATTGAACAAATCATTGAGCTCATACTGTAGAATCCAATAATCGAGAACGAGATGCACAATTGTGATGACGACGAGCTTCTGCGAATCGACAATTTAATTTCGTTTCTTTCTCTCACCACCCTCTCATCTCGCACGTACACTCTCATTATTGGTTCGAGCGAGCGTCAAAAATTTCGACGAGTTCACCTGCATTCGGTAAATCGTCAGAATGCTGAACACGACGCCGATGAGCTCGTAGAAGACGATGACGGCGATGGCGATCCAGCGTTGAATCGGAAAAATGGTAGATCAAAAAAAATTGGCGGCTGGTTTTTGCGTACCACTGTCGCCTGTCGAGTCGTGGTCACCACTTTCCATGAATCGCCGTTGGCCTCATAGATTTTGTGGCGGAACAACGCTGGAACGCTGGCGATGAAGCACAAGGTGAACAGAATCCACATGTAGGCGTTGACGCGGTGCTTCGACCAATACTGAAAACGCGAGGTGTCGGGACCATCACGGCCAGACCTCCTCCTCCTCACTTTTTGATAGCCGATGAACGTCGCTGAGAATCGATTGATGATCATCAAACCGTTGCCGATGAGATTCGTGAACAGACAAAAACAGCTGGCGAAACTCGAGAAGTAGGCGGCGAAAAACCATTTGGGACCTGGAAAATCACAAATTTTTTTTTTGAACTCAAAATTGTAACCTAGCGTGACGTGGCCGTTGACGCCGAGAAAAATGACGCCGATGCATTGGAGAATGTCGAAGACGCCTAGAAAATTTGCGGATCAGATTGATTTTTTTTTCATCTTCAAATTCGAACCTGTGACGAAAAAAATGCGAAAAAATGGCGACGTGATGAAATTTTTGAGGATGTTCAACAGAACGACAATATAATAGAGTGTGATGGCGGTGAAGACGACGAAAAACGTGTGCGGAAAGTTGGTCCAGTTTTCCGGGACCGTCTCATTCTTCGCCACCACCGAATAGAAGAGATTCGATTCGGAGAACTGCATTGGGCGGCGGCGGCTGCAAACAAATGAATCGACGGTATATTGAGAACGTGCTGCGGACATCGGGCGATGATCGGTTGGCGCGAAATGTCCGCAGATCGATAAGCTAATCAGCACTCGACTATTGAATTTCAGCTGCGGACAATTTAATGGTGAAACGCGTGCGAATTTAATCATAGGTCTTCGTTATGGAATTGCCCTTTTCAGTCGTTGTCTGACAAATTCAATTTGCGGCTCCGCCCATTTTCGAGACCCATTCAAATCACACCAAATTGGTGCGGACACACAAAAATTGGGGAAAATTCTGTATCGGTTTTTTAGGAATCGCTGCTACAGTAATCCGGAAGCGTCGGGAGCCAAAAACACACACAAATTGATGAAAGTCTTATAATCATGAATTTCGGCAAAATTCTCAAAGGAATTCATTAGGAATTGATGTCATTTTGAATTTTTAATCTTCAAAAATCCTTTGAAATTGGATGAAGCGAATTTGGTGTTTCTTTTTTTGTTGGGTAACTAATTATGATGAAAATTGGATGTCGTGACACCTCGCCAAAATTTATTCGATTTTTTCCCGTTTCATGCTGATTGACGCGAAAAAAATGGCGCATGAATCACGGCGACGCTCTCATGGGACGATTCGCGCCCAATCAATATAACACTTGTTTGTGCTGCGGACAACTGACGGGACGACATTCAATTCAATTGAACGCGAGTCACTCAATTCATCTGCGGACATTCACTGGGATAATGACACTATTATAACATGTCTACCTGCCCGACATTTTCCATTTGGTTGAATTCATTTAATCATCGTGTGGCTCATTTGGAATATAGAAATGTGTCTGCGGACAATTGGCGGGCTAGACAAATTATTTTCGTGTTTTCCCATAGACATGTTGCAAACGGAAGCCACGCCCACTAGAATGAGCGAAATTGGATCCAAAAAAAATTTTTTTGGCATAATCGGCGTGAAAAAATTAGAATCGTCGATTTTAATGGAAAACCTCACGTTTGAGAATTTTCGATGAAAACTCATTTCCACAAATTATTGAGATATTTCTATTGATTTAGCGCAAGAAGAAAAAGAGGAATGCAAACGTTTCGTTCAAATTCAAATAATTCATTAGCGTCGTTTTCGTCGTAAGTCGAAAATGATGCGCCAATAATGAAAACTGATAACATTGAAGGATGAAATCGTCATCAGCAGAGAGCTATTCAATGAATTCCGATGTTTTTTTGGATGCCAGTAATGACGTCTCGATTCTGTGAGTAAGCGCGATAATTAATTGGGCGGAGATTCAGCGAGAATTCGCTAATTAAATTGAATAATAAGTGGCGCAAAAATGGAATTTCAAATTGTGGAGAAGTCGAAAACGACCCCTAACGCGCGAAAGCCCTGCCACCAAACCACTCCGCCACACTACCCTTCAAGCAAAGAGTCGCGATCGGCATATAAACGAAGCGCAGGCTGAACCCAACAAGCCAAGGGAATATATTTCAGGACCAATTCGTGCACATCATTACGGACCACGTCAAGACACTACACTCCAATTCAATCATGTCAAATTGTAAATTTCTCTCGAAACCTCTCGAATTGTGCAACTCAATTGTAGAATCTGGGTCTGAATTCGGCCAAAATCCAAGAGCCGCTTTTCCTGCGAAAATGTCGAATATCGAAAGCGCAAATCGGATGCGCGCCGCCCGAAATTTGTCCGCTGATGAACGGCGAGTTGTGGACGTGCAATCGGGTTTCGTCGGCACCATCCGCAATTTCAGAAGCCTCACAATTTCAGAAGCACCACGCGCAATCGATCCTGCTAGCCGGTCTCGATTCGCCGACGTTTTGCGTGCGATATTTGGCGATCAACACACGCCATATTGGCCGAAAAATTCTCATATGTCAATCGCCGATGAATAACATCATTTTCGTGGCGAGACCCGCAATCCAGCCAGTGATTCAAACGCAGATTACTGACTCGTCGGAGACGGTCAAATTGATGTTGAGTCCGGAAAGAGCCAACATTGCCCAAAAATTGATACCCAATTGGCGGACGGTGACATTCACACTAGCTTTTGGCAAACATATCGCCGTCAAATTTCGTGTGTTCGATGTGAAAAAACAGGAGGTCCAATATGTGAAGGCGGTTCGAGAGCGCGGCAAGCGCGTCCCGACGAGCACACTGCATCGCGTCGAGCCGATTCAGGTATATCGAATTTATGCTGCGGACAATTTCAAGGGTTGTTTTTTTTTGCGATTTTCCAGAAAATCGAGTTTTGGAGAAGCGCCAAACCGCATAGTCTCATTTTGTCGACCGTTGAACAATGCGATCCCGAATTGGTCAAACGAGTATTCATTGATCACACTGGAGCTCCCCAAGTACACGATTTATAGTTTTGAAGGGACCCCCCGTTAAAAGGGCCCGATAAAAAGCCAACCAAAATTTCGGCATTATTCGCAAAAAAAAATGAAATTCGGTGTTTGCACACATTTCCGCGCGCTACCATTTATTTTGAATATTTTTTTTTTGACTTTTTAAGGCTCGAATGTTAATAAATCAGGTTAAAAGTTTAAAAAATGAAAGATATTTGTAAAAAAATTGAAAAAATATCTCAAGTCCGCAAACACCGCGAACGCCGCCCCTCATTTCATGGGAATTTTCGAGTTTGGCGCATTCACAATTAATTATGGTTATTGCAGAAGATTGAAGGCTTATAGAAGAGATTCGATAATTACTAATATTTGTTGAATTCAATTTTTCTTGGAATCTATAAATGTTTAAAAGAAAATTGAATTTAATCAAAATTTGTTTTTCTCTTTTTATTAATCAAAAAAAGCATTCTGGACTGAATCATGCGTTTAATAAATGTTTTTAAAAAATTGGAGTCCATTTCTAAAATAAGCGACTAAAATAATCGGAGTGGCGCGGTTTTTAAAACTATTGATTGATGGGACCGCACGCGAACCGCGACGCGTCTGGTGGTGCACCATTGGTGGCAATTGGTTCGTTTCAAACATTTTTAAAAAATTCATTTAATGAAAAAATGTGGGAAATGTAGGAATTTAATAATTTCGTGGTAATTCGCAGTTTTTGCTGAAGCAGAATTTTTTTTCAGCGAGGCAAATTTTAATGAAAAAAATTTCTTGATGATTTCAACAAAAATTGGAATGTGTTACAAATTTCCGGATAAAAACTAATTGCAATTAATTGTTGGTGTTCAAATAATGATTGGCTTGGTGCCAATGCGTCTCGAATCAGCGAGAAGTACGCGAGACTGCGTACATTGCATTATACGTTACGCGCATTTAATATTCCGTCAACGACAAATTTAAATCTACACTAATTTTTAGGAAATTGTTCAATGAAATATAAGAAATCAATATATTTTCAGAAATTCAAATAAATTATACATATAATCAAGTTTTGGAAGAATTTTTTGTCAGCTTGTCAAAAAAAAATGTTTGCAAATTTTCAGGCTTGTCGTTTCGGTTCGGACCGAACCAAAAAATATTTGTTTTACTCGACCGAGTAAGCCGAAATTATCAAGTTCAATCAATTATAATTGTCGGCGTCAAACGATCTACCTGTGGGCCGGGCAACTCGGTGTATATCGAATTTACGCGCGCGCGCTGCGCGTAAGCTAAAGTGCACAGTACGCAAACACGCGCAGGCCTCTTCGCCTCCGGCAAGTCGCCAACTATTTTTAAATTTCTTTCAGTCGCCGACAGTAATTACTTTCAATATATAAACTTTTCAAAAACAAGTTTTTCAAGAAAAAATGTTTCCTATCAAAAACTTTTTGATTCGGAGAAGGCTTAGAAATCGCTGGCAACTCAAAACCAATCGGAACCGACCAAAATTCGCCTCAGGAGTCAATCTTATCCGATTGGTAATTATTCGAATCCGATTTGTTTTAATTTTTCAATTCGAATCGGATTCGATTGGTTTTGAGTTACCAGCGATCAGAACAACAGTCCTGATAAAAATCCAAATTTTTCATTAATTTGATTTGAATATGGCCAGTACCATTTACGGCCAAAGTTCAGCGGCAAAATAATGCGATCGCAAAAAAAAAGCCGCCCACCAGACCGGATTTGCGAACCGCCCGCTAATCCATCGTTGGCGTTGTGTTCGCACATCGCCGATGCTCATCGTCGTCGTCGTCCTTCTAATTTCGGCGATTTCGTCGAATTTCGCTGAAATCGCATCGTTCCACGAGGAATTTGACGGTCAACTCGACAGATGCACACCGAAACAATTCCAATTTGTCATCGCATGCATTGAAGTGATTTGTCGTTTGATTTTTTCGGAATTTCAACTGCCCCAAATTTCAGAGGACGTTTGTGTACCTTCGCGAATTGAAAACACTCAGCGCCTCGAATAAATCGGCGGTGTTGATCTACGAGAGAACACACGAGCTGATGAATGAGGATTGTCAGCAAATCGCAGTGAGTTTCTTGTAAGAAGACGAAATTAATTTCGAGCGTATACGGTAGACACTGCGGTGTATGCACACATACACACTAGTTGCCGCACACATGCGGACTTATTTGAGATTTAAAACTAATGTCATTGTTTGACAATTGTCATTGTTTTGAGCGATTTCTTATATTTTAATGTTTTGTATGAAAAGATCGCTAGTAATAGTACAACTAGATATTATTGTTTGTTTTTCTTTTTGTATCCATTTCGTTCGAAGCTAAATATTGTTGGTTAATCTAATTGCTATTTTTTCTTCATTGCTAATTTCAGGTAAATGAAAATCAATCGGATTCGAAGGAAAATAATTGAAACTTGTTTGAGAAAGTGTTTAAATTCGTTTTGAAAACTTGGTTTCAATTCAAAAATCTTCGAAATCGTTGATTTATTTCTCAATTTCAATTTTGAAATCGTATTCGATTGAAATTCTGGAGTAATTCGTAACAGATTTGTTTATATTTGATTTAAAACTAAATTATTTTCGAATCCAATTGAGTTTCATTTACCTCAGAGAGATAGATGATGGAAATTGAATTGCCAAAAATTGCAGAAATGTTTCGAGCAAGTGAAATGCGCCGATATGAAGCCATTAGCGGAAAATTTCGAAAAAGCTTGCAACAAACCGACAAAGTTGCCATTGGTTCCATGTCTGGCCAAGGTATGCGATGATTGGAAGTCGAAAAATTGTGAGCAAATTTTCAGCTTCATCCGATTTTGAAAAACGAGACCGCTTGCGATGGATATTTCCAGAAGCGTAAGGTGAGACGACGTCGCTGAAAGCATCGCTGTGTCGTTTTTTGTTTTGTTTTGTAGATTTCGCGAGAGGAAAAATGCGCACACTTCGAGGAGCACCGCGAATGCGTCGTCGATTATTATAAGAAGCAATGCGGCGAGCTTTTGGTTGACGAGGAAATCAATAAAGTTGGATTTGATATTATCTCAAACCATTCTTCTGTTCTTTTCGTTTCAGGAGAGATCCGAAATTCTCGATTTTGTCAATTGCAATAGCACGGATTCGATTTTTTAATTCAGTTGACACATTTTTTCAATTTTTAAATAAATCCGAATGGAGTTAGAATGGTATTCATTTTTTGTACTTCATTGAAAAAAAAGAAGTATCAAATTATATTAGAAAATGTTGAAACAGTAGAATTCAGTTTTAATGATTTTTACTTCATCAATTTTCAATTTTCTCAACTCACGTGAAAATGACACATTTAAAAATAGTCGTCGGATAAAATGCATTAGGTGTAAACACGCGAAATGCCCTTTTGTGGAGATTCGTATTTCAATTCAGTTTTTTTTTCAGGTCTGGCAGGTAATGAATAAATATAGTATAACAAAGTCTGAATCTAAAAAATGGCATTGCGGACTTGTGCATTTTATTTGACGACAATACATGTATGTTGTCAACGTCGCGATGAATTAACCCACAATTTTCGTTCCTTTTTTAATTCGAAAAAAATGACTTGACGAAATTTAAAAAATTATTGGCTATGTGCCAATGCGCCTTGCTGTAGTGAGAAGTACGCAAGACTGCGTACATTGCATTATACCTTACGCGCATTAAATATTCAGGCAACGAGAAATTTAAATCTTTAATAATTTCGCGAATTTGAAGGCTCCGCCTCTTTTTTGACGTCGACAATACATATTTTCAATAATTTTTGAGGCTATGCCACCTTTTGTGTTCTTCGTACCCACGCGTAAACCACGTGGGTATACCAAAATGAGAATGAAGAGCACAGAAAAAAAAGCGAAGCGGAATCGCTCTTATCGCACAAAAACGCGACCGTCGGTGTTGTTTCTGATAACTCGCCGACAGTATTTGTCTCCTATGCAACTCACACGCTCGCGTTTCGCCATTTTACTTCTTCCATTAATCGCGTCCGGTAAGAATGCCCTTGAAGACGACCGTCTCCGGAAAACCGTCGGCGGTTTTCAGCGTTGGCGTCCGATTGCAATGAGAAACAATTCAAAAGCGGCAAAGTTTGCGTGTGCGATTTGAATTCTTGTGATGAGGTTTGCGAAAATTTCCTTTTAATTTTTTTGCGCCAAAAAACTGACAACTCGACTTGGCTTCTGGTATTTCATGTAGGTGCCAGAGCTCGGTTTGACGATGGGACAGGCGGCCGTGTTCACAACATCGCATTCGGGACATCGATTGCATCGCGAGATCGTCTATGCCACCGACAACGATCCAAGTACGATCAACTAATGCTTCCTATATTCGGGCGCGGTTTATTTTTGCTCGCATGATAAAATTTGAAAAAAAAAACGATTAATCGAGGCACCTTTGTTTTGAATATTTGAATTGCCGCCTTGAGTCTTGTATGGAACAAAAATACAAAAATGCTGGCATAACCGTCGTGAGACGATTTCGAAAAGCGCACGCCGTAAATCTACCCCTCAATTTTTTTTCGATTTCAAAATTTAATTTTTTCCATATATTTAATGTGTTTAAAAAAAATCGACAAAAAAAATCTCAAAAATTTCGAAATAATGATGGACGTGAAATATGCCATGGCCGAGTATTTCGCGGCCGCGCCCGAATGGACGCCTTCGACATTCGCCCACAAAATCAATGGTGATCATTTTCAGTCGGCACACTTCACATGACGCTCGACTCGACGAAAAAATACCAACAAATTCAAGGGTTCGGCTCGACGTTCAGCGATGCAGCTGGCGCCAATTTGAAATCGCTTCCCGACAAATTGGCCGACACAATCATCCGGCAGTACTTCTCACCGCAAGGCCTGAATTACAAATTTGGACGTGTGCCAATCGGCGCGTCGGACTTCTCGGCGCGCGAGTACAGCTATGATTTGGTCGACGGCGATTTCCAGATGCAGAAATTCAATTTGACGGTCGAGGACACTCAATGGAAGGTTGGCCTATATGAATTTCACAAATTTTTTTTGTTCTTCAGATTCCCTACATCAAGAAAGCGGTTTATTATTCGGGATCCAGTCTGAATTTGCTGGCGGTGCCGTGGAGTGCTCCGGGATGGCTCAAAACCACTCATCAGGTCGCCGGACCGGGAGCCGTTCAGGGAAAAGCCGGCGATGAGTACCATAAAGCGTACGCGAAATATTTTGTGAAGTATTGAATTCGAGTTTTTGTGTTTCTTCAATTTGTTATTGTTGTTGCAAAGATTCTTCGAGGACTACGCGAAGGCGAACGTCAACTTCTGGGGTGTCAGTGTTCAAAACGAGCCGACGGAGGGCTCGAATAAGAAGGAAAAAGCGCCGGAGACGCTGTTCACCGCCGAAACTCAACGGTACTCGATGGGACCATCATCGAACGAGACGATTGATTTTTTTTTTGAGGGACTTCATCAAAACCGATTTCGGGCCGGCGCTCAAAGACAACGAGGCGACGAAAAATCTGAAGGTGCTGATTCTTGACGACGAGCGCAAAAATCTGCCGAAATGGGCCGACACGGTTGGCGGCAAAACACAACCGACGAGCGCAATTGAAAATTGACGATTCAGATACTGAAGGACAAAGACGCGGCGAAATACGTGTCCGGCATCGGTGTTCACTACTACGAGGAATCGGAGAAGGACGAGCATCTCGACAAAACGCACAAGAACCATCCCGACGTGTTCATTCTCGGCACCGAGGCGAGCGACGGAGCCAAATCCAAAGAGACGACGGTCGAGTTTGGATCGTGGGATCGCGCCGAGGATTACGCGTCAAATATCATTGATGTGGGTCGGACCAATTGAAGCATTATTGCGCAGATTCGATTATTAGGATTTGAACAATTGGCTCGTCGGATGGATTGATCGCAATTTGGTGTTGGACGCTCAAGGTGGTCCGAGCTTCTTCAACGTGTTCGCCGACGCGCCGATCATCGCATTCCCGAACGTCTCGCAGTTCTACAAGCAGCCAATGTTCTACGCGATTGCGCATTTCAGGTAGAATTTGATTTGGGGACCCTAACCAAATTGGAATAATGTCTAGCCGCTTCATTCAACCGGGAGCCTATCGAATCGATCACTCGTTCAACGTCATCGAGCTCGAGGTTCGCTCGGCGGTTTTCCAGAATCCCGATGGCTCGAAAGTCGTCATTTTGCTCAATAAGTCCAAGGTGAAGCATTGGCCAAAACAAAAATGGGCCTACACAAAACCGTAGGCTTCATCTCCTCGTTTCAGCTAACCGACCATACAGTGATAGTGAAGGACAGCGCCGATGCAAGGGACCACTATCACTTCAAGCTGCCAACAAGATCAATTGCCACCTTGTACATTAATTCGATCAATTTTTAAGGGGGGGTCCCTTTTTTGAGAGAGAGAAATAAAATTGATAGAGTAAGAAGCAGGTTTTGGTGGTTTTCCGTGTTTTTTCTGGGAACAAGTCGCGCGCGATTCGAAACAATACCCTTGATAAGATATCATCGCTCGTCTCTTCGATTCCATTCGATTTCATTCATCCCTTCCCTCCAGCCCGAATGCGAAATTTTCGAATTTTTCTCGCCATTTCACTGATCCCAATTGTTGTCGGGATTGAACGCGAAGCGCTCATCGAGCACTTGAAATATCAGCAAGGTAGGCTTCCTTTTTTTTTTCAATGGTTCATGCTTTTGACGGGCCTCGGATTGCAGAAGCGAGAAACACGTTCGACTCGAGAATTCGTCAAGGCGATTTTATGCAGCCGATTGGCTACGTGGCGGGAAAGTGCGTTTCTTTGAATTTTGAGAACATTTTTTAAAAATGCATTTTTTTTTTCTGCGGACCATTCTATCTAGGACCCATACGGAAGAAGGACCAATGCGTCCTTCGAGTCCCTTAACGTTTTGTCGGCTTTTGCGGAAGAGTTGAACTCAATAGAGCGCATTTGCAACATTTGCTAGTTTTTGCACATTTTTAGAGCATCTTTGAGTTTTCGATACATTTTTACAATGAAAATTAAACTAGGAGCAATTTGGGGAGGCACTGAGAATGAAGCAAGTGCGCTCCATTGAGAGTTCGATCAACTTGAACTAAGAAATGTCCGCCCACACATGTAGATTAGAAGAACGGACATTTTCCAGCGGGGGGCTTCAACCAGAGCTTCACAAGACTTGAATTATCAAGAAAAGAAACGGAACACATGTTTTTACCATCTAAAAAATAGAAAATAAAAAAAATCTGTTCATTTTTGCGTAATATTGACTGATTGCGGACTTTGATGCTACCGTAACACACAAAATAAATTTAATAAAAAAACCATTATTAAAAATGATTTTTGTGGGATTACATAATACGGAAAACGGAATTCCGTGCAGCTGTGGTTTCAATCGTAAGTGGGAACTTGTTAATTTGATTGGTCCCTGAGGACTCCCACATTTCTCAGAGAATTCAATGTGGGTGACGTCTTTTTTCAATGATAAAGTATTGTCGCCAGAATGTCGGCAGCTAGACTTGGATATTATTAAAGTGTCACATTGTCCGCAGCTAGATGTTTCCAAATACTTCCAGACCGATTTGGCCGCGAGTTTTGGAGAAAGTGCGCTCCACTGGCGAGCTATTCTTCGATGATAACAATTTTGCATATTTGGTATCATTCGAATCATATGCCTTTTCATTATACCCTATTTAAAGGTGCATAATCGGAGTCCGGCGGCACTTGTTCGAAAAATGGATCGAGAGGCGAATTATAAGGCGGTTATGGAGTTTTTATCGAGATACACTTGAATATAAAACGCATACTAATATGAATAATAATAATAATAATAATAAACCCGTTTTACTTTTCCAATTTTGGCGTGATATGCTTGATTTCTCTTATGGCTCATCCGGATATTTTGGATTGAACAGAACCGGCATGAAGAACTCGAACATCATCACGATGCAGAACACGGCGAAAATGTAGAAAATCACAAAAAGACACAGCTCGCGTCCCTGAAATTCGAAAATTATTCCGATATTTCAAATGGCTATTATGTACTTTTATGGTATTCACGAGTTCTTGCTTGTTGTACGGATCCTGATCGGTGCCGAGGGTAATTTCTGAAAAAATTTGCTTACAGTGTGATGATAGGATAAGTGCTAGCGGATATATCGAGCGCAGGCCAATTCCGGCGTGGCGCGTTTGGCAATGCGCGAACGCTTTTGCTCTTGACGCCGACCCTTGCGGGCTCGACGCCGCACTCTCCGATATTAATTTGCTGATAATTGAAACTTACGTGTTGGTCGTCTTGACGCGTACATAGCGCAAAAATTTGGCGAATAGAGAAAAGCGGGCGTGCGCGAGCCAAAAAAGGAATATGTCAGGTCTAATCTATGTCGTTCATTTCTTTTTCTTTTTTTTTTTGAAGGCGAGAGAGCATCTGACAGGATTATCAACATATTATGCGCATATAAAACGCTTACTTCGACGCTTCTCGCTCATTTGGTGGTGTGTGTGAGGGCGCCTAAAAATGAAATGAGCGACGAAAAAAAAAACAATTGGTTTGGAATTGCGAAAAACGGAAGGAAGTAGTTTTTTTTTGAGCCAAATAATTGACATTCGATGTGTCACGCCATGGTAATCGAAATTATTTCTCTATTTTCGCATTATGGAGAAAACAGCATTGAACATAAGGATTTGAACATTTCTAGAAGAGAAATCAGATTTTTAAACGAAACTAATTCTTGCGAGCTAAAAAAAGAAGCAAGAAACTCACTTTTTTGCATTTTGATGAGCATTTTCTTACGATCTTCGTCGTCAGACATGATGATCGCGTGGAATTGAAAATGAGGCGAAAAAAATCGCCGAAAAAATGATGATCAATTCGCTTCGAGATATCCACAAATATTTGCGCAAAACGCGATTTCTTTTGACCACTTGATCGATTAATCAAGTACTTATTGGAATGCTGGGGCGAAGGTTTACAAGAGTTTTCGCAATTGTGCGACAAAACCCGCGTCTCCAATTTCTCGTCATTTTCCCCGTTTTAGCAGGGCCGCGCGAACGCAGCCCCAAACGCAAAAATTAAGTTGTTGGCGAATCTCAACTCGAGACTGCCACACGGGTCAGCCCGTGCAATGGTCAGGCCTCACCATGGGGACGCCGCCTTGGTGATCGCGCCGTGCCCCCAACCAGGTAAGTTTATGAGCGGACGCAACGCGATGTCTTATGCGCGCGCGTGTCCCGACACCTCGCGGGTTTCGCCACCCTCTATGTTTTACATGTGTCACGCTCATTTTTCACTTTAAAAAAAATGCCGCCAAAATTTCAATGATTACCATGATTAATAGTTGTCTGCCGGCTGAACTGCATCCGAAAGTCGGCGGCCGTCGCGATCTCTTCGCGATTCTTACCGCCGTTTCGAACCAACTCGATTTGGTCGCCCATTACTGCATTCGACTGCAAATTCGAAATATGTCCGCAGCAAGTATTCAGAATGAGGTCATGGCAGGAAAATGAATAGAAACGAAAAACGAATGAATGGAATCTTGGTGTTTTCAAGAGAATCTTCACTTTCTCTTTTGCCATCTCTCTGGGTTTTTTTCATCGTATAATGACTTTCACATGGCCGAACACACACACAATTCGTGTTTTTGTTTTGTTTGTGTCTCTTGAAACGAGAAAACTACAAAAAATTGAAGGAATTGCCGAGGAAAATATGTGAAAAATTGTTGCCGCAAATTGTCCGCAGCACGGTTTTTATAAGACAATTTTTTTCAATTACATGAAATTTGATAGATCATTTGTTGACAGAATCACGAAACATATATAATAAATTTGTGCTGCGGACAATTTCCAGGAAAAGGTCATTTCAATACGAACACATCTGCGGACAATTCGCGGTTGGTCTTCCAAAAAAAAAGGCGGCGAAAAAGAGGTTTTGTTGCCATGACGAGAAGAAATGTCACATGTCAATCAATAAACGAACGAGAAAAAAAAAGAAAAAGAAATATCGCCAATTTTTTTTTTTTGTGGTTGGCGAGATAACCGAGAAAAATGTGCAAGTTTGACGCATTTTCACTGACACCTGCCAAATTCGATTCGGAAACTAATTTTGTGCGAAAATTGCGCCAAAGAATATCGAGTTTTATTGGGGCTTTTTTCGTCGGCGACACAAAATTGAACGACTAAAACCTTTTTGCGAAATTGATCGCCGATTTTTATAGCGCAAATTAGACGCGAAAAACGTTTACAACTTATCGTAATGCTGCTGCGGACAATTCGCGGGTTTCGCAAAATCGGCAATATATCAATGAATTTCACAATTTTTTCAACAACGAATCATATATTCAAAATCATTCAATTTTTAATTTCAGCAAAAATTAACAACTGGAAAATTTTGATAAAATGTGTTGAAATGAATTATAGTTGAAGGAAATATTAAAAAAAAATTTTGCCATTTCATTTTGGCAAAAATTTGCAAACCACAAAAGCAATGCGAGAACGCGGTTCTCCAAATTCAATTTAACTCGAAAAACAAATTTTTTCGGACGATTTCAAACCGAAAACATGCTCGTTAAAGATCCGAGCACGTTTTTTTTTTGGTTGCTCAAGGGGCAACAAAAAAAAAGAGAAACCCCGCCTTTTGAAAAGAGGAAAAATGAAGAAAAAGCTGGCGGAAAAAATTGGCAAAGGAGGCGAAAAGGAAGGGACAATTTAAATATTTGTCTCGAAAATGCACCAGACATCAAAATTTGTTTTTGCTGCGGACATCACACGGGTACTAGACGATGATGAATATGGGTGATGGTATAATTCATCTGCGGACATTTCACCATTTATGCTAGGCTTCAGTGTAGACTAATAAATCAGGCATCTTCTCAATAAATAATAAAATTCACCTGCGGACATCTTACGGGTCACACATTTTTCAATACATTTTGTTCAAATGAAGTGCCGTGCTTCCACGGTTTGCCAATTTCACGACCTTTCTCGTAATTTCAACAACCCTGAAGTCATCTGCTGACATTTCGCGGGTTTCGCTTGCAGCTTGCATCATCTGCGGACAATTTCCGCGTTTGCAAAATTATTCACCGAATACGCATTTCGACTGGATTATCCCAAACTGATACAACGGCCAATGATAGATGTGTCAACCGGAAATTGTCCGCAGCACCAATTCGCTAAAGATTTCCAAACCAATCGAGAACTATACCAATTGTTTACCTGTTTGTTTGTAAAAATCATAATGCGCCGGAAAACAAGAGATAAGCAATTTTTCTATTTAAATGCGGTCGATAACCAAATAAGGGAAATATTATCGTGGAGATGCTCAATTCAATGGAAAAAGCCGACGATAGCGCGCGTTCGAAATGGTAAGATTGTCCGCAGCTGAATTTTATTAAACAAAAGTACATTTAAGGAAGCACAATTTTCTTCTTCTGGCTCACGGTTCAACATCGGTGCTTCACATGGCATTCCTTATTTTGATTTCAATTGTTTGGAATTACGCCAGGTCGTGGCAACTTTTCACATTTCTAGGTATAAATTCCACACTAATTAGTATATAATTACCACCTAATTATAGTCGGCTGCATAATTATAATGACTGTTTTCCTAATTATCTTAGCCTTTATAACATTTCATCACTTCAAAGGCAATCATTCAAAAACTTACTACATATTGAGATAGTACGTTCATTTTTCTTATCCCAATACCATCTGCGGACATTTTCCCGCGATTTTGCAGCTATCCGACAATTCACATCATTTTCTCGGCGCTTTTTCAAATGCTCACTCAAATTCTATTGGTGAACGAATCGATTGGATCGGCTCATTCAATGGTAACGAGCTGCGGACGTCTTTGCGGGCCCCGCAATAATGTCCGCAGATAAATTTTTTGAATAACGTCGATTCTGCATTTCTTACATCGATAAATTAGTTTTCGGGACAAGACACATTTCCAATTTTGGCAATTTTATTTTCAGAGCGGCTCCCTATTGACGTCAGTATTCGCATGTGCCTCAATTGTGGTCCACTTATGGCTATACCATATGTATTAATACTAAAATTTATAATATTTGAACGTTGCCATAATAAATGACTAGTTTTTTTGCCAATGAAAGTCAACCCAACCCAACTTGGTGCAGCAGGCTCGATTATTGTCCGCAGCAAAAAAATGTTGATTTTCATTCTTGCCAATGGATGTCGCACTAATTAAAAATAAAGCAATGTCAGTTCACTTGGTTACTTAGTCGGTTCGTCATTCGCCTGTTGCAAGCGCGAACTGTCGCACTTTTCTCTGTTCCCCTGCGTTCTCTACTATTCGCCCGATTGACTTGGCCTGGGTGAATGTCGGCAGATGGGAGTGTACGAGAGACGAGCGGTCGATGAGACAGCATCGCTTCTCGGCTTAATAGCTAAGATCAAAGTGTAGTATCTGTTCTTATCGTATTAACCTACGGTATACAATCGAATGATTGTAATATAGGTTATCTGATTTTTGGAACTCTGGAAGGACTCGGGGCTTGCTCCGACCTTCCGAGGGTCGTCTCAGCGTTGCACTGCTGCTGAGCACGGCCCAGTCCCCCCATGGGGACAATCAAAAAATAAATTATATCGATAATCCCGAATGGGTCACCAATGTCTGACAATTAACTCTCACCAGACACTTTGTGGCAACAAATATGAATAAATCCGCCCTTATTGGTAGAAAAATGCATCAAAGCGAATTGAACAGGTTACTTTGATGCCTAATTCAAAATTCGTACTGTAGAATGCATAGCGGTAACGGATTGCTGAAGTTCGCGCTTACATTTCGAGCAGTTTTTTTTGACACTGATAATTTATTTTGGAATCCCTGAATGTTTCGGATTTTCACCGGATTCTCATTCTCCGAAGATATTTGGATTTCTTTTCCGACATTCTTCTGTCTACACGGAAATCTATCGTTCGTTTTCAAACAATTCATGTTTTTTTATGCGGAAATTGAAATTCCAAGAGTTTCCCGAATACGGAAAAAGCGGCAAGGCTTCATAAAACTAGGTAGTAGGTGTACTGATTAGCCCGAAGTTGCCCAAGAATGTAATTATGATGTTTTTTTCATGTGGCAACTTATTTCATTAATCATTCAATCGGGATTACCGAATGGTCACTCATTTTTTGATTGTCCCCATGGGGGGACTGGGCCGTGCTCAGCAGCAGTGCAACGCTGAGACGACCCTCGGAAGGTCGGAGCAAGCCCCGAGTCCTTCCAGAGTTCCAAAAATCAGATAACCTATATTACAATCATTCGATTGTATACCGTAGGTTAATACGATAAGAACAGATACTACACTTTGATCTTAGCTATTAAGCCGAGAAGCGATGCTGTCTCATCGACCGCTCGTCTCTCGTGCATTCCCATCTGCCGACATTCACCCAGGCCAAGTCAATCGGGCGAATAGTAGAGAACGCAGGGGAACAGAGAAATGTGCGACAGTTCGCCCTTGCAACGCCATTTATGTATTTCTTTAGTATTTTCATATCAATGTGGGAAAATTCAGAATCAACCTCATTAAAATTGCTTAAATGCTATTCATTAATTTAGGTTAGAAATTTGAGAAACCATTATTTTTAATGTGTGGGTGGTCTTGCTGGAAACAAAAAAAAACTCAGCATGTGTTTTTCATTTAAAAGTACCATCAATCTAACAAGGGAGGTCTTTTTGCAGTCCGTCTTAAAGTTTTTTGTTTTTTGCATACATATTCTTTAGAAAATTTCCAATCGAATAAATTAAGTTTGGGTAGGTGACAGATTTGATCGTATTCTGTCACAGTCTTAACGAAGTTCTAAAATTCGCCAAAACTCCGACGTCCAAAGGTTGTATATAAGGAAACCTACATTGAGTGTGATTTTTCCACAAATCATCGATTCATATGATTTCGGGGATATTTAGGCAGTTAAGTTCACCCAAGAACCAGGCGTGTCTACAGTACAGTTGGACTGCTAGTGGCTACAACGGACCAAGTTCCTTAGTCCATACGAGCAGCAAATGTAGCCCGTGTTTGTGAACCGTCTGGATGTTTTAAAAAATCTTTCATTGATTGTCTCTATTGTGATAACCACTCATACTTAAAACAGTTCATAATCGACAACCATATCACATGTTAACTCATAAAATTTTTGTTTACAATTTTCGAAAACTTAAAATTATTTTAAATGATCATTGAATATGATTAGTGACAAATTTGAATAGAAAAGAGCAATATGACAGTGTCACAATTACTGTTTCACGAAATTAAAGCTTGCAGAGAGCGGGACTGTCATGAATGAAGACCCGCAACTCCATTTATGACAGTATGACCACCACACCTCTGCACCACAACGGCTTGCCAAATTAGGATATAAGCGCGAGATAAGACATCTCATTATTTCATTTTGAATTTCTGCGCATTTGTATGCAAAATT